GTATAATAGTAAGGAAATCATAAAGGAGTCATCATATGGATAAAATTAGGCTTGTGTTTATGAAACAGCTTTTTTATTTCCTACATAAATTGATGTCATAGGAGGTGTAAATGCTTCATAACTGTAATAAAAGCAATTAAGTTATTTTGTCCTGTACATTTAGTGCTGGTCATTTTCAAACTCTGTGATAGTAAGAGAAGAAAGCAGAACACAATGGAGAAAAGGAAAAGAGATATAAAAGAGCAAAAATATTAATGTAGTCATCATTGTTTTACACCTGTAAACATAGAAAGCAAGTACGCATGCATTATAAGAGCAGATTGCTGTGGTAGCTGGATAGCAGTAAGTGAAGAGGATCAGTATTGATTCTAGCAGCTTCCAAAGTGGTGTCAGGTATTTTACAGAACGAAAGAGCATGTATGGTCCTTCCCAGAGCATTTAGCCATGGAACATGGAATGGGAAGAGTAGAATGGAAAGGGATTTTCCAGCCCCAGAGCACAGAGAGTGCTGGTCAGTGCCCAGCACAATTTGTTACAAAAAGGGGGAGAGATGAGCTGAAGCTGGAAAGCGGACCAAGGGTGAAGAAGGTGGAGGACATGTGGTTGGTTGGTTGGTTGGTTGGTTTTTTTTAGGGTAGAAAGGGAATCTAGAGGCTTTCAGATTAAGTCTTCCTTGTGAGTTAGCAACTTTGTGGCTAGGAGATTTTTTTTCATCTAGAGTTCAAAGAGGAAATGGACTTTGGGCAAGCACGTATTTGAGTAGAACAGGCCTTGCAGGTTGTTTGGGGGTGTTTCACAGCCCGTGCTACATGAGAAGCTCCTAGTGACCATGTAAGCATCAGGTGCACAGGGTGAAAGCTGGACATTAGTGAGACTGCGGAGAGAGTAGAGTATTGCAAGAAGACAAAGTGAGGGAAGCAGAGTAGTGGTGTAATGCAAAGTGCTGATGAAACATGACATTTGAGCTAGGTCTGCTAACTCCTGGAACAACTGAATGTGCATGGAACAGCCAGCAAGAAAAAAGATCTTGGAGATGCTATTTTGAATGGATAGAAAGAAATGAGCTGGGTATTTACAGTGGATTGTCCCCTCCCCTTGAGATGTCAAGGGAACTTCTCTGGCAGTAGGAAACTGCTGCAGTACATATCATGTCTAATTACCCAACAGCCTATCTTCATTTATGATATTCTTGTGGTATCTATGGAGAGAAATAATGCTTAGCAGCTCTGCTCTATGTAGTATCAGTGCAGCATCCTCATGAGATTCTGCCAAAATACCTGAACAAAGACTTACTACTCATTAGTTCGTGGGTGTCTTCTGGATTTTTTTAATTTTATGTCAGAAAACTACTTTTAGATGCCAGCCTACTGCTTTTCTTATTCATCCTGCCAATTGAGAGTGATTCTGCAAGAAATAGCAGTTATGTGCAATAGTAAAATAATTGAAGACCAGATTCAGGTATGACATTTTAAATGGTAATTTTGCTGGTGTAGAAATAAAAGCCTAAATGTCAACACAATTTAGAAAAACAAAACAAACAAAAAACCCCACAGAATTAAACAAGGAAAACAGTCAGAAACAAAATAGGTTCCTGTTAGTTTTCTTCTTAGGCTAAGAACATTTCAGAATAGAAGAGTGGGATGTGAGGGTTTTCAGTCTACTCAATATGAAAATGCTTTCTTGACTCATATAAGTAGGTTGTCATCAAAGCTGTATCCATGCTTCAGAAAAAGATGGGTGACAACCACAGATTAAGAGAGGAGAAATCTCTTCCCAATGTAGACTGTTAGAAGTGACAGAATTTTCTTAGGATTTCAGCTGTTCAGTCAGCAAGAGCATTGCAGCACAGCTCTGGAAAGCAGGGATACTAGTTGTGGAAACCTGGTCAAATCTTATGAGTCTCTTGGTTAGAGAGAAATCCTATTAAGTAAATGCACTTTAATTTCAAACAGAGGATTTTGTAGAAGGAAAAGAATAGTGTGTGTAGATGATCTTAGCTACATACTGTAATCTGGATGTGCTGGAGAGCTGCTTGGAAAGACAGTAGACCTTATTTATACTAAAGGCCCCTTTCCACTAAGCTGATACTGAAAATGACCTTGCAATGTCTATAAAAATAACTTCTTTTGTAGTCACTTATGCTTCCAGAGTACTGTTACTGAGTATTATATCATAAAGTCCTGGTAGTTTGTTTGCAAATCAATGTTACTTTCTGAATATTTCTTTAGTCCTGTAAATAAGTGTACTAATTATTTCTACATGGTTATTTTTATAGTTTTATTGTGCTCATTTATTCCGTCACTTGGAGTATTATAAGTGATGTGTATTCCTTTTGATGTTAATAGCAGATTCAGAAGTCTACTAGATTCTCACATTAAACATAGCAGTGCCAGACAACCTGTGCCCTCGATAATTCATAAAGAAAAGGATTAGAGGTATGTCACACAGATAAAAATGTCCGTATGAGTTTAGTTAGACCTTGAAACAGGGAGTGTATGCTTCAGAGTCTCCCTGAGCATTGATTCTTTTATTCTTTATTTTCATTTCATCTTCTGTTGCTTTTTCTCTGAACTCCTTCCAGTCTATAGACCTTGATAACAACAGCCCCTCAAAGGTGAATGTAGGGTTTTAAGAATGTTTTGTCAGTTGTTTTATGGCTGATCCTTCACCGTACTTTATCAGCTTACATTTTCTAAAGGGCAATTACTGGAAAATACATGGGAAATAACAAGACTTAAATTGTTCTGACTAAAGAGAGAGACATAAATAATTCTATATATAGCATTTCCAAACCGTGTTAACCTTGAGTATTCAGACATTTCAAAAAACAGCTGCTGTAATAATCAAAGATAATGACAAAAGACAGCAATACAAATAAATATTTTATAAGACAACGTGAAGTTTAATAATTGATTTAATAAAACCCACAATAATGCAACACACTTCTTTTTTCTTCAATTAAACAAATGTGTAGTAAATTATTTAAAAACTCCAAATACAATACAAGTCTACTGTACTTCAACTTCTAATTACATCAACTGTAAACCCCAATTTAATTAAAACCTATTTGAGTATTAGTATGTGCAAAATACCTGTTGTTTGTTTGTGGTATTTTTTTTTTCCAGTAAGTTTGCAAGGATAGAATGCACATTTTTCATGAACTGTGATATGGCTTAATTTAACGGTAGTGTTTGTATTGAATCATTAGCTTCCCAAGTACAGTGCTGCTTTGCCTCCGAGCTGTATGTGCTCCCATGCTGTACTCAAGTGTTCCCATTTCTTGCCAGAACAGATACAAACATAATCCAGTGTTATGTGCACTTTGTCAAATTAATACTGTGCTGTCTGTTTTCATCAATAAAAAATCATCATGTGACCCCCTACCTCAAAAAAGGGGAGAAAAGAAGTCAAGATTGTTACCACCAACTGCAGGTATAAACCAGCCTGATGAATATGTGAAAACCTAGCAAGTTTCAAAACAGACAATATCTTAAGTATTCACAGCTGAATATCACAATATCCATTATCAGGCAAAAATTTTCTTTTCTGATCCACACAGAGGACTGCTTTTGATGTCAGTGAAAGTTCTGCATAAAGTTCAAAGTACAGAATAAGCAAAAAAATACTTGAAGCCCAAGTTCTCCCTGTCTTCTGAACTCTGCAGGTCACGTTCTTGTTGTCCTTGGCTTCTTTAATGCAGATGACTTCAGAAACAGGCATAAATCTGAGCTTGGAAGTGTAAGATAGCTTAGTGTCAGGTTTTATTATCCTGCACATTCAAAATATAGGGATTCCACCATGAGGCTAAGCAATTCAGTTTTGTGGACTTTGAGGTGTCCAGATGAATAAATAGTCTTTTCAAATTGCCTCATCCCTCTATAAGTAAGAAGAGGCCTTTCTACTTCTGTAGGTTGTTATGATATTGTTGTCCAACACCATTAGGTTACTGAGCTTGCTTGGATTTTGCTCTATTCATAAAGCTAAGTAGTGGAGACTGCTATTGCTGTGGCATTCCTGTCAGGGTACTGCCATACTGTGCTCAAAGCAAAGATGAAAAGGTCAGAGGTCTGTGATAGAGGGAGTAGTACATATCTAAAACTTCTGCTCCCCACTTTCCTGTTAGATGTATGTATTCTGCATGGCTGTAGATTGTGTTTGAGAGTATCTCCACATCAAGCATAGTTTCTAACATTTGACTTTTCAAACAAAACAATCATGGAAAAAACGATCAATTACAGGACATTTATTAATTATAACTAGAATGCATGCTAATCAACTGGCCTTTTAATGTGAATCAAATGTTGGTTTAGACATTCAAGATTATTAATAATAAATTCATCTTACAAGTCAAAACTTTGTAAAATAAATAACCTGTTTCTAATGTATAAACCCTATTCTAAAATACATTAAAGATAACTAATCACTTAAACCACTTTGGGTCCAGTTGGGTCTTTAGTTAAATACCAGAAGTCTGGGCAAAGATCTTCCTGTCTGGATCTCTGAATGCCCAGATTAAAGCTAACTTTCTGGTCTGGGTACAGTAAATTGTGTATTTTGCAGTGTCTCCAAAGAGACAGTTTCAAAATAATTCAACTAGCACTGTATGCATTAAAGATGCTGTATGTAAATAACTATTGGAAAAATACTGTATAATGAATTCAGGGATCATGACATATTATGGAACCTTGGCATGATCAACATTAGAGACTTTAACTGAAATACTGAATACTTGATGCTCCAGTTGGAGTGCAGGTACTTTGTGGTACGTAGGTCTTAAAGGACAATATTGGACTGTAGTATGTGAGGTATCTGCAGAGCCATGTTGCAGTTTGTAAACAATAATCTGAAAAGAGCTTTGTCTCAAAATCATAATAAATTGAATAAACCAGTACAAGGGAGAGAGTGGAATATGTTCTGTAGGGCAACCACTGCACTTTTTGCAGCACCAGTTCTCCCTGCTGCACGTTACACGGTACAAATCCACATATTAATGCTTTCTATTTTATCATTTTCATTTTGCATTTATTGCTCTCAGTCTTTGACTACAAGATAAAGAATAAGGCAGCAGTTCCCAAAACATAAGAAATTAGGCACTGGAACTCTGACAACTTGCGCAGGTTTTGCTTATTTCCTGTTTGTAACTCTGAAGCTGGACAGAGCACTTGTACATTCCGAATGTGTTCAGCAGCAGTTGTCGGGCCTTGGACTGAACTTCCTCCCATTTAGATGAACTACCAGGGACTGGAAGATCAAGAAAATAATTAATACAATTCACTCCTCAAGAAACCTGGACAATCTAGCTCTTCTCAAATTTATCACAGTGTCACCAATTAGAATAATCTTTGTTCACACTCATTTATTAATTATAGTTCTGTGGTCACTCTGTACTCTCTATGTATTACTTTATACCTTTAGGTCTATATCCTCTTAACTAGAATCACATCTTGACAAAAATGTTTGTGTTAGACACCACCCCTACCCACCCAAAAAAATTCCTGAGCTTTCTTTATTAAGAATTAATATTCATGGTACTGTTAGATGTCTAAATCAGCATATGTTTTGGCAAAACATATTTATTTTTTGTATGTCAGATTGTTCCACATTAGAACCTCACCCTGTCTCCTGGGTCAAAATAAGGGAATTGCTGAGGAGAGGCTTTTGGGTTTTTTCCCCCTCTATCCAAAGAATCTGTATTAGATGTTCTAGTATGAATATATTTTCTTTGCACAATTTTCATTTACCATGTCCTTGGCAATGTCTTTCTGGGCCAATGGGTTCTATACCTCACTGTATAAAACCATAGTTAGATTTTTTTTCCCAGATGATATTTCTTGGTTCAACTTAAGTAACAATATCAAGAAGTGGCAATTTTTTTCTACACTTGGATTTAATTTAGAATTATGCTATAGAGCAGCGTACCTAGTTGCAAGTGGACTATGGCAGTTGTTTTTCCTGCAGTGAGAGACCAAACATTTAAATCTTCTATAGAATAAACATCTTCAATTTTCATCAAGTCTTCCTTGATGCGATCCACGTTTAAATGCCTTGGAACTCCTGTGATACCAAACATGAGATAAAATTAATTCTGTCTTCTGCAAACTCTCAGTGGCCTTTAAAATGTCATGACAGATCCCAGTGTCAAAAGAGTTTCTAATTTGTGCTGTTGGAAGTGATTAACAGCTTCCAAGTTATCAACAGAGAAAAATATGGACATCAGCATACTAAATCCAGGATGTATATAAAATTTCTACAGGAGTTGCAGTGTTGTCTTAAAGGTATTTTGTCCTGTCCAGAATCTGCTCTCTGGCAATAGCCAGCATTAGATCCTCTGGAGCAATATACTTGTGTAGACAACTTTACTGCAGCTTCTAACCCCTAGTAACTGCTTAGACCAGACTTTTCGGGTCAGAATCTAAAAAAATGCTAGGGCCTGTCTCCTGAAACTTTTCTCTTCACATAACCGGTGTAATTTTCAGAAGCTCATAGTAATCCATATGCATTGGTTAACACGTATGACTTCTGTCTTATTGCATGTCAAGTTCACGAATCAATGATAACGCTGACCAGGACCTCCTGGATGTAGTATTTTCAGGAGCTACAGCACCTCTAGCTTCCCTACTTCACCCCTTAGCTGTAAAAAGGGCAGAATCAAAGTTTTAGATTATCAACATGTGTCAAAAACTAGTACAAAAACACTGAATAAACTCAGTTTCTGAATATCTTTGTTTCTATGATAGATTTTTACGCCTTATCTTCCAGTTTTATGGAATTTGATTATATATACTATCAGGAGTTCAGCCACTTGCTTCTCAAATTTCTTCAGTTTTTGAATGACTCCTCTCTGAACCTGATGCCTCACTGTCTTTTAAATTATGTTAGTTCCAGAATCATCTCTTTTGGAAGTTCATTGTCTAAGATTGTCTCATTAAACAAAATTTTCCTTCTAGTGAAGACCATTGAAAATTATTTAGCTGATAAATAACTAGCTAACTGCCTGGTATTATTTCTACAGTTTTCTTTTTCCCAGGAAACACGGACTTAAATTTTAATATCTCACATCATGCTACTGATAGACTTCCATGCTGCCTGATCAATCTATATTAAAAGCTATAATCTTATTGCTTGTATTAGATAATAATTTAAGTTTTTAATTTAGCATTCCTAGTAAAATGATGAAACTTAAGTTAAAATTAATACTGAAAGCTGATACAAATCCAAGGACCTTGATGTAGCAGTAGTCTCCAATCTAAGTGCAAGTCCACTCTCTGGAGATCCTGAATTTGAGTTGGAAAAATTCTGTAGCATATATAAAGCACACCTATCATCGCTTTTAATAACATCATTAATTCTGAGATTTTTATGACAGCTGGGATGCCTATGCAAACAGCTACAACTCAAAACATCTGGAATCTGATACAACATTAGTCTGTCTTATCTGTTTTCTTCAGCCAAGTCTTAGCTATTGCCTTGGAGCTAAGTGAGGTTGCTTAAGCAAATTTCTCCATTTCTGCCTTCTCAGTGAGCTTCCATTTTGCTGGGTGTTTTTTTTTTTTTTTTTTCCCTCCTAAATGACAGCAAAAGCACTTGACATTGACTATTTTGAGGTCTCTGATTTAACCTCGTAACATAATAAAAGTGAAGTCAATAATGGCTCACATGAGACAGCTAGGAATGTACAGCTAAAACCTAGGATTTTTCTCCCATCCCCAACTTCTTCACTTTCATAAGGTAAAAGTACTAGATCAAGCAGTAATAGTTGGCATGTTAGCTATGATAATGCAAAGAATGTTGAGAGCATCTTTCAGCTTTTTCTTGTTTTTTTCTTCTTCCTTTTTACACCAGTCTTTACTTGTAGCTTCCCCTGTGGTAACAGTAGAACGCAAATAAAAAACAGTACTTGTGGAAGAGGGGAAGACAGCACAGGCGTGAACCACCTGACCAGTCATTTGACCAAAGCTTCCTTCCTCCTTTTACATGCATTCACATTCACTTTAACTTTAGAAGTAATTAAAGCATAGAACTGGGTCTGGGCTAATGTTCACTTGGTTTAGCTGATAGCCACTGTAGACACCCTAGAAAGTTCTGTACATCTTACTATACCATCTCCTGCTGGTCAATGGTGAACAGAGCTAGGAGTTGTGTCATTCTGGCAGAGGTGAAAGACACCTAAAGAATGCTGCAACTTAGATGAGCCATCAAGAACCAACACACTAAAGCAGCAGCAGGATAAACAGGTCTCCAGACACAATACACTTCGTTAGAGATGGTGATCATGATGTCAAAAAAGTGCCAACGCTCACTGGCATTTGGCATGTGAAGTACTGCAGACCGTGAACAGATCTTACCTTCCAGAATAATAACTCCTGTGTCACACAGAATTCGAACTGTTGTCAAAACCACCAATATGGAGAATACATAGGTACATATAGGATCGGCAATCTTGTATTCTGGCTGCAAGGGAAGTTCCAAAGTGTTAAAGGATGTACGAAAATAAGCTCACTTATAAAAATGTGACCCAGAAAATGCAGTTACTTGTAGCTCCAACTTTCATGAATATTTCTTTTTATTTTAATAGTTACAAAACACATAATAATCTTTGCTTATTTTGCATGAAGGTATGAATCTTGTAATAGAATACCACAGGTTTTCTTAATAATTTAAGAAAACAAGTCCCTTTTTAATTTCATCACTGGAGTTGAAATTAAAAAAATTCCACCCTGCCTCAAAGACTAGCCCATCCTTACCTTAAAGCGTATGATATATGCAGCTACGAGCACACCAATACTTTGTACCAGGTCCCCAAGGGCATGTACAAACGCTGCTCTCACGGCAAGGCTGCTGTGTCCATGGCTGCTGCTGTGGGCTGCGTTAGGAGAGTTTGACTGAGGTACATGAGAGCGAGGGTGGGAATGGGAGTGGGAGTGAAGGTGGCCAGACTGATTCAGCAAAAAACCCATTCTGAAAGGGAAAGAAGAAAAACACTCCAAGAAACAGGCTTTAGGGTTTTTTTTTTTTGTGGGTGGTTTTTTGTCCTTTTTTTTTTTCTTTGTCTTTCCTTTTAGCCAAAAAATTGAAAAAAGTAATACTCAGTATCGTCTTATTTACGAAAATTAAGAGGTCCAGCAAAATTATATCCCATGAGAAAGTTACAGGCCATGAATTAGCAGCTTATTCAGAAATACATTTATGAGTGTTAATGGAGAGAAAGGGAGATCTTACATTAAGTTAACTGCAACACCAACAGCTGCTGTAATCAGCATGATATCGCCATTTATTTCATAGTCCATATGGATAGTTCTTTGAACAGCTTCATACAAGAGGAATGCCATAAGGATATAAACCAGCAATACACTAATGATGGCTGACAATACTTCTGCAAACAGAAAGGAAACAACATTACAAAAATGAGTCTCAGATCTGTTTCTATTTCCAAATTAGAATGTGTATAGAGCCTTAAGTATTTTAACTATTTTATGTGAATTATAACTCTAATGCACAACTAACAAGTTGTGCAGTAAATAAAACTACTAAAATAGGATTAACAAATGGAGTTAACTCCTTCACACTTCCCTGTCGGTATATCTCTCAAATTATGTTTTCTATGAAAAGTCTTGCACGGGCGATGACTGGGACTTCTTCAGACAACCCAGAACTTTTGCCTGAGAAGTTGCAGAAGAAGCCCTGTCCTCAGGAGAGGAAGTCAGGTGATCTCAGACATCACCAGCCCGCCTATAAATAAGAGAAAGCCTGATTTCAAGTGTCCTCAGTATTAAGCTGGATTTAGACTTTTATATATCCTTTTATATTTAGGATGGAGAAAAAATTATAAGAAGGTTAAGAAACCGAACAGTACAGACTTCTCAGGCATATTACTCCTAAGCTTCTTGACATATGTGTACATACATACTATTTATTGCAGTTTTCAGCTATGAAGGATTGCTTAACGTGCATGTATTGCTGTAGTATGCTGTTTTAACGTTATCTAATGTTTGCCAAATATTCATCTTTCACAAAAGTAAGAGTGTTGTAGCCAGCATTTTGGTGTAGGAATTTTATCTGATCAGCAGGGACTTTCAAAAGGTCACATACGTATAAATAAAGAGAAAATCAGAAAGTTAATAAAACTCCTAATATTTCATTGTCTTGCACCTTCCACTGCCATTTACATCTGCAGAAAGTGGTTACAGCTTTCTACAAGGTTCCTGCTGTTCTGATGCAAGTTAAATAGGCCTGAGTATTTTATGGGTCGGGACGTTATGTGCTGTCCACCTCAGTACCCAAGCCATGAAATTGGGCTGGTAATAGCATACATAAACCCAAGGAGGATGAGACCACACTACAGTTTTAAAGTCCTACTATAAAGAATACAGGTATTTCCAAATGGATAACTAGATTCCTTTTAACACAAACATAATTGTACCCTCTGGCTTCTTATTCTGAAAATTATTGCCCTGTTGCAGCTGAAACAAAAAAAAAAAAAAAAAAAAAAAAAAAAAAAAAAAGGCAAGATACATGACAGAGAAAACACTGACCCTGTTAAAAGACTGTCTTAGTTATAAGCAAATTAATACAGGGCTTTATGGAAAGCACTGGGGACACCTTAATGTTAGCTCCATTGTATTGCATGTAACTCCACAGCCATGGCTGAGTGATCTGTAATCATTATGTGTAATGCTCATTACTGTCACTTGCCAGATGGATCACTGGGATCTTAGCCTCCCTGTGTGAATTCAAAGATCAGAGTTGGAATTAATTTACTGGGAATTGCAGTGGCTGTTTTTCCCTCTTGCCCTACACGTTGCCCTGATTTATTCCCCAGTAAGGACAAAATTCTGCTCGTGGCTATACCATAGCTATAAGAGTACCGACCTGAGAATCGCCTCCCTTCTCCCTCTGCTTTGAAACTGTCAGTGCACAGTACAACTTTGGTTACTGCAGAAGATGTAATTTCTAACAAAGAAGTGCCTTAATTTTATTTCTTGAATATTACAGTAAAACACATTCAGCTATATAAGCACTTTAATATCACCAAAATCACTTGATCCATACAGTGAATTTTTAACATCATTATGGGAGAAGAAACACCAACACATTCAGCTGTTCGGTAGTGTGTCAATGCCTGGATGAGTACCAGCATTACCAGGCAGTAAGAAGGCTCTGAAAGGCAACTGTCACAATCTCAGATGATTTCAGAGCAACATGAAAATTCTGGAAATATCCATGCAAGTGGCAGCGTTCTTTACAAAGCAGGCAGATTATTCAGGGCAACACCCTTTAAAAACCCCAATATGTTGCTTAGAATGTTTTCCAGAATGCTTTTTTAAAAAATTTGTGAAGCCATAGCACATTAACATTTACCAGAGAAACAACATGTTGTGGTTTTACAATCTAAAACCATGTTTTCTGCAGCAGAAAACAGTGTTTTCCTTGCAGTTTCTTTCACAGTCATTGTCATGTCAGCAGTGTAGATTTGTGCCGAGATCTTTCGCTTCTTGTGAAATGAACTATGCACTGTCTCAGTGGACTGACTGATTCTGTCATTACTAACATTGTCTCTGCAGCAATGGAAAAATGCCAAGTTCCATATCTAAGCTTAAATCTGCTCAGTGTCTTGCTGAGAAGGAGGTATCTCCACTTGATGGTGAAACAGAACTATTTTTGGCTTCAAGAATATAATCCTTTTTAGACATGACTGTAATTTCCATTACTTTGTCTTCACTATTCTAATCCATTCCTGAGTCTGTCAGCTTAGCTTTTCACCACTGAAAATGGAATAAAACTGAATATGGAGCATACATACTATGTATTCAAAGAGAATTCAAATAAATGAAAACTAGTGCTAATTCCCTTCTGGAATTTGACTAGACAACTAATAAGTCTGTTGTCTTTACAATGCAATGTTTATGGGAACGAGTTTGAAAATTGATCGTTCTACAAACAAAAGTGGTAATGAGCACCAGAAACATTGTTCATTAGAATGTTTTCATGCTTACTGTATGTATAAATTATCTTAAAACTTAATGAAAAGCAGGTCAGCAATGAGACAGTTCTTGTACATACTCCTAGCTTTACACAAATGCTCCACATTTTTTCTGTGACAGATGCTCAATCTGTACCCTATTTTTAACATTCTGTCATTTTTTAACATCTCTCATGAAATTCAAGCTATTGTTGAGCTCATATTATTTGCTGACAAGCTTCGTACATACAGGTTATGTGGAAAAATGTGTTACAGCGAGGATATACCCTAGAAGCAGTTTTGTTCCATTGCCAGTATTCACTGATTTGTGAAACCAGGCCCTCAGGCCACGGCATTCAGACTGGGTGCCTAAATCAAGCAAATAAATTTCACAAATGTGACTTTAAAAAAAAAGTGTATAGTAATTTTGAGCCATCCCATCTTCTGTACTTGCAGAGCCTAGGTCAAGGTTTGGGGGTCTCTTGCAGGGCCTTTACTCACTTCCCCTTCCTCACTGCAGCCACAGAAAATCTTCCCCCACTCCCAGGCTCTACTTCTCCTCCTAAAGAGGAGCCTGCACTGCTGCTGCTGGCACAGAATGGCTGAGGTGGAAAGGAACCCCTAGAAACTCTGTAGTCCTGCTCAAAGCAGGGTCAACTACAACAGGTTGCTCAGGACTGTGTCCAATTGGGTTTTGAGTATTTCCAACTGCAGAGACTCCACAACCAAACCTTCTAGTGTTTGATCACCTACTGGTGCTGGGCAGCAGAAAAGAAGGAGTAATTGCTGCAGAACTGAGAAGCTGCTCCATGTAGCTTCTCCCAGGGAGATGATGATGGGTGATATGGACTAAGTCTGTGGGCCAGATCTGGCCCATGGGCCACCACTGGATCAGTCTGGCCAATATTTTTCTTGGTAGTAAAATGGAAGGAAAAAAAAAAACAAAACAAAACAAAACACAAAAAAAACCACATCAAAAACAAAACCAAAAAAGAAAAAACAAAACAAAACCAAAACCAAAACAAAACAAACAGAAAGTGAGGTGGCAGGAATCCTCAGGGATGTGTGTTTGCAAAGTGTTATGGAGTCCTCAAATTAATTGAAAAATCAGTGAAAATTTACAGGCCTAAGATTTTAATGGTTAAGTAAGCTTCTTTTATTTCTCTTAAGATTAACTCCTGTTTTAAGTTTGGCCATGGCATGTTCAACATATGTACTATTTGGTTTTAGAGAAGTTAGAAGGACATATAAACTACTTAAATGATTTTTAAATAGAGTTAAAGTATATACTAGCAAACATCCTCCTGGAGAGTATGAGCAAGTGCCAGGGGCATACCTGCAAGGTCAGGTTTCAGTATTAGGGGAGCTCCTATTGCAAAATTAAAACTTCTTGAAAGAAAAGTTTGTAATGGGAAATGCTGGCATTGTTAATGCTTTCTTGCTAAAGCCCCAAAGATCTTTGCTAGTGTACAGAGTTATGTATTCATGCATTAGTGACTAACTGATGACAAATGACTAGGAGTGATGGAGTCGTTGAATTCTACTGCTGTTCTAGCAGCCAAAATAAAAATTGCAAATAATGACTACACAAGACTTTGAAATTCCTTGAAAAATATACACTATAGAACGTATAGAGAAGAGGTGCAAACTGTGACACTGGAAATTACCTATTTCATGAAAAATAAAGGTTGAAGCTTTTGGTAAAATGTCTACAAGACCTGCAGATGTATATTATGAATTATTATATCCAATTAGCAACCACATGAAAACACCCTTTATCATCTTTACATTTCCAGTGTCATAACTTTAGTGAAGTCCATCAATCCTGGGCACTGGCAGTAATCTGTTGTGAACAACTGACTGACATGTACAGCTCCTGCACCAACAAGCTCCTCAGTGTGTCACACAAGCACTAACATGGTACAGCAGTGAGTGACCAAAGAATGTGTCCCTATTTTATTCAACAATTCAAATGCACAAAGGTGCACAGAGGCCTGACCTACTGCAACAGCCCAGTAACTATGGATGGGCTGTGAAACACAGCTGCATATCCACCCTTGTTCTTGCTGGCGAGAGCTTCCCTCCTCTGAACCTTTCAAACTTTTTTAGGCCATGGTTTATTTGTATGAAGTCATATGTACAATCTCATCATGTATCTAATTCCCCAACCTTACTCTTTAAGATGGAAAAGGAATCAAGCTTTTAGAATTTAACCCTGAATCCACTGAGTCCTAGTTCCACAAAGATGGAGAGACTCATCCTGCTCCAAGGGAGTGAAACTCTGCCTCAAACTTAACTTTTGGATGAGGTTTAAAATTTTAAAATTAATTTTTTTATTACCTATTCCCTTGAGGCAATACAACTTATGCAGTGGAGCCACAATGGCCAGTGAAAGGACATTAGAGTCAGGGTGTTAAACATAAAGCAACTTTTCGATTTGTTGCTACTTTCTTTCTAGTTACCTATTCTTCTAGAATTAGGTGATCTTTACAGTTGTTGTTTAAAATACTCTGATAATAGCAAAAGCTAATATCTACATACCTAAGCGATGAAATCCAAAAGTGAACCTCTTCGTAGGAGATTTTGCAGACAGCCAGAGAGCAAGCAGGGTCAAAATAATACCGCTAAGGTCAGTTAACATATGAAGTGCATCTGTCATAATTGCTAGACTGTTAGCAACATATCCACCTGAAAACAAAGTTGGAAAAGTCAGGACGTGATATAAATGATTCTAGATAATATCCTTTTGGCACAGCTTACAGTTTGTTGGTTTTCTTCAACACAGTGCATTAAGTGTATGAGAATCCTTCTTATACTCACTAAACTGGGGGTTTTGCCATTTCAATCACAATGCCATGCTATAATTTAAAGCTACTGTAGTTAGAAAGGCAGTGAAGCGTGCTTTCTATTAAGAGTAACATAGAAAGGATTCATTCCTGTTACTCTCACAGAGACTACTTACATCATAACATTTGCAAGATCAGGCCCAAAATAGTTTTTATCTTTTCTATATATATTATTGCATATGTTTAATCAGCTGATCCTTTTATTAAACTACATCTGTTAAATATTTTGTCATTATGGAACAGGGACAGAAATCAAATGACTCAATGGCAAGGAAATTTACCCTGCCCACTTCTTATTTTTATTACATTATCTTTTAACCTTCATTATTCTCTGTCCTGACAGGGTTGTGTAAGTCCTGCCAATATATATTGCAGGCAATGACTTTCACTTGCATAGCGTTTTTGTTACTACCATAATTTCTTCTCATAATTATGAGCTGCATTGAGACAAATAACCTCAGATCAGAGGTTAATATCTTTGTTCCAATTCAATTGCTAATGCTACTATTGGATGGGTGAGCAGTTTAAATAACGCACCTCTCTCTTAAGCATCTCTTATCCAAAGGGGAATCAAGGACAGGCTGCGTTGTCTTCCATATGCATGAAGGTAACCCCATTTTCTCAGAAAAGATCACATCCTTAGTGTCAGCTCAGCTATTATTTAGTTTCTCTTTTTACCTTGAGATTGCCATTCAGCCTGTAAATTCTACTGAGTAAAGCATGCAGCTGGTGAGCCATTTGGCCGGCTTCAGGCCCCAACTAACCTTTCATGTTACGGTATCTTTGTATACTGTTAAAACTGTCTTAGTGCAGAGGCTGACCATGAGGAAATAGCAAAGAGATGTTCATAACTGGCTGATTGCTTTCAAGACTAGTCATAAAATGTGGGGGGGAGGGGGGCTGCGGGTGTTTGTATGTACACACCCACAGACAGAGCTACACCCTCCGCCAAACACGAGCAGGATGGCTGATACTGTAGTATTGCTTGTACTGTAGGTAACTACCAAATACACCACATTTCAACCAGTTCCTTTCCTCGATTCCCCCTTTCTTCAGTTGTTTGTAAGTTTCTAAGTTAAATTCTTCCGAGGCTGAAGTTTTCTAAAGGCCATCACAGCTCAAAAATAATGAGCTTTTAAGATATAGCAATTCATCAGCTTTTTGGGTAACATTAGTTAGGTCTTTCTTAATTAATTTGTGTTCTCCCATAATTTTAAGAAAATACAACTTAGAAATGCGCAGCTCAGCCTCTTTTATAATCAACACAGAAGAAACAATAATTCATATCTAAGGACATTCAATTCAGTAGTTTACAGGTATGATCATTTAAAGTATGTATGTTAATTCACATGTATTAAGAATCAATTCAAAGATGAGTCAGTTCTATTTCAGCTAGCCTCTCACTTTTAAAGACTTCAAAACCAAAATTATAAACAAGGAATTTGGGTACTGAAGCTAATCATAGTGCAGCATGTGGATTAAGAAAACATAATTGAGATTTATGAAATTCTGAAATCAAAGGTTCTCTGTTTCCAGATGTATCGGTTCATTGCTCAGTTAAATGTACTGCCTCAGGGCTCTTGAAACACGACTGGCAACTTGGGGGGGAGGGAAAAAAAAAAAAAAAAAAAAGACATCTATAACCTTTACAAATAGACAGCTTGATGGCTCACCACTGTTTTCAGTGACCTGTGAAGGACAGCAGTCCTCATGGATGATTAATGAGAAATCTCTAAACATAGCTGAAAACATCAAAATCCTGTCAGAAAAGCTAACCAAGACTTGCAATGTTTTTCATTTCTTGATGCAAAATGGTTCCCACAAAGTGTAAGTTGTTATCTGACTTTCACAATGTCTGTTCATCAAAATAAACAAAAAACACTGAGGTGGGCTGGGGTAATGAATTTGGCTATACTTAGGAAAAAATATGCCAATCAAGATTTCACAAAAAAAGGTGCTCAAACAAGATGTCCTGCATCTTGACATCAGTAACAGGCAGCAGAAAGATTTTTACTGAGCAAATTAATTGTCTGACAGGGTCTTTGCCTCTTTCTCAGAAACTCAAAACTGTTAAAGATCATAGAAAAAAGTCAATTAAAATGTCCTATATGATTTCCCAAACACCTGAGATACAGATCAATTCAAAAAGTTCCAAAATTTGAAACCAACCAGACAGAACACAATGCAGGACTGGAGTGAAATAAACATGTGGGACACTGACCCAGGACTTGAGGGCTTCACCTTTAATTACTTGTTCTTGCTGCTGCTTACTTGCCCCACAAAAGCAGAGAGATACCCAAGTCCTCTATCAATTCTCTGTGGAAGTTGGATGCCTGAATATTTTATGGATCTGGCCCTTAGTGCTGTCTGCCTCAGTGCCCAAATACTGAAATAAGGCTGGTAATAGCATACATAAACCTGAGGAGCATGAGCCCACACTACAGTACCAATGCCTTGTACAGACAAATGCATCACCCAGAGCTGAGCTTGCAGAAGTCCTGACTGTGAGGGAGAAACAACAGATGATGTGACAGTGATGAGAAAGTATTTTTTCTCTCAACACCTATTATTTCTAGAGCTCTCCCTGCAATATGAAGAGGTCTACAATAATGTGAATTGGATCCGAAGCCCCTAACAGATACACTCTTAGTGACTTCAGTATCAAGCTGTCGACAGCTCAGACATATTATTCAGTAAGGGGCCCTTCAGATGAATTAAATTTGGCATATATCAGAACTCAGATATTAATACAATCAAATAAAATTGCTCTCATGTTGAAGGATGTCAATGTGTGAGATATAGCACTTATGTTGCTCATCAAATTTACCCAAGTTCATGCTGAACCAAAATCTTAGAGAAAAAAAATGGAGCTGGGGGGCAAACAGAGGCATTCAGCCAGATCCCTGCAACAGGTCTGAACTGAAGTGCTTTATCTGTGATAAGCCAATGTATTGTGGCAGTGTTATTAATGACTAACCACACACTGAGAGATGTTGAAGGGCAAAACCACATTTTTCCATTAGCTCACGTTCCTGAAATAAGGCCACAAATAAAACCGGTGCAGATATAGTCAGTATTCTGGTCTCTCTCTGAAAAACACACCATTTCTCCTACGGACTTTTCTTCTACATATGTGGGACAAACTGTATTATTTATACTCAAGCAATGATTTTGCTCCCTATCCATCTTGTAGAACTTTCTGTCTTAAAGATACAATTCACATTTGCCCTAGGGCAAGTGATCCAAGAGCATGACCTCGCTTCACACGAACAAACATCAGATCTTGAGTCCTTACTGACCAAGCTGACAGAGGTGAGGAGGAGGATGTAGGTCCCATGTTACCATACCTGAGGCATCTCTGTTCTTTACTTCTAGAAAGTTTTTGTGACTTGATTTTTTTTTGCTGGTGAATTATGGCAAATAATCCATCTTATTAGTTCTCATACAGACATGTATGTTAAAATTAAAACAATTTAAAGGCAACTAACTGTTACAGTTGTTAGAGAGACCTGACTCAACATAGCCATCAATGTATTGGCACTGCGTAATGCTCCCCACTACTTCAAATCAGGGGAAAGTGGATTAGAGAGTTTATTCTTCAGGAGGCCGAGTAGCACCAAGCAGACATCTGCACTGAATGGCATGGCTGTGTCCAAAAGACAGATGGTAACAGGACACCGATATTGATAAGTCAACAGAGATGAAAAGATAAATACTGTCCTTTGTAAAACTGATTAGATAATGGCGAACACATAACATTTAATAGCTCATCTATACATCCAGGGTACCTTAACATTTAATTTTATTTCAAGTCTATGCTGCTATAGCCTATTAAATAAAGCACAGTTGTTTTGTACGGACTGTTGTATAAAGCACAGGTTCTCTTCAACCTGAATAGCAAGTGATAGCATGCCTTTATGAGGGAGCGATAAAAGCTGAACTTGAGCACATTCATTCTTCTGACCACCAACAACCGGATGGTTACATAGGAACAAATTTCCAGGTAAAAACCCACCATACTTCTGCCAAGTACTAACAAAGAAAAACCACAAATAATTTAATCGAACTACTTGGTATTCTTATGCGTTATAGTGGGAAGTGTTAAAATACCTATTATTTTAATTGCCTTTGCTCATAAAATTTGTCTGGATGGAGCATATGCTAGTCCAGAGCACAGCAGGACACTAGGTTGTCAAGAGAGTGGCTTCCTCACTGGTCTGTTATTGGTAGCTCAGGTTTTGTCTTTTCAGTCGTAAGTAACAGAATGTACTGCTGTATCTGGTGAATAAGGACAAATATCCCCCAATATTAGGTCTGTTATTATGGCACATGTCACACTTAGAAACTGTATTCCCATCTTCTTGCAAACACAGGAAGATTTTATGGCAGTAATTAAAAAATAGTGAGGATGATCTTCTTTTAGTTATGTAAAATGCTGGTTCTCTCTTGCTAAAAACACCTTACAAACTTACAAGAAAGACTTACAAAGATAAGTAAAAAGCCATTAGAGGTATAAAAACCCAGCTGTTTTACACCATTTGGGGGATTGATGAGATTCAGGTAAGGGCAGTTGCAAGTTCCTCTTTCTTTTCTTGCATGGAAAATACAGGCAGACTTTGCTCCTACACGCTCCCTGAACCTGCAGCTAATCTCTCTGATCTCACGAAATGACAGATGGTTTCTCTTAGTAAACATTTAGAACCGAGGCCGGAGCCGGGTAACCGGCCCTGAGGCACCCGGCCCGGAGAGACGGCACCAAAACCCCCGACTCACCTATGAGCTCCCCCGTCATGAAGAGGAGGTAGAGGAGGGCAGCGAGCGTCAGCCGCTTCTTCACCTTCCTCTGCTTGGAGCGCTCCCGCCGGCTGCTGCAGCCGCTGCAGGGGTCGGGCCGCCCGGCCCGCGCGCTGCGCGGGGCCACGTCCCGCTCCAGCAGCGAGTCCTCGTCGGAGGGCAGGCCCAGGGGCGCCCCGTTCACCGGCGGCTCCGGGGCCGCCTCCGAACCGTCGTCCGACACCACCACTCGCAGCTTGTTAAACCTGGGGAAGTCCTCGTCCCCCACCTCGTCCGAGAAGTCGAAGGCACTGGAGTCGTTCAGGAACAAGGGGTCCTCGCTCCTCCGCAGCAGGGACTTGATGCTCGTCCAGAGGCCGGGCCCAGCCATAGCGGCTGCGGCTCCCGGGGGCCTCGCCGGCTGCGGCCGATGCGCCGCCGGCGGCTCCCGCTGCCGCGGCTCCCGCTCGCCGGCGGCGCCCGTCCGCTCGCCGGCCCGTCAGGGCATGGCCGGCATGGCCCCCGCCGCGCCCTGCGCAGGCCGGCCGGCAGGGAGGCAACGCGGGGCTCTGCCGCCGAGCGCCCCGGCACTACCGAGCCCCACCACCGCCCCGCGGCCCCTCCGCGCCCGGCACCGCGCTGTCACACACACCCCTCCCCTCGGAGCCCCGGGCCAACCCGCCGAGCCTGTCCCTCCTCCGGCGCAGCCCCGGTCACGGCGCGGCCGGGCAGGCGGCGCCGGGCGCAGGGCCGCCTCCCTGCCGGCGCAGGGGGAGCGCCGCCGCCGCCACCGCCGTGCGCGTCACATCCATCGGCACCGCCGCGGGCGGGAACCGCGCCTCAGACCAAACCCCTGCGCGCTGCCGAGCCAGCCCCGCGGAGCGGAGGGGCAGGGCCGGCAGCCAGCATCCCCTGCGCGCCCGCGGATCGCCGCGGCCCCCGCCGGCACTGCGCCTGCGCCAGCCGCACGTTTGGGCCGCAGGTTCGAGCCCTGCTCCCGCCGTGGAGGTGGTGGGGCGGAGCCGCGTTGCGCTGCGCGGGGCTGGCCGCGGCCGCGGAGCATCGGAGGACGGCGAGGGGTCCCCCGTTGGCGGTCAGCAGCGCCCGGCCGTGCGGCACCGGCGCTTCCCTCCCGTCCTGCGTGCGTTTGTGTTTGGTGGATAAATGTCATGCGAGGTAGAGATTTTTAACTGTAAAAGCCATAAAATCCACATATGATCTGTTAATAGACAAGCAGCTGTTTTCATGTACACTGGAAACCTGAGCTGCATAGTTCCGTGCTCTGGCTTCAAATTTTGAAATTCACAAGTTTGTTTTGTGTAGCTTTTTCTTTCTTGCCCTATCAAAGGTGTTATCCCAAAATAAGGGTTCTTTCACTCGGGTATGCAAGCCAATATGCATAGGGTCGAGGTATATCTTTTATTTCATGTCAGCACAGAGATGGGTGCTAAGTGGTAATTCCACAAAGCTGTCACACCACACAAAGGAACTGCAGCCTATTTATCTTGTTACATGACTAGTAAAAACCTATCTAAAGTTACACTCATTGGTCTGTAATTGGTCTTACCATTCCATCTGCTATTGATTAGTTATATTTAAATTAGCCTCACTTGCTATGTAAATTAGCACACATGCTTCTTACAGGCACAAGGGGGAGGGTGCAAGTGCAAGTGCAAGTGCAAGTGCAAGTGCAAGTGCAAGTGCAAGTGCAAGTGCAAGTGCAAGTGCAGTCTTGTCTTGTCTTGTTAAGTCTTGTCTTTTCTTTCTGGTCTTGAATTGAGTCAGTGGTCATGATCTCCCACTGCCACCTTTACCTTTCCCCCAGTTACCACAGATTTTTTGCTGACTTAATGTTTCTCAAGCAATCATCCAGCCTTTGGGGTCTTCTGGAGGAGGACATTCCCCTTTTATCAATCTTTTAGCTCTTCTTCAAGGGTACAGCCATTAGTAAGGCCTGCATTGTTTATACAAAGTATCAAGCTTATACAATAGCCAATGTTTAGCCGTTCTCCTTAGAAGATCAGTGCAGTACATTCAATCCTAAATTAAAGTGTCACTGTAGTTTAGGAATGAACCCGAACATACGGTTTTACTCAGTCTACAAAGGCACGGTTCTTTACACCGTTTCCAGTAACTCCCGTTAGAGCAGTGTCCTGTTGTGGGCGGTCACATGTGCCTTTCAGAACATTCCTTAAAGGATGTAGGGAGAAACAAACCTCAGAGGCCCTGCTGTTGTATAATTCCTTTCATAACCATACTCTAACTTAAAAGTAATTAGATTTTTGCCTTTATTAATTCTGTTGAGAGGTTATTCACCCTCCTTGCTGGTCTGAGTACTAGAAATTTTCTTCCAATTTTCAGCCTACACAAACTCAGGGCCAGTTTGTACCCACGACCAAATTTTGTTACTGCGTCAGTCAGTTCCCTAAAACATAAATGTTTGTGGAAAACAAGTCTGCCTGAAGGAAAGTACATATCCTGTTTTTTGACCTGGTTGAAGGAAGTTGCCAAGTAAAGACCGGAGAGTTGTATAAAACTGCAAGGTTTTGGAGAAAGGCACTCCTATTCTGGCCCAGGGCTGATAGCAGATTCTGGCATGCATCGGGGCAGCACTGTGGGATGTGGAGCAAGCCCCTTCTTGGAACAGGCCCTGCAGGAGGGGAATCTTGTACAGTAAACTGTCCTTGGGTGGAGATTGCTTATTGTTGTTCTCTGTAATGATGTCCAAAAATAAACAGTATTATGCTTTGTCTGAGCTCCCTTGTTACTTTATAATGTGACCATCTTCCTGAGCATGCAATCTCAAATTATTCTTCCTCGGGTGGCTAAAGAGGTGTCATCCCCAGCCCTCACCCACCTCGTAACTCCCCCAGCAGGGTTACTAGAACAATTAGCTTGCAGCCAGACAATGAGCTGGGTCCCTAAAATGGGCCAGAATTAAGAAATACATACTGGAAGGGGTTGGGATATATTTGTAAGTGTAACTGAGACTGCTTCTGAGATCACAAATTGCATACTTGTCCATATGACAGCTGAGGGGGCAGCGAACAGTGTGGGACTTGGAAGGAGCTGTGGAGGCTGGGAACCTGTTAAGCCAGCCTTGCTGCCGGGGGAAGCCTCCCAGCTGTGTGCCAGTTCAGCCATTCCAAAGGGTTTTGTTCTCCTCTCCGACTGATTTAACTCACTCTGTGTTTCACCAGTTCCTTCTCTTGTACCAGCACAAGTGAGCAAGGGCACACAGGTGTGAATGACAAGCCAGGTAGGAGCCACCAAAACAACTGCTTGTAAAACTGTCTTAAATTGTCGGGCCTTGCGTTGGGGGATTGGGAGCCTATTCCTATGGGCTCATCCTCCATTCTGCTACCCCGTCAACAGGAACAGAAACTTCCAGCACTGAAGAAGGGTAGTTAGTTGGGGGGACTTAACACCACAAACCATTGCACCAAGGTTTGGCAGCTTGCCTTTTACTGAATAACTAGGACCAGATTTTTCTGAAGTGTTGTCAAGAACCAAGTCATACATTGTCAAGATGAACTTCCATGGAACAGAGCCTTTTGTAACTCCATTTCTTTATTATGACAGCCAAGGCTGTACTGTCTCTGTAGTCTACTTCATAAGGACAGAGAGTCTTTAAGAAGTGACCTATTCATGTGATATATTTCCTTTTCATACTGCCATCCTTGAAGTCACACAGTGCTTTCAGAGCTGATGGTTTAAAACATACTATTTGCAATACAATTCAAAGTATAACTTAGCTCCATTTTTACTCAGATTTCCAGTGGGGTGGGGGGGAGTGGGGGACGGATGACCACGGACGGACTGTCCCTAGACTTACTATATATATGTAACTGCTTAAATCAGTTACAATAAAATCCAGAATGTAGGTGACAGTGTTACATTAAAAGTTCCTGAACACAGTTGCCACCATGTAAAATTTAAAGGAAACATAATTATTTGCTGTTACAGTGTCACACAGGCATTTTGTCTCACCAGTAGTTCAACATTTAACAGCTTTCCCACCTATGAGCCTGCAGTCTTGCTGGGAGCGTAAGACCTCAGCAAGAGGGATAGAAAGTTGTGTACAAACTTCCAACAAGCCTCTGAAGATAGAAAGTAAGTGATGAATTGCTGTAGGGTTAGGAGTTGCAAATAAATGCAGGAATACAGCAGAGGGCTGGAGGAGGAGAGAAAGAAAGGAAGCATGCAAGGATATTAAATAGGGATTCACAAATATTGCTGCCCATGGATGGGTAGAAGAGCCATCAGCTAAAGAGCCTAGGCTCTTCACATAAAGCCTCCTTTGGGTAGCTCTGCTGCTGTGTAGGGACTACAAATCCAATTCAGCTAATTATATAGAGATGTCCTCAGCATGATTTTCATTCTGATTAATTAAAGCGGCTTCATTGTATGGCTCTGTGGGTTACAGAGCTTATTATTGCATGGTATCTTATTTTAGACAACAATGGTAACGTTAGTGCTGATTTTGGACAAGTCCTTTACATTTTTAGACCAGCAGGTAACTGTGCTTTTTGTTAGTTTAACCAAATGTTTGCATTCCTTATTATAGGGTTAACTTCCTTTTCAAACATATTTTTATCTTAGAATAAAACCTTACCTAATCCTTCACAGGATAATGCACTTGGGGAGTAGTTACTGTGAAACAAAGAACATTTTGTAGACAAAAAGGAACAAGAGAGGCTTTCTGTCAATCTCTTTTTCGGACCATTTGGGTTGATAAATAGTTAAATTTTCACTTGCCTTGAAAAACAGATACCAATTTATATTCCAGTCCTTAGTCTATTTCTGCAAGACGTGGGAGGGCCTGGAACAGGCAAAGCAGGAGCACAAATCTGAAACTCCCACATCTCAAGTGAGACTATTTCAGAGTGATTATTGCACTTGTTCTTACTAGAAATTCCATCTGGAAGCTGAGAAGTCTTTCCCAGTGAAACTTTCAAAAAAAATTTAATTTTTTCCCACTGAAAGAAAATTTAAGTAAAATTGCTAGCCAGTTGAAATTGAGAATTTGATCTGAGTCTGTTTAAGTTAATTGACAAGTTCCTGCTGTTGCAGTCCGGCTTCAGACCAGGCCTTTGATACTTCTTTTTTAAAGCAAAAGCAGGAAAAGAAAGAAAGACAGGTGAGTTTTTAATCTGATGAGAGAATAGTGACATAATTGTGATCCATAGTTAATTAGAACATACATATGAAGAAAAATATAAATGAATTTGCAACAGTCTTGTCATTAAAAATGTCAATTTTAAGGATCACGTATCATCTCAAAAGTCCATTTGTTGCCTTGATCTGTTTCTGGAAAGCATTAGTGGGACTATCTGAATGTAATTTAATCTTGAAAACTTGGGGGTTTATGGAAATACGTCATTCAAACACTTTCTGGGTGATTCCTTCATTAGTTTTTTTCCATGGTTGTGTCTGCCTTTCCTGATAAGACCTTTATAGATAAAAGAGAAAAAAAAATATAAATCCTACCATACAAGTGATTTTTCATTGAAAAATTTAAAAAATTATATACTTGGAAATTATTATTATCCATACAGACTGTTGGGGGAGATGCAGACACAGGTACGTGCACCAAAAGTAGCTCTCAGAATTTTATTTCCTAAGGAGGAGTCGTGAATACTCCGCACAGTTTCTGGAGAATAACATCAAAATGTATTAAATACAGGAGAAAATACATCCTCAAGAAAGACCAGTGATTTTACTTGGGTTTTTCCCTCGGAAGGAGACCTCAGGGGACTGTGCTGTGCGCGCTTCTGCCTGAACGCCGTTACCCCCCCGCAACGCGAACTCGCGGGCCACGGCTGACCCACGGCTGACTCCCCGGGGAGCCGGGTTCTGCGGAGAGCTGCGAGCCGCCCGCCCGCCCGTCCGTCCGTCGGTCGGTCGGTCCGTCTGTCCGTCCACAGGCCGAGGGCGCCGCTCCCGGGGGCGGCTCAGGGAGCCCCGGGGCGCCCGGGTGAACAAACCTCACCTGGCGTCCGCGGCCGAGCCCCGCTCCGCGCCCGGTACCTCGGCCCCCCGGCACCGGCGGCTCCTCCCGCGGCAGCTCCGGGCCGTCCTCAGCCCGCCGAGGCGGGGGCGGGACCCGCGGCCGCCACCGCCCACACCCACGGGCGGCCGGGGCTCCCAACGTCAGTCAGACGTCATTTCCGCGCCCGGAGCGGCGGCTCCGCTCTCTGGGGGGGCGCCGGGCCTGGGGGAAAGGCGGCGGCGGCGGCAGCCGCGGGGGGGCGAGGGAGGCCGGCCGGATCCCCCCGCGCCCCCGCCGCGGTGCCGGCCTCAGCCCGGGCGGCCTCCTGCCCGGCCAGAGAGCGGGGCGGCGCGGACAGCGGCAGCCATGAGCGTGGCGGAGCGGCCTGAGGGGAAGGAGGAGGAGGAGGAGGAGGAGGCGGCGGCGGGCGGCCCCGGGCGCTCGCTGGGTGCGTGAGGGGCGGAGGCGGCGGGGAGTCCGGCGGGGACGGCGCTGGGTCAGAGCCGAGGCCCCGCGGGGAGCGCGGCTCCGGCAGCATCGCTCGGCCCGGGGGCGGCCGGGGGCCGCCCTGGCTGCGCGCCGAGGCCCGCTGCCCGGCCCCGCCGTCCGTGGCTCCCATGCGGTGTCGCCGGTAAAGTTGACTGTCCACCGAGAGCTCTGCAGGCTATAAAGAATCAGAGGTTGCCCGTACAAAATTGACAGTAACTGTTGCCTAACTCTTGGAGTTCAGCGTGTGGTGTCTTAAGGAGGTCTTCGTATGTCTTGAGTGACAGGCTAAGACCTTTATTTGGTGGGCCTAGGGTCATTCTCTAACTTTGAAAGCAAAGAGTGTGGGGGCGTGTTAATGTTTAGGTATTCATGTATAGCCAGAACAACTGATACTACCTCTTTTTTTTCCTCAGTAGACTCGAGGACTCTGAATTTTTTTTATTAGAAGTTTTTGGAATACTCTATTTCCATCTTTCTGTTCTGCTGGTGTTCAGATAAAACTGTTCGCTGGGAAGCTCATGATAAAGGGTAGGGGATAAGGGAGGGGTAAAGAGGGGGAAGAAAAAGGTAGCACAGCTTCGTTGGTAAAGTGCAAAGAATTATAACTTCAGTGTTGAAATGCTTTTTAATTTTTAAATGGGAAAATACAGTTGCTCAGGATGAAACTTGAAGTGTGTGCTGCCCAGTCACATTCAACCTTGCTATTCTTTGGTGTAGGCCCTAGTGATGCATCTCCAGATGAAGGAGTAGTAGAAGATCTGCCTTTAATAGATGAGAAAGCTGTGGATCAGCTAACTGAAGGATTGATTTCTCATTATCTGCCTGATCTTCAGCGATCAAAATCAGCACTACAGGAACTTACGTAAGCAGATTTTTAAAACCAGCTTCTTATGTGTGCATATCTTGTTTGCTACTTTTTTTCAATATAATGTTCTAGCTATCTTTAACTGGAATATAGTATATTGTAGCGTTTTTGTGTTCTGACTATAGCATCCTGAGTAGTTAAGGGATTTGCAGGAGTACTGGGGGATGTATAAGCTGCAAAGTAGCCTATCAGAACATTGACTGAAGAATGTGGAATGCTAGAACACTAAAATCCCCTAAGCCAGGTATAGCAGAGGACATGTAGATTTCTTAAATGCTTATTCCCTTCATTAGTGGAAAGTCTGATGAAAGCTGGATTTATTTGCTTGCAGAGATGCAGTTCATATTCAGGACACCTTGTAGTGTGGCATATTGTTTATTGTCCAGTCTCTAAACTGTGTTGCAAAGGATACACTTTAAAAGTATAAATAAGGAGTTAACCAGATAAGAATTCTTTGTACATTGGCATCTCACTGATAACGGATAATAGCTTATTTGAAATGTGGGCTGGATCTGCCATGGATACAGAGATACTGGAAGGGGCTTTACCCAGATCCATCTCAGGTTTTGCAGGGTACAGCAGTTTGGGTTTCACGATGCATGATGCGGTTATGCTGCTGCCAAGGGCAGCCTGTGTCTGGAAAGACTTTAGCTGATTTGCGTGGGATGGAGGATCCTTAATAAGCACCAAGGATCCATGCAAGCTCTATACAGAAATAACTTAGCCCTGCAGCATGACGCAGAGGCACCCAAGTGGAAAGTCAAGAGCAAATTGTTTTTCCCTTCATTCAGCCTGGGTTGTTTACTCGCTGCAGCCTTCAGAGTGCCTGTTCAGGGGTTTTGGACATTGATCCTGGATAGCCATGCTGTATGATGCCAGCTGAATTTGTGTGTGTTCAGCTGGGGTTTTTCTAAAACCATTTACTCGTGTCTCTATTGAAATCACCTAGCAATGCATAAAAGTAGTCTGATATTGGGAAGCATGTATTTGCATTGTTATGATCAAAAGTAGTATTTCTTTAAAGGGCTGGTTGAAAAGCATACGTGCTGCTTTACTTTGGTTTTATGCATCATTTTTGTTTCAGACAGAACCAAGTGGTATTACTAGAAACATTGGAACAAGAAATTTCAAAATTCAAAGAGTGTAACTCCATTCTTGATATCAATGCTTTGGTAAGTACTACTAATGCTTTTCTAAATCTCTGTTAATGCGGATTTTCTTGCTGAAACATTAGTAGCAACTTGTGTATTTCCCTTCTTCTTAATGACCTACAGGAAGAGAACCAACCCGTCCAGATATTTGGGACAAATTGTTTCTGGAGAGGGTGTGGAACCAGTATATTTGTCTTAAATAGGAAGGGCACTGGGAAGAAAAGCAGACTCAGTCAGCCAGTGGTAGTAAGTCTAGTTGTTCAAAACCAGTAGCTGAAGCAAATGTATGCCATTTTTCAGTAGGACTGAGGATCCAGTGTGAGCTCTGTGCACCTCTCCAGACTAGCAGGAAGGGTACATGAAACACTGATATATAGTGCATAAAATGGTAATACTTTTACTCTGTTTAACAAATCTTAATTCAGTGGATTACTGGGTGTATCTGTTGATATATGGTAGTTCTCTGTATTCATACATGTAATATGTCAACTTCATATTTGAGCTTGCACGTGTTTAATCCATTACCAAACTGCTATGGTAATTGCTGTGGTTTTGATTGCTGTTTTGCTATGTAGCTTTATAAAACAACTATTCCAACTTGACAGTCACTGCTTTAATGGTTATGGTTTTTAAGTTTTCAGAAGCTAAACATTATCACAACAAGTTAGTGAATATTAGAAATGAAATGATGATGCTCCATGAGAAGACATCAAAGTTAAAAGTGAGTGGCATAAGTATTTTTACTTTCCAACATAGATATTTAATTACATATTATTGACTTCCAGCTTTTATTTTGCATGCATGCTAAAAGTTCCGATTAAAATACAATCTTCAGTCCTTATCTTAAATGGATGTTTTCAGTAGCACCAAGCCATGTATGTTCTTAAACTTTCACTTACTCCTACCTGTGCTTAAGCAACATATGCATCTGAACTACTAGTAAATCTGTGTCATCATCATGTTTAGGTGGTATAAGAATCATGCTTTGTTCTGTCGTGTAATCCACTCCATTCCAACTATTTCTCTTTGTTGTTTCAGTTTCTATGCCTTTTTATTGAAAACTAGATTGTCATAAATGTAAGAATTTCTATTTAATGTAATATTGACAGTGGCATAAGTTCACTGACTTCGTGTCAGTCTCTGTTACATTCTGGTAAGATGAGTCCTTGAGTATGTTCAGCAAAAGGATTTTCTCTTGGAGACAATAAATTACACAGTACGCACCTTGCCTTACGCTCTTAGTGAGACTGAAGGGAATCTGGTTTGTATTTCCCCTGTGCAGACACAGACTTGCCACTTCTGAACAGTAAGATGGAAGTGGGAGGGAGGAAGGAAAAATGAACAGTCTATGCAACATTCAGTCATAAGCAGTGTGGATTGAAGAAGATGATGTTGAGAGAATGGGAGGGATTTTGTTTGTAGATCCAATTTAAATACAGCTATGAAACTTACAATTATTTTCTTGTCTTTTCTGTTTAGAAAAGAGCACTTAAGCTGCAACAAAAGAGGCAGAAGGAAGAACTAGAACGAGAACAGCAACGTGAGAAGGAACTTGAAAGAGAGAAGCAGCTAACAGCAAAACCTGCTAGGAGAACGTGAAAGCAGAGCATGCAACAACTTGCCTGAATTAATCATTTCTGCATTCTCTGGAATTAAGGCAGACTTTGCTTAAACTGGGTTATAGCTGTTACTAGCAACAGTCTATGATAATATAAATTCCAGAATAGTAATAAAAGGGTTGGTAACATTCAAATTTTTTAATTTCAGTCATTCAAGTTGCCTTCTTTTGTAATTCTATGCAGTTTGATATTATTATAATGTAAGTTCTTTCTTTTATGTATATATATATATATGTATGTATATAGGAGAACTTAGGCATCACAGTTTTAAATACCTATCAATTTTTTCATCTATTCTTTTGCTGTTTAGATTTCTGAGCGATATTTGGTGACTGGTATACATGGTATTCAGACAAAATACAGAATACTAGTTCCAAGCTGTGTTCTCATCACCGGACTTTAGTGGCCACCTATTTCATTGAAACTGCTTTGATTCAGGCAGTTGGGATCTCTCTTTGATGCCCTGGTTCATAAACACTGACTTTTTGTTTAACCTTACTTTGGTCCATCTCTAATGAACTGAAGAAACTTTCAGTGTATTTGCCTGAAAGATCACTTTATTGCAGCAGTCTTATTTTTTTGTCATCAAGTAACTTAAGACCAGCTTCAAAGTAACTTATGAGTAAGTTCCCAGCTGAATTGTTTGGGGGGTGGGAAGCAGAACACAAGATTCTGAAAATTGGTGTGTCCACAATGCCAATATTAGTGAGTTTGTGCTTCCACAAACATTCGGTTGAAGCAGGGAACTGTTGCTTCTATTTTGTGTGGCAAAACACATCCAAAACTAAACAGTTTCTACTTCATGTGAGATTCAGTGACCTGCAGGAAAAACTACTGTATTTAATTTTTTTCCTTAATAAATTATTCATTTGCACTTTGGGACTATGTAAGAGAATTTCTGTTACGCTGTCCTCAGCAAATTGATGATTGTTGTTAGTGTATACTGATGATAAATGTGGAATGGAGGTTGATATCCATTTCTTTGAATGTAATTGGTTTCGTACAGCACTTGGTATGAACTCTGATTCAAATGAATGTGGTGTCTAGACTGGTAAAAGAGCTTTAAACTATTTGTTCGTACAGCCTAACAAACTAGTTATTTTATATATGTGTTATTTTTTAAGCAATAACGGAAGTGGTGTGTTTTGAAGTAAGATGAAGGGTAAACTCTGTAAAATTTTCCATAAAATAGGTATGATAAGGTATCAGAGTAAATTTTACCTTTTCTTCCATTTTAGATGATTTACACAGCATACACCTGCCTGGACTCTTCTGTATTGTAATTTTCTGAACTCCTGATTTCCTGTTCTTAATATTTGTCAACATTTTCTGTGAAAGACATACTCTAATGAGTAACCATCCAACACACGAGGTAAACTGGGATGATGTTTTGGGACAAGGAAAACAAACTACATATAGTCTAAAGAGACACTGAAATGCTGTTACTGAAGCAGTAATAGATTAAAATTTTCCACATGTATTTTTCCTTTAAGCTGACTTGTGTCTATTAATTGCTAGTGGATTGTTGACCTGTGCTGTGGTTTGTATGTATTTCTAAGAGGAATGTAAAGAATTTCCACAGTCCATATTTGGAGTAGAATGTACATAACTAAATATTGTTTAAGTATTTTATTTTGTAATGTAATTCCAAAATTTGTTTCTGGGAATTTAAACAGTTTTTATTAAAGTATAACATGAAACTAAATGCCTTGGTATGCAAATTGGGATTAAATTCCTGTGGTGTTTCTTGATTTGTGTTCCCTCACCTAGAATCCAGTTCAGTGTTTCAAGTTGTGATCTCTTTTCTGTCAAGAACTGTGGGGTTTTGGTTTTGTGTTTTTTGTTTCAAAAATCATGGCTAGTTTTTCTTGAAAATGCAGAATTCTAAGCATAGAAATAGTTGCTTTTGCAATTGCATACTTCAGTGTTTCTTTGGAATAATTTCTGATCAAAGGAATAAAAGCTTGCGGTGCTTGCCTGAGGAATCACATACACATACACAAAAATGTAGTTGATAACTTTTCCCACAGAGATGTAGTAAAAACTGTTTTTGTTATGAATAAGGAACTTAATTTTACTAAAGAACCTTTCTGTAATAAAGGGGAAAAAACAAATTAACGTACATAAGGGGAAGTTTGGTCAGTTTACATAACTTTATTATTGACCTCTTAAATTATTTCATTCAAAACTACAATTCATTATCTCCATAGGGTGTTTTTCCTCCGAATACTTCTCTTGTGTCTGACTGCATAAAAAGTAAATGCTGCTCTGCATTAGTTTAATGATTCTGGCATCTAAAATTGTATGCTTGCATTAATATGCACAGCTAGAATGAGTAATTATAGTACTGTATACATTTAGTCTTGCCTGATTTTATAAAAAAATTTCTTATCAAGTAGATAAATGTGGTGGTGGTAAACATTTTCTTATTGACTTTTCGTTCCATCCACATGAGGAGGTGCATCCAGCTGCATCTTTTTGAGACACGGATAGAATGACAGCTTTAAAACACTACTTTTTTTTTTTTTTTTTGTACTGATTCATACTCAGTGTCCTCACTTGGTTTTAAACTATCAAGTCATAGCAGCCAAAGTAAGACACTTAACTGTGCTATAACTCTTTGAATTTTTATTTTGTAAGATTCTACAAATTTAGGAATTGCTGTTGCTAACTAGTAAATCTTGGTTTCCCATGCTTTTATCTTTGCTGTTGTAAACTTGGATGCCTAATTTAGGTTCCCCCATCTATAGCTGTACAGCTTTACATGAGCCAATTTTTAATCCAGTGAAATCTGGCTTTTTCACTAACAGTGGTAGTTTTGCCATGTTCATAAGACAAATATTTGTTTCCTTTTTGAAAGTGGCTACAGAATATTTTACCTGGTTTTATTCTGTGTGCTACGATGTGATAACAGCATATATAATAACATAAAGGATGTTTCTGTAGCTGTTCTGTTGGCATTCTAGCAGCTGAGAGAGTTCTCTGGCTGATTTATTCTGAATTACAGTTCAGCAAACACTTTCTGCCACCTACTGTTTGCTTTTCAACACTGTTGTCCTTTAATTCTGAGCTTGGCAAATTAGTGCCTCGATTTGCAGGGGTCATTTTTTAAAAAATCTCTTTAAATCTGATTGGTTATTTGATGTTTGTTAGATTAGTTGCTAGAATATAACTAAATTACTGCTAAAAACTTTGCAGGACTTGGAATTAGTAATGTAAATCTGTAAGAATATGAATTATAGCAGCATAGATATTAATATGGCTATTCATGCTAGGCAAAACACAGTATGCACTAAGTTTCTTAGTATGTAAAGGTAGCAGAGATTATTTGATTTATTTATTATTTATTTATCCTTAAATCAAACTGTAAGCTTAGGTTAAAATAAATAGTTGGTTTTGATACAAATATCACTGCTCTCCAATATGTTTGGAGAAAGAAGTACGCTTGTACTTTACTTTTCTCAGTCCTTGGCAAAGTGGTTTGTAGAAAAACAGGCACCAAAACTGGACAGTCACATCCCCCCACACCATTGTGTGTCTTCAAACCAGTCCTTTGTGATACCAGTGCAGCCAAGAACTCTTATGATGTGACAAATTTAGTTTTCTCCAATATTCTCTGTGTAGGTGATTGAACTAAAACTGATGGGAAGAACAGCTCTGTTATTGGTACCTGACAGTGTCACAGCAGTGTTGGTGGGGAGGATCTTAACTGTTCTCCTCTGGGCAGTACCTGTTGGCAACCACGGATCTGGGAGGTTATGACTAACTCAGGTTCATAATTTAAGTGTTTGTGAAGTGACGTGTAGCTTTAAAGCACAGATGTTGGCAATACCTGATAACTCAGTAATTTCTTCTTGGGTTTGTTCCTATCTCCATTTATCTCCACCATGTCAAGCCATAGGGTTTAAGGAAGGAAACAGAACACCCTGCTTGGCAGTTGGAAAAGTTACAACATGTATTCAGCTTTTGCAAACTTTCAACTTAATGAAGCAAATAATTTAAAGCTTAATAAAGGATAATTTCAAAATCTGTACACATGCAAAGGTGATAGTCTCTAAAGCAGTAGTTTACATAAGTAATTGATGTTACACTGTCAGTCACACAAAGATGTAAGACAAAAGATTAGGCTGATCAATTTTGTTTCATGTGTTGCGATGAAAATACATCCCAGCACTACTGTGAAAGCAGGACCATCTGTACATGTACTGGTCAGCAAAACACTATCTAAATTTAGAAATATAGTTTATTGCCGTGATGAGCAAGACATCTGTCACCTGGGACTCATGTAAAAAATAATCTCCTCCCATGTAAATACAGCCTGCCAGAGTAATAGAAGAGTTAATATGAACTTTTTGCCACCCTACTACCTGAAACCAATGTTTCACCCCTTCAGTGCTCAACTGAAGTTGCTAGTTTTCCAGTCTTTAAAATTGGGTGGAAGTCATGTTGGTAAACTACGTATGAGGATGTATTTCTTACTCTTGCTTTGCTTCTGCTTCTGTATTTTTTTGTTTGTATTACTGCTTCTTTTTTGTTAGCCTTACAGATTCTATGACTTAGAAGTATGCCAGAAGAAGAGTATCTCCAAGAAAACATACCAAAGATGATGTGAGGAAATCACTGCTTTTCTTCTACATCATCCAGTGCTACCAGAGTTCATTTCAGATTGTGCTCACTATCAGGTAAGCACTTTCCATGGAAGAATACTCCGCATCCTGCAGAACTCACAGTCTAAGCCTAGACAGACATGCAGATGTTGTCCTGTGGAGGGGTCAGTATAATTAGCCGGCCAGGAGGTGCATGCTCCAGGCTTCCCAGGAAAGCGCAGTTGCCTGGTGAGCAGGGAGTGTTACCCATTGCTCCCGCAGCCACCCTGGGTGCCAGTGGTGCTGAGGTGGCGTGCACCCGGGCAGTGTGTGCCCAGCCCTCGCACAGCACCCTCCACCCCTCATCCTGCCTGGACTTTGCTGCTGTGAGAGAGATAGGCAGCGCTCCCTGCGGCTGCAGGAGGGCTCTGGGCTACAGGTGAGTAGTTTCTTCGTGTTTGGTTTATGTGTTCTGTTTGTGAGTTAAGTAATTTCTTTACTAAACTTGCAGACCACTTCTGCGAGAAGGCTGGGGAAATACGCATGAGAGCATAAAGAAGATATTTTAATATTTAAAGACAATCCTAAAAATATATGTTTTAAAACAAAACAACTTTATTTTCTCATGGAGGGAGCTGAGGATCAACCTCTTAGAACAAAAAATGTGGAAAACAGGCTGTACTTTGACTATGTTGGAGCAGCTGGGAACAGGAAGTCAGGAAGCTCTTAATTATGAAAATGGGCAGTTTGGTTGTTTTAAAAGATGAGACTGTAAACCATGGGGCCTTTTTCTCTTTAGAGAAGTCACTTCTATTAACAAACATGTCTAATCTCCATGTCATATTTTTAAAGATACTGATTGTGTCTTCTCCCAGTACATTTTCTGTCCAGTAAAATCCATGAAAGTGTAGGTGTTCAGCAGCTTTGAAGAATGAGGCTTTGTTACAGTCATCGGAGGTCATTTATTAATTATTGATCTAGTAAGTGTTTGGGTTTTTTTTTAATTAAAATTTAATTATTTTGCTATTTTTCTGTTTATAGAAAAGGACCACTAGATTAAGGTTTGGGGTTGCTGCTTACATGTAACCGGATAATGTTCAGATATCGAAGTATCAGTGGTTACTGGGTTACAGCTAGTATAGGGGTTGTGATTTTCGTTTAGGTCAGGCTGAGGTGAGTGACCTGTGCTAAGTGGATCTAGGTGGGACTTCGAGGCTGGTACCAGCCGGATTTGCAGCTGGGTTTAGGTCAGGGTTTCTGTTTCAAAACTTATGGAAGCACATGTATTAAGGTTTTGTTTTCAGATGCACTCAAAAGGGAGAAAAGGGAAGGCATTAGACTAAAATTGGGAGGGTTTATTCATTTGATAGTGCTTTCATGTAGAATAATGTAGTGTTTAAGCTTCTGTGGAACTGGTATTAGATGTGCCAAGTCTTATGCAAGTGACAGGAAGAAAAATGGTTTGTTTTGAAGGCCTTTTGACTTTGGACTTTCTTACTTTTATTACGTTTACACATTTTACCTGCTGTTGCAGGTGTTATGTAGCTGTGGAAAGCATTACAGAAACTTCACATATGTGTATGGAACTACTAAATACTGAGAAGTTCCTCCAAAAAGGTAACTCGTATCCTGTCAGAATTAATGATATCTTTTGGCTAAACCTGCTTCTTGGACTTACTTTGTGTATTTTTTTGTGAGAACAGCCACTGATAGGGAATGATAGCCTGGGTTTTTACAAGCAGGCAAAATGAGTTGTTCTAATTCAGATGTTAGATGCTGTGGCCTCATCTCAAATAGCCTCTGTACCTGGCAGGGAGCATCTGTGAGAACACAGGTAAGTTGTCAGGCTTGACTTGATGATTATTGGCCTTTAGCCGTAAGCTGAGAAAAGCAACTGAAGCTCCTTTTCTACAAATAGAAGCTCAAAGTAACACGAAGCGTAGGCCAAGTGGCACAAGCAAAGAGTATTAGGCAGTTTGCCACTGGCTGGCCATGAGGAGTGGCAGTGCACTTGTGCTGAACAAATGACAACTGTGGAGCTGGGACAGAGAAACTGTTTTTGTTCAGAAGTGCGGGATGTGATTGCAGTGTGCACACCTGGATGCACCAGGGGACAGACACATGTACCCCTTTTCACATGGGCACCCTGCAGAACGTCTCGTTCCTTTCTGCTTCTCAACTGCATGCAGACAGTGGAGCAGCCTCGTAGTGTCTGCCCATTTAACTCCTCAACACCTTCCCCTCATTCTTTATAGCTTTCCACAGCTGGCTGTGTACCAACTGAGCAGTTGTACCTGTGCAGAAACTTTGTGCCAAGAGGAGAAGGTTGAGCCTGAGAAGGAAATGGCCTGCCAAATGGTTTGGATCTGTTGGTAGCTTGATGCGTATGAGTTGGCACAAGTAATTTTGTCTGTGTTAGCACTAATCTTCACGTGACTTTTTTTTGGCTTGACAAACATGATTTAGTGGATTAACAGCTGTTATTACTTCATGCTGTCACCATGTCGTAAATCAAAGGCCCTAGAAAGTATTTGGGGAAAACATCTTAAAGCTTGGCTCAGCAGTGGGCTGCAGTTAGAGGGATAGAAACAAGAGATGGCAGCCCAACTCTCTGCTTGTCCTCTTTCTCCATGCTTCCAAGTGAGTTACAGCCTGATTCCAGCTTAGGACTCTAATAATTCGTTCGGCTTATTAAGAGAAAAAAATATTTCATGTATTTTTTTAACATGGTGGGATTCCAGGCATAAGTCTGATGTTTGAGATGGAAGGCCTGTAGAGCAATTGGTTAGAAGATAGGACAGTCAGGAAAAAGATTAACGCAAAGCTGCTAGAGTCCGTCCAGCTTTCCTTGGAGTGCCGGCAGCTCCAGCAGTGGCTTTCAGACCTCTGAGGGGGATCAGAGACCCAACCGTAAGCGAGCGGCAGGGGCTGCCCGGCTGGCAGAGCCCCCCCGGAGGCCGGCGCCCACCCCGCCCGGCCCCGGCCTTTGCCCGCCCGCACCTGCCCTGTCCGAGCTCCGCCCCGCCGCGCCCGCTGCCAGGACCCGCCGTTTATCGCGCCCGGGGCGGCGGCGCGGTCCTTCCTTCCCCCGGCCCTTCCCCGCGGAGGTCGGTGCAACAGGCAGGCAGGGGTGAGGGGCATTGCCGCCGGGGGCGTCAGCCCTGCCGGGAGGGAGCGGGGGGTCCCGGGCGAGCGGGGCGCCGGGGCCGGCCGCGGCGTGAGGGTGCGGGGGTCCCGGGCGGGCCGAAGCGGGCGGCGGCGGCGGCCCTGGGCCCCGGGGCGGGAGGGCCGTGCCCGGCGGGCGGGGCAGCCTGCGGGCCTCGGGCGCTGCGCCGGCAGCGCGGCCTCGCTGAGCGCGGCGGGGCAGCGGCTCTGCCCGGGGGTCCCAGCGGGGTGCAGCGGGGCCTCGCCCGCCCTTGGCGGCGCTCAGCGGCACCAAGCCCGGGGTGCGCGGCCGGATTTACCGAGAGGTCGCGCCTGCCAGGACCGGGTCTGCTTCCCCCGGTGCCTCGGGGTGTCCGAGCCCTGGCGAGGAGACCCGGGCGCGTTGACCCGCTGGCTGGCCGGGAGCCGTTTCGCTGTTGTGCCGGATGCGTGAGGTACGCAGGCTTTGCACCGGGGAGAGAAACTGCTGCCTGCCATGCGAGCACGCTGGAGCTGCCGAGTGTTTGTGCAAGGGTGGAGTATTTAAACTGTTAATCTGCGGCCAACTGTTTAGAGAGCAGTTGCAATGATCTTTACTCTTGCTGGTAAGACTTTTCTAACTTCATTTGTTCTGACGCCCTGCAACAGATTGTTCATAAACTGGCTCCGCAGAGTAGTCACCCTTGGGAGCCGAGCATAGAGAGGTACCCCCGAGAGGGGAAAATCCGTAATTGTCCGGAGTGTCTCCACATGAAGTGCCATGCTTCAGTGGCTTGTACCACTTGGCATTCTGCATGTGTCTTCGGATGTACCTGTTCAGTGATACCTTCTCTGCATGGGTAATACTGCAGAACTAATTGTGACAAAGCACCTTCCATGTTAAATCAGCTGGTGGACCTGGTAAGCGCACGCGAGAACAGATTGAATGTTGGTGCTGGTAATTAACCACTTCTCTTTTTAGTTTAAAGTTAAAATAAATGTTGGTAACCAATTCAGTTCCTCCATCATGCTTCTAGACAGGTCGTTCATTTGTTTTTTAAGAACAGCTGAGTGAGAATAGTTCTTCATGGTTTGTTTTCTCAATCTCTTAAAGGGATATAAGCCACTAACTGTAGGAAAAAGCGTTTTCTACTTTTTTTTTTTTTTTTTTAACTGAAAAGTCACTGGGTTTATGTTTGTACTACCTTAACCTGCTTAATGGCATTCAGATGCTCTCCTGGGCAGTCTTCACTGTGATTTTTTTTTTTTTTTAATTGCATTTTCTTCAGTATTAAACAGACTTGTTCTAAAATCATGTGAACAAATAGCCTTACAGTAAAAGGGAAAAGAGATTTGTGAATGGAGGTGTGACAGTCTTTGCTGATTATCTTCAAGGTAAGAATGTTGGGGGAAAAAAGTCTGTTTTTAAAAAAGGAGGGGAAGCAAAAAAGGTTTGAAATGCCAGCTCTTCTAGTAGAAATGAGATTTTTCTGTGGACTTATTGTGAGTCACATCACCCTGATTTTTGTGATGCCAGGCGAGTTGTGCTGCAGTAGCATTACACAAGCTGCCAACTCTGTACCAAACTATGGTGGCTTGAATGTGTTTGTAGAACAGACTTGCCCCTCCCGGTGACAGAACTAGTTTGAAAGGGCAGAACTGTCTCAAGCTGAGCAGAGCCCTCACTGAGGCGGAGAAGTGTATTGTAGGCTTTACCTTTCTAGGCAGCGCTCAAAGACTTGTATACGGATCTTCACTAGGAATGTGATTTCATGCTATATAAGGCTGTACTGTATTGGCATAACCAACTGTTATGTTTTGTGGTGCATAGTTTAAAGGATGATGGGTAAGCGTGCTGTGTTTAAAATGGTCTTGTAAAAGCTTAAAATTTCAGTTCTGTAGGCTATCTACTGATTTTCCCCTTCACCGTAATTTTTGTCCTGTAATTCCCCTGTTCCTTGATCTCCAGCATCCAAAGTAGAGGGTTGATATGTTGTTGACTCAGTTGTACAGCTGCTGTCTAACATGGGAGTTTAATATGAAGGATTTTGCTGTTATTTTTAAAACAGCTGTCTACAAATGACATTTCAGATTGTTTGTTTCTGTATACTCTGAAACAATTTAGAAACAACATGATACTGCATTCTCATCAGTTAGACTGCTGGTTAGTTAAGGTACATCTCGCGTGTGCTCATAAGCATGCTTACTTCAAAATCTGTTTGGTCAGAGCGGATAATTATTACTTAGTTAACATAACAAATATTAAGTCTCATTCTCTTGGTCTGGACGTTCTGCGTGTTGTCAGTCAGCAGGCTGCTGTGCCTGTTCTGTGTGTTTAATAAAACTCAAAGCAAAATCCTGTGTTCATGACTTCCGGGAACAGGATGTCCCTCTGAAAACTCTCTCTCAGACGGAAGTTGCAAAACTTACTCTTCACAATTCATCTCTCTCTCTGATTTGGAGAAAGCAGGACAAATCTTCATCAGGTAACTTTTATTTCGAGGGCTAGAACAACTTCCTCCCCGTGCTTGGGCAGTCTGTCCACATCTTTAAATAACTGCCTGCACTAGATAGATGATAAACAGCCTTCTAAAGTGAAGCTAACTTATTCTACAGTTGGGTTTTTTTTATTTATTTTGAATAGGTAGAGAAAGAATATCTTTGCATCTTGGAAACTTCCTGTAAAACAAAATGATTAAAATTATTTTTACAGTGAACACCTCTGAGACTTTCCCTCTCTGTCCTAAATTATACTTTAGGGTTTAATAATGGCACTTCATAAAGAATTTGGGGTACATGGACATGAGGGATGGTAAGATAGCACAGGAAGGTGGAGAATTAATTGCTCAACTACTTCTAGTGTAGCGGAGAATTTTTGAAGCTGGCCTTAGATTTTCTTTAAAATATTTGAGGTTTCTAGTTTACTTTTCAGACTCCTGTCTGTAAGTACCATAAATGAGTTCTACCCTTTGAGAGTGGAAAAAAATTGAATTATTGCCTGATGACTCAAGAGATTCAACAACGGGGAGCAGGTATAGAACACAGGAAAGTCTTGTCGTAAGTTGCTTTTCAGGTTACAATGCTTACTCATTCTTTACTGGCAATGCAACAATAAGGAACTGAATTAAAATGTGTTTATACCTGTTTTATCACTGAAAAGCTAAAAACTGATATTCAGCGTGTGCAAACAGATGTAGTACAGGAACAGCTCTTGTTCACTAACAGAGGGAGGGAAATACGTGGTTAACCTTGACTGTCTTCTAGGTAATGCAATTGCATATCCAGTGCTACAGTGCTTTAAGGTTCTGGTTCTTGCTTGTCAGGTGACAGGGTGCAGCTGTAGCAAGGATGAGTATGGGTTTCTAACCTTCGTTTCCAGTTAATTTGCTGATGTAAAAGGTGACCATGGATAGAGAACTAAGTATTTTGAGTATACTCAAAGATCCCAGATCCAGGAAGATGTGAGCTCGTTTCACTGAACTTTGTTTTCCTATCAAGCTGAGGGCTCACTACTTCTCCTGCAAGAATAGGTGAATACACGTGCCCTTCCTCAAAGTGCTACAGAATGCAGCATGTTTACCCCGATGGCGTGCACCCCTGAGAGGCAGAGAGAAGAGTTATGTCTGATGTGTGCATGTGCTGGCACATCCTAACAGTAAAATACAACTGTAATGATGTGTTTGGCTGATAGATTAGTTAGTGCAATGGCACTCAGTATGTACACACAACTACCTTGTTCAGTATTTCAGTGATCTACACAACTTAGCAAATTCTTCCTTTTTGTGGCACTCATCTCTTCAGGTTTGCAGTATTACGGCTGGAGTTACAGCATGTGCATCGCCTGTGCTATAGGATCAGATACACTTTCCTGCCATGATAACCAGAAAATGTTCTTGTACTTTGTTAGAATTCATTTGCTTGTGTGAAATTTCAATTCCCTGGCAGAGGCCAGGATTGACTTTTTTTCTTCCCCAAATTGATTACAGTCCCTTTGCAAATTAGTGTTTTAGCTGCAACAAAGGTTTAGTATTATAATTCTTGCCTTGAAGTATGCCATCCAGGCATACAAATGAATATGAATTCTACTTTCTGTAGCCTCTCCTACTTACTGGTGCCTCTCCTTATCTTGTAGCTTCCCACTTACTGAAAGATGTCAGCAATTGGAGTAGTGTCCTCCTGTTCCTGTCTCCGTCCTGGAGTATGGCTGCTGAAACCAGGAATGCAGAAGATGAACTCCTTTGGCTTACATACAGCAGCCAGGTGTGCTGCCAAGGATTATTACGAAGTACTTGTATTGGGTGGAGGCACTGGTGGAATCACCATGAGTGCTCGGATGAAGAGGAAAGTGGGGGCAGAAAATGTGGCTGTTGTTGAGCCAAGTAAGGTAAGTCTTCCTCAGCTGTAAAGCATTGAAAGGAATAAGTGTTTCACATGTGTGACCAGATTGGTCTGCTTCTCATCCCTCTCCAACCCCACATGTTTTTAACTGTGGCGAGGGAGCCAACTAGCCATCTTTTAGAAGGCTTTGCATGAAATTTGTTGCTTTGTGATAGAGATGCACATCCTTCCAGCTTTGTCATGTAAAACTCTTGATTATTTATACAACCTCTTTTGTCAAGAATAATACAATGTTAAGAGCACATTGCTTCCTATTTGGAGTGATGAACCTTCATCTTAAAGTCCCTTTTAAACAGCTCTTAAATGTCCATTTGAACATTTCTTCCAGACTCATTACTATCAGCCACTGTGGACCCTGGTTGGCGGTGGTGCAAAGCAACTGGCAACTTCTGCACGTCCAACAGGAAGTGTAATGCCTAAAGGTGTTGAGTGGATCAAATCTCGAGTTACAGCCTTGGATCCAGATAAGAACTGTGTCTGGCTGGAGAATGATACCAAGGTAATGATGTAAAGAAAAATGAAAAATTTTAAAAGTTATTCTTAATTTCTTATTCTATGTCATGAGTTGTCTGTCTACCTCCTGCAGATTCCCTTGGAACTCCCTATTGAGTAAAGACCTTCCTTCAGCGTCTAGGAGGCCAGGAAATTCCATTTAGTCATATGAAAAGTACTTGATCCTAAAATCTGTTTCTAAGAAAAAATGTTGTAGATAACTAGGTTAGAATAACATCAACTTAAAATATCATTATTCTAAGTCTTTTCCCTGTTTATAGTGAACTGAACATTAAAGTTACAATTTTTTGCTCTAAACACTTGGTTTTGTGTATAGCAAAGGCTGTATGTGTAACTCACAATGCAGTTAGCATTTTAACTATAAATTATTCTTAGAGCTTAACGTTTATGTTACTAATGGTCCGTATATCTCCTTCCCTTATGCCTCTGTTGCTGTCAGATAACTTAAATTTGCTTTGAGGTAATGTTTTGGGGTTTGTCTAAAATACTTTTTTTTTTTTTCCCCTTATACAACAGATATCTTACAAGTATCTCATAATTGCCCTTGGGATTAGTCTGCATTATGAAAAGGTATTTGTTTTATAGTAAACATGTTTTTTACAAGTTTAATGGCATCATGTATCCTTATGATCCTCACTAAAGTAAATGGCTTTTCAGTACACCTTTTTACTGTGAGGTATTGAATGCTAATACAGATTAAAGAGCCACAAGGTGTTGAATGCTAATACAAGTTAAAGAGCCAGAAGACAGCCTAATGAGTTTACTTCTTCCACATATCTCTCTGTAATAACCCAAATTACCCTTGTGAAGGTCTTTTAAGACAGCTTTGTTGCATCTCTATAACAGTATCAGCAAATGGGGCAGCAAGTTAAGTCTAGAACTTAGAGGCAGTCTGTAATAATGAGATAATAAGGTACGCTGACTGTAGTCTGAAGCATTGCTGATGTTAACAGAAGTGAGGAACACACAAGCGATCAGTAAAATCTGTCCTGCAGAATTAATTTAACCCACCCTCACCTTTGTTAAAGGATGCACTTCAAAAGGAACTAGCTGCATTACCACGCTTGTGGTAACTGGGGACCCACCTGGGGCCCTTCTGATCTCTTCGGTTTCCTGTACACTTCATTCAGTGGCACCCAAAGCAAAATGTTAATACTGTTGTGTGGCACCGGAATGACCATAGCGATATGGAGGAGTAGGAAAACACAAAGGCAAGATGTTTGAGCGATTGACTCTCATGGTTTTAATCTGACCTGAATATGATGTAGTATCTGATAATATATTTGAGTATCTCTTTGAAAAGCTCCCGAGGCATCCATAAAGCAAGAGCTAGCCTTACTTAACTATAGTCACACCAGATAAAATCTGGTGATTAGATCAGTGGAATGAGGAGTTGCATTGTGTTCAGCGACCCCTTCAGTCTTCATATATATCTCTTCAGTACAACCTGATAAAACTAAATTGAGTACTAGAAGCCATGTAATACAGTTAATCACTATTACTCTGTAGTGAATAAAGGGCATAATAACAGTTCTATATGGCTTCACAACAAAAGTGGCCACTTTAAAAAGAGGGATGGTTTCTGATTTGTCTTCACCAACAGCATGCTTCCTGGTGTAGACTGTAATGTCCCAAACACATGCAGTGCATGTTACATGTCTCCGTTTTCTCACAAAATTTCTGTTATGTTGAAATGTGGACAACTCCCTTTCTCATAAGCAGATGCCCAGGCATAGTAGGGAAATAATTATTGGAGACAGTTGAGTTAAATCAAAATAACCCTAGGAACTGTAGATATCTGCAGCTGACTATGGGAGAGTTTCATTCAGCTTACAAATTTTCATAATGCCTTTTTTTTTTTTTTTTAACATGATTTTTACTTACAATGAATGACATGGCAGTGACTTTATATATTCTTACTCTGAATTTCATGCACTAGTCCACAAAAACTTGGGATTGCATCTGCACTGAACACTTACGCTACAAATGTTGCAGACCACAGTAATTTCAGTAAATGTTAAATCATCTACTAAATTCTAATGGAAATATGTTTGATTGCTAGGCTTATTTCCAAAAATGCCAGCTAGCAAGTATGTAGGGGCTTCCTTTTTGCTAGAGGCTTCTTACATACCTATTTCTCAAGTCTGCATTTAATACTTGATGATGACAACAAAATTTTTGCCATCGGTTCTTTAAACCTTAATTTCATTTTCTTAGATCAAAGGCTTGCCTGAGGGTTTTCATCACCCTAAAATAGGTTCCAATTATTCAGTTCATACGGTAGAGAAAACATGGAAAGCTTTACAAGATTTCAAGGAAGGAAATGCTATCTTCACTTTTCCAAATACTCCAGTGAAGTGTGCAGGGGCTCCTCAGAAGATCATGTACTTATCAGAAGCCTACTGGAGGAAAGTAAGTATTTTACTCACAGTGCCAGTGCTTGTTCCCACAGTTGGAAGGCAGGCTTGTTCTAAGGGATTCATATTACATTTAAAACAAATAAAAACCACGTGGGAGGAATGTGACTCAGAATTACTAAATTAAAGTGACTGAGTTGCTTTTTCTATTATTGTATAATAAATGAAGCTAACTGAACTGTACATAAATATTTAGCATATATTTAATACTGAAGAAACTTGTAGAATTCAGAAACCATAAGGAGAGAACTGCTTCTGGTGAGCTACAGATACAACTGTTCTCAGCCTAATTTATAACTTCAGGTGGTGCACTAAAATAATGCTGGCTAGAATTAAGTAATTCTTGTTACTTTAAGTACTTAATACCTATTGCCGTTTGTCTTTCTGCTAGTTTGCAAAGTGGTGCACTGTCTCAGCATGGGGAGGAATCTTAACCAGGCTGTTAAAGCAACCTTAGTGTAAACAAAAGACAACTTCAGGTGGAAGTGTCAGGTTTCATATGTGTTCAAGTTTCATGAGCTATCCAATGGGCGAGTATCTGAATAATGCATAGAAGTGAAGGGTTCGGAAAGCTATATAATGCTAAGCTGCTACAGGTGCTTAACCTGCATACAGCAGTTCCTCGGTGAATTGCAGCCACCTCTTCTCAGCTAGCAGTTTGTGTGGGCTGTCTTCAGTACCTCACTCAGAAAGACTAAAGATTGTCTCGTCTAGCTTTTAACATGGTGTGAAATAGCTGTATCTCGGGAGTTCTGATGTTAATATTTCATTAACAACTGAACTACATTAATAGTTCTGTCAGCTCTTCACTAGTGCAGCATAGTTCTTTTGTCTCTTCTAGCTTGACACAGTTTCTTAACAGAAAAGGCTAATTTGATCTCTCTGCAGACAGGAAAACGTTCCAAAGCAAACATAATGTTCAACACTTCACTTGGTGTCATTTTTGGTGTTAAGAAGTATGCTGATGCATTGCTTGAAATAATAAAGGAGAGGAATATTGCTGTTAACTATAAGCACAACCTTGTAGAAGTTCGAGCAGACAAGCAGGAAGCTGTGTTTGAAAACTTGGACAAACCTGGAGTGACTGAAGTTCATCAGGTAAGGAGCTTTCCAACCTCTAATTTGGTCCTATTTCTTTTCCTTCTATACTGTAATATAACTGCCACACTATAATAGCATAATGTCTGCTTTGTTATATACCGCCATCTCCTCCTGAAAGTACCATCTCTAACTTTAGCAGAAGATTAAAAAGTTTGAAACCAAGGTGGAAAGAAGAAAAAAGCATTTCATAAACCATACCTGGAATCCTGCATGCCTTGTCAGTGTAACTTGGGAATGTCTTAAATGTATATGAAGGCAAGTTGCTGTTATGCCAGTCTTAACTTGAGATGCCTGATAAGGTTCATATTAATTAAAGGATGCACTTCAAAGTTGAGAGCAAATTTTCATTCTATATACTTGTACTTTTAAAAAACAAACCAAGAAAACCACTCCGCATTGATTGCCTTGTATCAATACAGGTATGATTTGCTCTGATAAACTAGCTGTTGAGTGCCTTTTCTTTCTGTCTAGTATGAAATGCTTCATGTCACACCCCCCATGGGGCCTCCTGATGTTCTCATCAACAGTCCTGTCTCAGATGCAATTGGCTGGGTGGATGTAGATAAGGAAACTCTACAACACAAAAAGTATCCTAATGTGTTTGGTATTGGAGACTGCACCAACCTTCCAACATCAAAAACTGCTGCAGCTGTAGGTAAAGTTGCCTGTGTGTGTGTGTGTGTGTGTGTGTGTGTGTGAAACGTGTGGGCGTGACAGTAAGCTTTTTGTTCAGTTTGTTACTCCTGAGGCCTTGACTTCAATTATTTCCAGCCTTCTAAAAGACCCAGGTCTCCTGGGCTAACTAATTAACTACAGACCATGCTGATGCCATTAACCCACAGTTCTTCTCTTCCAAATGCTTCACAGATGAACTAATTCTGTGTTCACTGAATGACATAAGTGTGCTGCTCTTGCATTCTGTCATCATTCAGTAACAAAACTTTCTGCTCTATCTTAGCAGCTCATGCATGTGTCAGCTAACTGATAAGTTGCTACTGCAGAATCACATGTTCTGTGCTTGTAGCCACAGGGTCCACTATAAAAACGCTTTAGGTATATGGTTTCACAACAAAAAAAACCCACAAATTACAGCGTGGAAAAAAAGAAAGACTATACAGTATGTTATTGGTGTGGGGGGAAAAAAAAAGCAGCTATACATTAAGTTATTGGTGTAACTTGAAGAATGGTGAACTACTCCAGCAAACGAGTCTAGAATACTTCCCTTGCAGTGCTCAAAATGAAACAAAACTGCAGTGTGCCAGATTCATAAGTGTTTGGGAAGACAAAGGAAATATAATTTAGTGTAGAATGGGCAGAGGCTGAAAACATACAGCTCAAGTTTCATTAAGCTCTAGCATGTTGGAAACAATGAGACCAAAGCATTATTCCAAACTATTTTTTTTTTCCTTAGCTGTGACTGTAAACTTCCCAAACTGATTTGACATCCAAGTTCAATTACAGCTGAATTGTCCAACAAACTGCCTGGCTACTAGTATTTGCTCTAGTAATGACAATAATTGCTGCCTGTAACAAACCCTTAATATACTTTTTCTTTCTTGTATAGCTGCCCAGTCTGGAGTGCTTGATAAAACTATTTCCCTGGTAATGAAGAACCAGTTGCCGAATAAAAAGGTACACACAGATCTTGTCTTGGGGAGCAGTTATCTTGAAGGTTTTCTCTATTCTTATGCAGGAACTCCTGCAAGCAGCTAAACTCTGTGAACGGGAAGGCAGGAAGGGCTTTACAGCAGCAGTTGGGGTGCTAAATAATATATGCCATATAGTCATTTAGTTGCATAATTCATATTCTTGATACTGTGTTTAAAAAATATTATGTATTTATTTTCCTGACTTCTGAGTTGAAAGGAGTTTAAAGGCTGATTAGTCGGGGTTCTTGACCAATGCAGATGACTTATTTAGAGTAAGACTTGACTAGTGCAATCCCTACTCCAGGAAAAGCCTTGCAAACTTGACACATCTGTACAATGTTGAACTTGCCGCCTCTGTACCAAACATGATCTTGTAAGGAGTTTTGTACTGCAGATGATATATTTGCCTATACCTATGTTCAAATTTCTCTCTGAGACTCTACTTCCATTTTTCATATGGCTTCTGAATTAATATTCCTTGGGCTACTAACCTTAATATCATCATCCATACTACTGCAACTCTCTGAAAATTTTGCAACTAGATTTTGTCTGTTACTTATATACTGTCTGTTAAAACCAGCACCAGCTCTCATAATGACCTACTGGTCACCAATTCTGCTGGTTACAATAACCAGCAATTCATGACACAAAGTCCTGTTGTTCTAGGTTAGTTCTAATTTAAGCAATGTTGTTTAAGCAAGTCTACAATCTGTGTTTGAAATAAAATGGCTTAGTATTGTAGTTATTAAACCAATATTGGTTTAGCAGCCTTCTAAACTTGCTGGTACTAATGCTATAAAAGCAAAAACCTCATAGTAACTTATTTTGAAATACAAATATTAACCCTATGGCTTGTAACACCTCAGCATTTAGGCTTTATTCACATTAATGGAAAGGGGCTATTCTCTATTGCAGTACGATGGATATACTTCCTGTCCGCTAGTAACAGGCTATAACAAGGTGATTCTAGCAGAATTTGACTACGACGCTCAACCTTTGGAGACCTTTCCCATTGACCAGAGTAAGGAGAGAGTAACCATGTACCATATGAAAGCTGATATGATGCCTTTTCTCTATTGGAACGCGCTACTGAAGTAAGTATTTCACTTCTGAGCAGGCAGAGCTGCTCTGAGAATTGAGAAAAAAAGCTCCGTACAGATACCTCTTCCGACTTAGTTCCTTAGAATAAAAGCAAATGAAGTACATAAGTCTTAACTGAGGCCTCGAGTTTCTGAGGAATCTTAGCCCTTTGCTATTAATAGGGGTTTGTTCAAGCAGAATAGGGTTGAATTGCACAGAAGGGACATCTCACTGAAGTAAAGATGATTCTCCAAACCAAACCCTCCTCTCTTAGCCCATATGGTATCCTATGGGAGTAAAAAAAAAAAAAAAAAAAAAACCACTATCCGCCACCCCAACCCTTACTTGGATAGTACATACATAAAACCTGATGAACAACTGTCTCCATTTCTAGGGGCTACTGGGGAGGACCAGCTCCTGTCAGGAAGCTAATGCATCTGGGCTTGAAATAACTGCTCCTTCTCAGTGCTGGTCAAACCCTTTTGAAGAAGGACTGATTTCACAGTGGATCAATATGTACCTTCCCTCTTGGACCATATACTAGACTTTTTCTAAAGATCAAGCTTTTGTCCTATATTTGTCCTCCATTCACTTTCTTTCCTACTAGGAATTAAGTTGCTCTTCTATGTAAACCCTAGCCTTAAACTACTTCTGTACATTCCCAGGAGTTTAGACTTGCATTAAGCTACAGGACACTACTGCAATCTTCTCAAAGAATCACTCATTTTAAAGCTGTTGTATATGCAAATTTTTCTCACTGACTGAACTGAATTAATCAACGTGTGCACTGGATTTAAGGAAATAGCAATGCTAGTAAAATAGCCTGAAAATCTCCTATTGTTCTCTCATTCTTGAAGAGCAAACTCAGGAAGCATACTTGTTCCCTAATTAGGTAGATTACGGAAATTGGTGAAGGTTAGTGAAAGGAAAAAACTCAAAAGTAGTACATGTGTACATATATACATACACACACTCTCTTAGGACAGTTGTGCCACTTCACATTAGTTCTGCTATAATGTTTTACCCTCAGAGGTTAAGAATATAATGAAAAGACTTCCCAGTAGATTGGAGAGTGGAAGACTGAAATCATCTGAGGCCATAGACTAGGCTGAAGCACAAATTAAGATGACAGACAAGGGGGAAGTGCTTTTTAATTATGACCATATGAACAAAGTCAACTTTGAGTTGAGAGTCTTCACAGAAGCCGGAACTTTAGTGGCAGTCAGGCAGACAGCATGGAACAGGAATCATCTTCATGCACAAGAATCATCATCAGCTTAGTTCTGAACAAAAAAAATACACACGGACACATTGCAAGTTACAGCTTCATGCTTTTTCAACATAGCCTTTAAAAGGGTTGCCTTTCAGTTGCAATTGTAAGCATGAACATATACCTGCACGTTAAGTAATTCTTCAATCTTGTTCTGGATCTGTCCATACACATCGTTAAACAGCTCCTCCTTTGATTTTGTTCCATTCAAGTGCACTTAAAGAATGAAAGTGAAATAAGAGGGCTGTAATTGAATGGGTTTGTAAGCCTGCCAGATCTTAATTTAAAGGGCATGCACTTCACTGGTATCAGAGATATACTCCATCCACCTGCTTTAACTCCGCTCATGCACTTAACCAGGTTTGAGAAGCACTCCCATAAAGCAATCTTTCAGACATGCTTCTGACATTAAAGACTTACCCACATCAACTCCAAGATCTTCCATTATCTTCCTGTGCTTTACATACATGGGCCAAACATGGCCATCAAACAATCCAGGTGGATCTGGTACAGTGTAGTTTCTTGAACTATAAATTAAGACATTGTTATTCTAGAGAGCTTAATCACAGCTTAAGGAAATGATGGTTCATTCTGGTTTTCTACACACTAGTCTGAGCCTGTTGCCTCCACTGCAGTTTGAGTTTATCAAAAGTCAGTATTTAGCGTAAGATGCAAGCACAAAGATACCCCCCAAGTGAAATTTGATGTGCAGGTCTAAAGTGTCCAAAATGCAAAAAGAATTCCCAAGACAAACTGATCTTAACATTGATGAATAGCCTTCTCTTACAGCTTTAGCAGAACTTCAGTAAAACAGCTGTCTTTTTTGCTCTGAAATGTAACTTTTTCCAAGTTCAACGTTTCATTTGCATCAATAACAGTGTATGTGTACAGTAATTCAGCCAAATAGAAAACCTCAAGATAGTTCAAGACCTGGGGACCCTATCATTGGAGAACCAGAAGGGAAGAAAGCCTATTGAAAGATCTGAGCTGAAACAGCCTTAGTCTCACATACACCATAGTTTGGTAAGAAGCTTTTGGTTTGGTTTAGGAAGCTCCAGCCTTCTAACACAACAGCCACATTAGTGTTGATCCTTTCTTAGCTAAAAGCTTTAGAGAAACAGTCTTGAATGGAGTAAGATGTTATTGGGCTAGCAAGGAGACTTCAAAAGGTAAGCTTACCTCCTCCTCCTTTTACACTCTTCATATGGAATGGAGAGAAAGTATCTATGGTGGAACACATCAATCAGTGGCCTGAAAAAGACATGTTTGGTTACAGCTACACTGTCTGATTAGTAGCAAGAAATGGAAATGTAAAACTACATCCATTTTCTCTATCTAGAGCTATCTTCACACTTCTGACACTGAAGCTCGCCATCAGTCAATCCTAGCTGCTAACTCTTGGTTTAGAACAGGTCTTTTTAGTCCCTTGGAGGTTTGCCTGTCATGTAAAAATCAAACCAGATGAAATCGCACTTTATTACCTGTAGGTGTAAAGTAGGAAGCCTTCAACAATAAGAATGTGGATTGTTTCATCTCCTCCCTCCTTATCTTGCAAGATCTGGGCATCCAGTGTGTTGTTGATCCCATGGGAACGTTCAAACTTGACTGGGTTTTTGATCCAAGCGTTTATGGTACTCATCATAGCTTCCATATCTAATGCACTAATCACTGAGAGAAAATAAACAACTGTCATTAAACAGTAATTAAGTATCATCCAGTAATAGTACAAAAAAAGTGCACATAAACGGTCAAAATATTTCAAGTTTTTGAGTTATGCTCTGATAACACTGTAGCAAAGCCTTACCATCATACTGTTTAAACCCATCTTCAACTTCTATTTCATCTTGGGGCTGAAATAGCAATAAGAAAGAAAAACTGCTTAGTCAGCACAGCTACTGGGGACCTTGATACCCATTTCAAAGCAAGAATCTAGATCCAAACCCTGAAGCTACAAAGAGGAATCTTAGCTCTCCACCAGGTTTCTCTGCATGATAAAAAGCAGTAGTAATGGGGCTAAGATAATGTAGCGTGCTCCTCTATCTTCCCACCAACACAAGCACACTGTGTAGCACTCCAAGAAAGCCATCGGGAGGTGTTACAGCGCAGGCTTATCCACCAGCCGTGCAGCCAACGCAGCTAAGCAGCGCGGAGGGGCCGCGGCAGCCGGTGCTGCGGGGAGCGCAGAGGGCAGGGCAGGGCGCCAGCAAGCCGGGCGGAAGCAGGCGGGGGGGGGGGGGGGGGGTGTCACCCCTCGCCCTCCCCCCAGCCTGCAGAGCGCGGCCGGGCCGGCCGGCGGCCGCCCTCACCTTGAAGAAGTCGTCCTGGTGCACCACGCTGCAGTTGGGCAGGGCCTGCATCAGCTTGCGGGTGAGGGTGGTCTTGCCTCCGTTGGTGACCCTGCGGCGAGAGCACACCCCCCCCCCGCCACCGTCGGGAAGCGACGCGGGACACGTGCGCGCGCGGCGCCGCGTCCCGCCTCCCCCCCCCCCCCCCGCGCTCTCGGCACTGCGGCAGCGGCACGAGGATGGATATGGGGAATTGGGGAAGGGGGGTGGGGGGGAAGGAGAGGTGCTCGGGCCGCGCCTCGGCCGGGCCCAGCGTCCCGGCGGCCGCCCCCGCCCCGCCGCTCTCACCCGCCGATGCCGATGATGATGTTCATGGCGCGTCCGGCAGCCGCCCGGCCCGACTCCCGCAGCCTGTTCCGGAGGGGTGGGGATGGGGACCCGGTGCCTCCGGTACCGGCCGCCTACGCGCCTGGGCCGGGACCCGGGGGAGAGGGGGGGAAGAAAGGGGCTGGAGAAAGAGGAGAAGGTAGAAAGGGGAGAGACCCAACGTCAACTACTGGGCAACGCCATGGTCGGAGGAGGAGGAGGAGGGAGCAGCAGCAGGGCTGGTCCGCGCCGCAGAAGAGCGCTCCGCAAAGGGAGGCCGGCACCCGCCGCGCCGGGCTTCCCCTCACGCTCCCGCGCGCCCATTGGGCGGCTGCCTCTGCCGCCGCAGCCAATGGAGAGCGCGCAACGCGGGCGCCTCGGGGCTATTGGGCAGGACGCGTTCACTCACGCCCGGTAGGGCTAGAGCGCGGCCGTTCGGCGGCGCTCATTGGCCGCTCTGCCGGAGAGGGGAGAGGGGGGCGGCCGCGCCAATGGCAGGACCGGGGGGGCGGGGCCTGGCGGCGCGGGGTGGGTGCACCTCAGGCCCTGAGGGGATTGGGGCCTCCGGTCCCGCCGGCCGTGGCCGTTCGGCCCGGGGGCGGTGGGGGCCGCGCCTGAGGAGGGCGGAGCGGGGCGTCGGTTGTGCTGCCGCCCCCTCAGGCCTCGCTGCCCTCCGCGCCTCCGCCCGGGGACCGTCACAGCGGCTCCGGCGGCAGGAGCGGCCCGCGCCGCGCTGTGCGCCGAGGAAGTTGTTCGCCTCCCTGAGCCGTTAATACCCCCATCCGACAGACCCCCGGGGGCTCTCAGCACCCCGCTCCAGATACCGGCCCGGTTGTCGGTAGCGGGGCCGCGGCTGCTCCCGCCGCCCAACGCCGCCGTCGCGCTGCGGCGGAGCGGGAAAAGGCACCGGGCAGGGCCAGCCGGGCATCGCCTCCCCTGTGGCGTGACTCGGTAAGGCAGGGCTGCTCGGGGAGGGGAAAAGCTGGGAGGGAATCCTGCGAGCCGGGTGGTTTGCTTTATGGCAGGGTGACCCCTGCAGTTTTCCAGAGTGAAATGCGCCGGCGGTTGTGCAAGCATCTTCTGCGTTCAAGGTCAGAATCTGTCCTTTGGCCATGAAATTAGGGGGTTTTAATAAGCATATACAAATTTGTTCGGGAAACAGTATGGAGAGTTTGTGTCTTGTAATCCCTAGGTATCAGAAGAAGGGCACTTCCCTGCTCCTTTAACTGGAGGAGCACACGCGTTTCCTTGGTAGTTGTCTTCGTCCCTTGGCTGTGGCCTGCCAGGGTTTGGGCTCCTGCAAACCGCAGCGCTGGGAACTGCTGCGCCCGAGGGACGCCACCTCTCCTTGTTAAGGCTTTTTCCCTTGTATGAAGAAATAAAACTTACAGTCACAGCGTTTTTTGTTGTTGTTCTTTAATCCGAGTTTAGTACCATTAAATTCCATCATTTACAAGCTAGTAACTCATTTCTGCATGTTTACAATACCAGTGGTTGGTGTGTTGCCAAATATTCAGCTTGCTTCTCATCTTTTTGTGCTTTTTACTAATTTTCTTATGGTAAGACTCCAGGCAAATCTCAGTTGATTTCTCTCACAGTTATTTTTAACTTCCACTCAGAACAGATAATTTGATCTCTCAGCTTTTCTTCTTTCTGAGGGGTAACAGTTAGTTAAAAACGCAATTTTTTAAATTTTGTGACTAAGCTCATTTCCACTTTGAAATAGAGGAACTGCCTTTGTGTTTTGTTTTAAATGTGTCTGTCTACTTAGCTTTTAAAAGGAGAAGCTTGAAATCTCCAAGATTACATCCAAATTCATTAGATTAACAATGCCAACACACCTAGATTAATGGATGTCTTAGGTAAAACCCTATTCTCAGCTTTCTGTGAAGCTTCAGGGTGGCAGAAAGCCAATATATAATCATACTGCATAACAGTGTTATGTAGTTTGAGGACTAAATCTCAAACTAAATTTGTAATCTCTGCACATACTGGTAAAATCAGGATTCTACTTCCAAGCAGTTAAACCCATTCTACAGCAGGATTTCAGCTGTTTGGCTCCAAGGTTCTTCTAAAGTCTTGGTGATCTATTGTTTTTTTACTTTTTACCTTTCACCAAGCAAAATGCACCCTTCAAGTTTCATGCTCAAAACTAACTTTTGATCTAGAAATACAAGTTCCACTGTTTTTTACTATACCTTGCCATTTAAGTATGTAAACCTACAACTGTTTCAGAATTTTAACATGATGTCAATATCAAATGAGCAAAGTAAAGATGATGAACGAACTAGAAGCATGGTGGTTTGTAGAAAGGCAACTAGGCTGAAATAAGCTCCCACCTCAATTCAGTACTGACAGAGCTGGAATGACAATGACAACAACTGGACTCAGAAGTTATAACAATTTAACAGCTTGGTTGGGGCAGGGTGATGGTGGCCTACATCTGATGTTGGTAATGTGCGTTGACACTTGCTGTCTTTAGCTAACAGCTGGGAGTCAAGGATTTGTCATGATCAGACCTTGAGTCGTCTAAAGGCCAATTGTGAAGAATAGATATGTTCAGTGATTTTATCAGGATTACCATGCATCTGTCCTATCTATGGAAAGTGAGAGTTCTTTTATTTTGATTCAGGCAAACCTTTTCCCCTTGATACAGAATTGATATTTTTGCAAGTAAAATACAACAATATTTTGAATACTTCTTAATACACAGCAATGATAGAACAAATGTTACACTCAGTAAAGTATATCTAAACGTTCATAAAGCTCTTGGGTGCTTTAAGGCTACAGACTCCAGAATGGCTGTGCATCCTGCCCATTGCATTCAACATCTGTGTCTGCGTGTGCTAGCCGTTTCCCTGGCCCTTTGTCTCTCTCTCCTCGATGATACTGCTGCTATGGTGAAAAATAGAGAGAAAGAACAACAGGATATTGTCCATTTCTGGTCTGTGTGCCAACAGTGACAAAATGTTGTTTTCTCCACGGTTTGGGGATTCTCGTTGGCTGTTGTTGGTCCTGGGTGAGCCTGAACACATGAAGATGGTTTTAAAATTCTTCCAGTTAGTGTGGAAACCTTGAGTCTGTGGGAGGAAGGTGGTGTCCCATGCCCCAGCACAGACATTCTTGTCCTAGAGGATGATACTCTGACTCATGCAGAGGAAAAGAAGAGTTCTGTTGTAAAACACAACAGGAAGAGGTCCAGCGCTGCTGCGTGCCAGGAGGACACCTGCAGAGCTGCCGCAGGGGTGGAAGTGAGCCACAGGCTGTATGGGTGGTGCTGAGAAAGCTGCTCGGCTGCACAAATCTGACGCCAAACTAGGGTGCTATTTTCAGTTTCCGTTCTGCTTTTTTGACACCTGTAGGTAAGTGTGAAGTGCACAGCAGACATCTGCAGCAATTTGCAGAGCGAAGGAACCGTCGCAGGATATGGGATCGTGGTGAAGCGTTCTTGCTTAGCCATCAGGATTAATTATAACCCAGGAATATGAACCGTAAACGCGCTGGAGTTGCCAAGACAGGCGCGGGCTGTGTGCCAGCGCTTGTATGAGGACGTACCATCTCGTCAGGACTCCTTGAGAGCAGCAGGTAACACCCAGGCACGCAAGGAGCCCCGTGGAGGTAGATGGCCAAATGCTTGGGGGTACTGTGGGAGGGAGGAGGGTAGACATTCAGCCGTTACTTTGGTATGGGGATGTTTCTCTAATTTGATGCTCATCTCAGTCTGCTTTTAAAATAGGTTATTAGTGTACAGTGACACACTTTATGATTTTTAAGAAAATCCTGGCTTTGATGCAGTCTCCTTAACATGAAATAAACCTCAGAAATCTTCAACTAATGCAAAGTGTTGGCAGAAGCTTCAGCTCCTGCATGTGGGTTACTGTCCTTTCTTTGCTGCACCCAAACAAGGCATCAGTGGTGATGAAGACCACTGTGTGAGGTGAAAAATTACAATTGAGACAGATAATGAGTTGTATTAAAACCACCCAGGATAAAATGGCAAAATATATGACACATTCTGCAATAATGTATCATATAGGCCACATAAAGCTAAGAGGCAAACTTCACAAATGCTTTTTGAAAGATAAATGGCAGAGATTTAAAACATCTGCTTGAAGTGTAAGAAGTGATGAAGTTTAAGAAAATCACAAAGGTGAAAGAAATAGCTATGCTAATTACATAATTGTGGGACTACATAAGAAACGCCTGTGAAGGGAGAGGTTTATGCTGTTTGGTTGTGAAGACATCAGTGGGGATTCAGGAAGATCAAATTGATAAAGCTGTAACTTCTGTTAAGCTGTATGCTTTTAAAAGAAAACCAATATTTTTTATAAATTAAGATGTTATACTATTGTTTTAATGATCTGGGGTATGAAAAAGTTTATATGAAAGGCTGCTATATAGCCCTGGGTTTGATTTGAAGATAATAAAAAAAAAAAAGTCATGTCTGAAAAGTTGTTTTTTAGTATAGCTTCAGGGCACTTAAAGTCAGTCATTTTCCTGGTTGCCTCTCCAGTTCAGGAGTGCTGTGTTAGTAGCTTTTTTTACATTCTGAGAAGCTCTAGGCTCTGATAAATGGTTTCTGTTGCTGCTATACAGAGCTTTTTTTTTTCTCTTTTAGGGGCTTTCTGGAGTTGTAGAATACTTTTTACATTGAGCTTTTTTATGTCTAAGAAGAGCAACCATATCAGATGTAAAAAGGAAGCTTCCTTTTGCATCAGTGTGTAAATGTTAAGCATTCAATCTGGTGGGTTGGTTTTTTTTTTTTGGTTGGTTGGTTGGGGTTTTTTTGTTGTTTGGTTTTTTTTTTTTTTTTTTTCATAATACTAAATAGTTTATAACTATTGGCTAACTACCTCTGCTTACAAACAGATCACAGACTGTTAAACAAGACCTGACTTAATTCTAGCATTGTTTTTATTACACTTCTGTAAAGAACCCAAAACTTAGACTGCTCTCTGTCTGGGAGTAAATGTGCTGAGTTCTTAACCCTGATTTTGGACATGCATGTAGTGATTTTAAATTGATGCTACTTTTCTGTCCAGGTATGTTTAAGAGTTTTACATTCTTGTTTTAGTTTTTTGGAATGTCTATTGCTCATTAACTGCTACAAGACTTTGATATGTTTCAATATAAATTTAAATAATAATCTCTTTGCAGGTGTACTCATCAGATGCTTTCTGTGATCTTTACCAGTGAATCTTCACAAGCGATTCCTTCCTAAACTCACTTTAGGAACTGCATCTCGGTCCTCATACTGCTTTAACTCCCAGAGAAATAATTACGCTTAACAAGACCTCATTACCTACTGAAAAATATAATGACTGAATTCTTGGTTTGTTTTAATTGGTGCAATGGTGAACAGCCCCAGCCGGTAGGTAGATGCCCAACTGCTATCCTTTATCTGATTCTAAATGTCGTCTTTCCGTTATGTGGAAGACACTTTCATTGTCATGTTGTTTTGATTAGTTTGGGCTAAGTAATGTAAAAGCTAAAACCAGACCTGATAAACTGTATTTAATTGATGTGTGTTTTGCCAGAAACTTTGGGCATATGGCTGTTTTGCAGTTCTCAGGCCCTGACCTTCCAACATTAAAGACAGTTTTTGCTAAAATTTGATTAGCAGTAATAAAAGTGACTTTGACTCTCTCGTACTGCAAACAGTCTTGAAACTTCAACCCAGTTGCCATGAGGATTAATTAGGGGCCAGTACTGACTGACTGCTTTTTTTTTATGTCAGCTGCTTGTTTCTGTCTGAAAGCTGCTCATGTTTCCTGAATAGAGACCTAAGATACCTTCTTTCTTATAGAAGAGGCATCGGAGACTGGACCGGAATATGATAGGAGAACCAATGAACTTTGTACACACTGCACATGTTGGGGCAAGAGAGATGAGTAGTGACTATTCATCAGTAAGTGTATACCTCTTGGATAAGCAGCAATCTCTACTCAATAACCTGTAGAGTAGGCAGTTAAGAAAACACTAGATAATTGTAAGAGAGAGAAAAATCTGACTTTTTCTTTTTTTCTTCTTCTTCATCAATAGAATAGCATCTGAGCAGAACTGTCCTTTGGTTTGTAAACATAAGATACTGTGAAAGATATATTCAGTAAGAAGTGCTCAGTTCCCCAGTATGATGAGTAAGTTTTAGATAAGGGCTCTGTGAATGCACTTGATACTAGGTCCAGGTAACACACAGCTTGAAGTCAAAGCTGTGCCAGGGTGAGAAAGCTGTGCCAGGGTGAGGGATGTAAGAATAAGTGGATTTTGCACAGCAAGACCCATCTCATACACTGACTTAAAATAGTCTTTAAGAATCCTGGGTTCAGTTGGTTTTTTTCCCTATTACTGTTGGGACCCAGCACTGTAAACATATAGCTCCTTTGCCTCTTCAAATTGATGCTTTTAATAGATGCTCTGGCAACCAGACTTTATAAGATGTGTGTTCTAATAAACTTTTTTTCTAGGCTGTATCAATTCAGGACCACATGAAGTCTAAAGGTGGCTACACAAATGGCACTTCTGCAACTGCTGAGATATAGGAAACTGAGAGAAGGCTGAAATCTGCTCTGTCTTATGAGGATCCCTCAACTGTGCTTTCATATTCTCTTTATAAGCTCTTTATCATGGAGTAGAGAGAGTACTTGAATTATAAATAGGTCAGTGCAAGTTTTGGTGTTCTTAGCACAAAAGCTTCTGAAAGAGTTATTGTAAATTATCCTTAAAATGCTCTGTCATGGTAGTGTTGTAGTTGCAACTGTAATTTGTCACTCTGGATGATTTCCTAGCTGTATCCCAAAAACCTCATAACGTTGTCTTGTAGGATGGGACTGGAAGCCAGTATAAATGGTCTGAGGTTTTAGGCTCTGTCTTTTTCTCCCCTCAAGAAATGCACAGGTTGATTTCACTGGAATATATAACATGATTGCACTTCTTATGTGGGCTAAACTGAATTGATAAGTAGGATCTTGTAACCTGTAATGTAACTCTGGACCTGTTTTTTAGATGGCTTACAGCCTAATGCCTGAATCTACCGAGCTGTACTTTAGTATTTTTTTAATGTCTTTTGATGATGAACGAACTCTAACATAATATAGTTAGTTGAGTCTGCAAAACCCAGTGAAACTTCTGCCTTGCTGCGATAACGCTTTTGTAGCTAAAAATGGAGGGTTTGCAAACATACCCACTCTCAAATGAGGCTTAGAAAAACAGACATTTCTCTCAATTATGGAGCTGCCTCCCTTTCATACATGCACTCGCGTGACTGACAGGTATTACTACAACAGAGCTAATAATATGTACCAGTTAACTTAAAGTAGTGCTACAGTTTGCTCACAACCGTGTGTCAATTTTGAATGACTACTTTCGAATTTTAAAATAAATCTATTTAGGATGACTGTCTCTGTTACCTGTCTGTAACAGTAACTACACAGGACTTCAAGAGATATCTCACTGGTCTTTCTGGCTCCTTAATTTCAAGGCTGCTTTTTTTTTGTTGTTGTTGTTGTTAACTGAGTATTTTCTTGCATATGGTTTAAGTTATATGGTCATGTGAAGAACAGAAATTTAGCTTACATTTAGCTTTAAGTCTTTCATATTTCTGTCTTATAACTTCAGATTTATTCCAACAGCCTAGCTAAGATACAGGGTTCAAAGAAGCTAGATCCTGTATATTGTTGAGGAAGCATAAAGGGGCCAAGTTGTTTTAAAGACTAGATTCTGATTCATCTGCTATTAAATTGAGTTCGTGCATTCGTTGGTGTATGCCTGCCCAGAAAAAATAGTAATAGTCAGCTGTCATGAAGAAAATAGGTTGTATTTTAGCACTGTAAGAAAACAAATGGAACAGAAGTTAGTATTTCATGAAGACCCATTCAGTATGTTTAAGATTAGTGGTATATGTATAACTAGAAATAAAGGAGTTGATGGTCATGTCAGTTCTCTCTCAAAATAAATTAACAGAGAAGTTTGTTATTGAACCCTTATTTATAGAAAAAAAAAAAGCCTAATTTACACTGTGTAAACCAAGTAGCACTGTCTGGTATAAAACTAACCTATTTTCATCAGACTATATAGTATTACATAGGACCATATTAAAGAGTCACATTATTAAAAAGAAATGTTTTGCTATTGCATTAAGGGTGCAATTACTTTTAAATTCTCAACAAACATAAAAGCATGTTTTAGGACTTCAGGTATTTTTTTTGTTTTATATTTAAAAACCTTATCTAGCTGTAATCTGTCATGTAACTCAGTATAAACCCATCTTGCTTATAATAAATCTGGTGAACTAGGCACTTGCACTCTTTTCATATTGCAGAAAATCTTAATATTTTCTCTGCACTGAAAACCTGTTGGTCAAGTGGATGAATTAGCATAGCTTGAACTTTCATTGCACAAAATCAAATTTTTCCACCAGGGAGCACAATTTTACATCAAGTCTTTTCTGTCTGCTCTATGTAAGCTATTACTCTGTTGTGTGGTTGGTTGGTTGGTGGTTTTTCAGCTTGACTGGAAAAAAATATATCGAGTAAGACCAAAGGATCAAACTTTTCAATCTACGTTGTAGGCTGTGAAGACCTTATATCAACACAATGTGGTAATGAAACATTACTGTTCTGGCTTGATGGCATTTTATGGTTTCTTTTTGTAGTCAGAAATAAAATAATTTGTTAGAAGAGCAGGATCAAGTCTTTTATATGTAGTCCAGCAGGGTCATAGCACTATATGTTTGTTTCTTTTTTTTTTTTTTAAAAAAAAAAAAAAAAAGTAGGTATAAGGGGAGAAAGTTATTTTAAATATTGTCTGTCTTATCCCTTGATGTCCCTGCTAGGCTTTACTATCCCATAATGCTGCAAAAACATGCAGTCAGTATATTGAAAAGGTATTTGGCTTTTTCACAACCTAATATATATTTTTACCTCCTGTAGAGCAACTTTGTAACAATTACAAGGTGTCATGCCATGTTCCAAATTAGACTGTAATATGGTAACATGCAACCCAGGCATGTAGTGCTATTCCTTCGTATGGTCTTGCCACGTTGGGCTATCAGGTGCTTTTGTAGATTCCATTCCATGAAGACAAAATTTCCTTAGAGCCTTAAGCTGTGGAGTTAAATTTATCACCACGTGCAGCTCTGAACCAGTTTTGTACTTTGCTACGTAAAAACATAAAGTCTCCTTGTTATTGCTTAATCCTTCATACTCCAGGGAAAGTGGTCAGAGAGGCTAACGAGTTTATCAGGAACTACAAAAAATGAGATGCACAAGTGAAGCAGGTTTAGAAGCCATGGAGAGGCAACGTGGTATACAGTTATTGAGGAACGAGCAGGAAGCAGAACATGTCAGCGTTTGTTATCTGCAATGCACAGGATAGCTTTGTTGATATCAATTAGAAAATACTTGTAACGTGTGTGTATTTGGTATATGGAGGAAATTGGACACTTAAATGCATGACTAAGCTGGGACTTTGACACAGATTGCCAATGTAACTTTAATGGATGGTAGTATATTCTTCCTGCAGTGGCTTACAAAGCTGCTTTCAGAAAGTAGGGAGCCACCCAGACAGGTAGATTTGGTTTCAGCACTTGCAGACTGATGGCACATATAAGGAAGATGAAACAGTGCTTTTTTTTTCTTTTCTGATGACTGTGAGGTTGCACATGTTCTGAATGCTGAGGCCTGCTGCATTCAGCACTACCTCTGTGGAACACAAAACAAATAAAACTGAGAGTTAATACAAAACAGCAGTAGTAAGATAGCATTTGCCTTCAGTCCCCTGTGCTGCCAAAACTTCAGGGAAATGAACTACATCCATCTGATAGTCAACTTCCAGGTGTTGGGAGAGTATGGACAGGTTGGATCTCAAAGGTTTTGAAGAATTCCTTGTGCCTAAGGAGGTTTGAGTAATGTTCTCCTGGACTCTGTGGAGGCTGAGATGTGAGGAGGTCACCATGGCTACACCAGGTTTCCATTAAGACCTTTCTTCCTGATGCTATACAGAGAAAGGAAACGTGAAAGAAAATAGTGAAAGCACTTTGAGTAGGCAGGGACGTGTGTTCTTGTGCCAAAAAGGCTCCCAACTTGAGGTGCTTGATACTGAACTAGGACGGCTGACTTCACCTGGGCACTCCTAGATGAGCAAACTCATGTTATAATAACATCTGTGCCCTTCCAGGGAGAGTGGGTTGTACAAGAGCACCCCTGGCATGCTATGCTTTGGCCTCTGCATTGCCCAAACCCAGCCCTAACTGGCTTATCAAGCGTTGCAGTATGGCTACTGAACACCTTGTGGTTGTCACTTGTCCTATACATCCTGTTTCTGAGCATCCCATTAGCATGATGAAAATCCTAAAATATTACTCAAAAAGGTAGTTCAAATGGGAGGAAGTTCTCTTACCCTAGTTCTAATCCTGTTTAGAAGAGAGTAATAACAGATGGACAAGAACAACAATTCTGAGGTGTCTGTTAAGACCTCTGGTAAATTATGTGTGAAATCAAGGCCACCAAATTCTATTGAAAGTACTTTACTCAGTCAACCTTTTAATTTTATTTGGTCATTAAAACAATGTAAATGGGAAGAATATTTTCTTTATAAGAAATTTTAAGTTACCTCTGGTATTTGCATATAAATCCAAACTGAACAAAATCAAGGTGGGTATTACTAAGGGTCCACCCTAATTCAGGGGCAAAAAAAAAATTGAATTATGTCTTTTGCTGTTTTAATATATATGCTTTAATATATATGTATATATTTAGGCCTTCATCTTGAGTAATGTGTAAGGAAATAGTCCATTCTTTTAAACTGAAATTAGTATGATTGCTCTGGCTTACTGGAAGTTTAAAAGAAATGGACTTAAAATCTACATTTAAACTACTGAGAGAGAAATTGGTGTGCTTTTAAAGCTGACATTGTCCTGTACAAGTAGATGACTAACTAATTTCAGATTCTTCATCAAAGAGCTAGAAAAAGTGTTTGGTTACAGGATTTTTATGTATATGTAATAGTGTATTTACATGTATCTGATCTTGCTGGTGCTTAAGAGAGATGTGTACGTTTTACATAACATCTAAAGGTGAATGAAGACTATACTGATAACTAGTAATCTCTTCACAGTGAGCTGTCTGAAATAAAGTATCTGTAGATCAGGCAAAACAATGGCACTTATTGTAGATAGAAATCTATTTTTAAAATATCGATCTAATATATGTAAGTTTGAAAGTCCAGTCTCAACATGAGCTGAAGCTGCATATTAATGGTGAAAGTAGTATGCTTTTAAATGCTGTTACCCACGTTTACCCTTGCAGTCTCTACCACCAGGAAATATTTAAACCTGACTCAATACCTTTGAAGGTGTGATACAAGCTTGAAAATATAATTCAAAAGTAAGGTTTACAGTCCTCCATTAATGCATGCTAATGTGACCTTCCTGCATAATGGCATATAAGCAAGGCTTTCACTAGTTTCTTTCAACTACCTTAAATATCACCTTTGAAAATATAATTGAATTGGTTATTCTCTCCGCTGCATAATATCCAGTGAACTAGGGTATCTCTTGCTTGCACAGATTGATATTTACTGGTGTTCAGATAAGGCTGTTAGTACATGGGAAGAAGTTGCTAGACATGTGGTTGCATTAATAAATAATTATTAAAATACCAGTCTTTCTATGTTTTGGATCATTTTCTTGCCAGGAGATATAAGTCCCATCAGTTTCTTGCACGTGTTCTCATCTTTGCCATGTGTGTATGTCTCACAGAGATGGCAGGTTTCAGTAACAGTGTTCCCTGTGTCACTTTAATCAAGAGGTTTCACAGTGTTATCTTGCTGTCTTATCTCAGGCTCCAGCCAAAAACTGAAAATATGAAGCAGTAAAAGAGACAGTTTATAGGATGGGGTAAAATTTTCTTTTGTTAAACCACTTCATTTTCATTGTCACCGGCTTTATTCTGCTCTATTACTCTACTGCCCACTAAATTTCTTAGAACTATATTTACATTCAGTATTTGGATCAGTGTTCTCTGTTCTTAGAAATGAATACAACATATTAAAAATTCCTTCATCCATTTGAGGCTTGTGTATTTGTAATGAGCCCCAAATTCCCCTTTACTGATTTCTGTATGACATAATTCATGTTTTTTTTAGTGAGCAGAGTCTAGTCCCTTTTACAATCTTAGTCCTTTAAAAACTGTGCAATGTTTTCTCTTAAATACCTAATGCTGATAGTCACCCTTCCAAATCTGCCTACCTAACAAGGCAACTATTTTCTGTTTATGGTATTTTATGCAAAATTGACAGAATTAGACAATAATTCAAAGTTAAGCTAATGGAAGAGCAAATTCAGTTTCATAAGGAGATATGGGGGGGGAGAAAAAGGCAGATTGGTTGGGATAAGTTTACTCAAAAGCTGGGAGGCTAAAATGAAAAAAACATAAAGTAGCATTTAATGCAGTGGGAGATTCAGGAGAATGGTGTTGGAATAGAAGATGGTTTGGATGTCTTTCCTTGTAAGTCAAATCATTTGTGTTTTATGAGTATGTGGTGGAAAACAGGCAGGGGGAAGGAAAGGCTAATTTCATTATCCCTTTGCAAAGGATTTCAATATATGTATAGTATTATTCAAGCAGTTTATTTTTTGTGCTAATGGTTATTTAGCTTCAGTTTCTACTTTCTAACTACTGCATTCAAAGCCTACATTAAACATCTCCGTTCCTTAATAATTCAGGAGTGCCTGAGTTGAGTTACAGATTTTCTTTCCTGTTGATGTTTTGATTGGGAAACGGATTTTTCTGAGTGTTGTTGCTCTTCTTTTCTCTGATGGAAATAATTATGGTGGTATAGAAAGGATGCAATTCTTGGTGTAGAATTTTTAGTATCTTACACTGATTATGGGTAGAACGCTATACTGTTCATATCAAATAAGGAATTTCAGGTTTAAAACTGAAAATAAATGGAGGATCATTTAAAGAAATTCTTCAGGCTCTGAAGGTCGTTATAACCTAGTTTTCTTTTGCCTGGGATTGGAAATAACATGTATGAATAAAATCTATTTTTTTCTCATGGTATTGAAATTTGAGACCAGATCATCTGGTTTTAGTTTTGGTTACACATTAAAGCTAATGGTGAAAATTAGGGACTACTTAAGTTGCCAATAAAGATTATCCAAGAAGTTTTTACTGATGTCCTGAATGTGAGCTGTCCATGTTTTGAGCTAACGTTAGGGCTCTTCAGTGCAGGTATTTCTAACCTGTGCAGTCCTGCTGAACTGCAGGAAATGTATTTAATGTAAGAGATGTTTAGTTAATATCTTTAAACACGCATCAAGGCAGGAGAGATCAAACCAAACATAGCCTTTTGGGAGAGCAGTCTCCTTTTATTTTAAGGAAATTGTACTAGTATTTTTGCCCGGCCCATTTTTTTTTCAGCTGCAGACAGAATAAAAACTGCTGTGCTTTCCTGGGGAACGCAAGGAGAGGGATTAGTATTTGGTGGGGCAGGATACTCCATGGAATCTGATTCTGTGAGCAGTTACGAACTTGAAATCCAAATTAAATGCGTCTCCCATGCCCAAAATACACTCTCATGTACATATCCTTAGCTCTTTACAGATGACAGAATCGATAGATTTATTGAAGTAATCTGTATTAATCTGTCATCCAGATCTTGTTAGATTCAGAAGAAGAGATAGTAGTTGGCATAAAGTGTCATGGTTACTCTGACAACAGCACCAAAATAGAAGCACACAGATGGATAATGTACTAGTCAAGCTTTTCTAAATACCAGTTCTGCATGGAGTATGAATTATTAGCAATGTCATAGTGTGCTGTTATCTTTCACTGTTCAAGCACATTAAATTGTTAGGCACACTTTTGCAGCCTAGCAAATCTATAAGATGCATAAGACTGTTCTGTTGCTGATATAAAAATGTCACTGGAGGGAAAACAAAAGCTTGCCTGTTATCATCAAACTATCTGTATTGATCAAAACACTATTTACAGGTATGTAAATATTACTCAGATTTTTACAGCAACAGAACAGCTTACTGAAAATTTGCCATAAGGCAGCGGGGAAAGTTCCCTGTAGATGTTTTACATGGCTTTGTCCTTAAATGAACACAGATGGAAAACCATGCATGCAGGAACCTCCTTCCTCAGCGGTAATAACTAATAACCACCAAGTGTGTGAGCAACTCAATCAAGTGGGTTACACACTTAAGGCTTTGATTTACTCATGCTGGACTGCATCTCAACTCTCATCCTCTTGCCTCTCTCCCTTTTCCCTGCCATCTCCACCATCTCGTTCACAGCCACATCCCCTCCTTTCCCCAGTAATCTTTCTCATCTTCGCCTCTTCCACTTCCCTGTGCCCGCTGGCCCTGGGGCAGGAGGGGACAGCCTAACCAGTGCTTGAAAACCTCCAGCGAAAGATGTTGCACAATTTCCTCGGTGGGTAAATCACGCTACATCCTTCCTGCACGTCATTGCTGGCCCTCACAGCTGGTGCAACGCAGCCCTTTTAATGCTTTCAAAGCCTGGAAGATAGCTCTGAAATGCAGTGCTTTTTTTTTTTTTTAAAAAGGCAAACAATGCAGCTGTCTCAACCTTTTGTTATAGGTGGTGTTTTGCTGTTTCTTCTACTTGTTGCTCTCACTTAAGACATACCGCTGTCCTCACTGTACCTCTCCCCCATGGCTTTGTGTGCGTGCCTGACCACCCAGACAGAACGAGGTGAAACACTCAGATTTTTATTTATTTTTTTTTTGTCTCTGGAAGTGTGGAGCAAACCTGACTGTTCCCTTTTATCTGTAATGGGTGTGAGTACCTTGGAGCTGCTCGGTGGAAAGCCCGACGAGCTGACAGTCCTCGAGCACCCAGACCCTCACAGCGAAAGAACAAGGCGAACAACCACCACGGCGTGGGGAGTGAGGGGACAGTCCCGGCCGTCAGCCCGAGCACGCGTGGGCCGTCCCGGCTCTCGCCGGGGCCGGGAGCCGGCAGCGGGCGTCCCCGGGGCCGCGGCAGCAGCAGCCGCCCCCTTCGGCCGCGGCGGACGGAAGAGGAAGTGGCGCCGCTGCGGGAGCCGGCGGCGGCGAAAGGCTCCGTGGCGGGCGCGGGGAGCCCGAGCCCAACCGAGGCTCTTCGCCGAGCGGGTGGCGGCGGCGGCTGAGGAAGATGAGGGCTGCCGGGGTGCTGTGGGCCGCGCTGTGGGGGCTGCTGCTGCCGCCGGTAAGAGGCCGCGCTGTCCTCGCCGCGGGAGGCGCCGGGCCCGGCTGCCGGGCCGGCCTGGGCCGCGCCGGGCCGCCTGGGGAGGCCTGCTCCGGTGCGGGGCGGCGGTGGGGCCGGCCGAGCCCCCCCCAAACTCTCTGCCGGCCGAGGGGCTTCCTCGCTTCGCCCTACCCCCGCAGGGCCGCGGCGGCCGCGGGCACGGCCCGCCTAGCCCTCGTCTCCGGCCGGGCCGGTGCGTGCCCCCGCCTCCAGGCGCCCCCGGGGCCGTTTGTCTGTGAAGTGAGTCCCGGGGTGGTTTCGGGCCTCCCGGGCCCGCCTCGGGCAAGGCCCCTCGGTTCCTCCCTTCGCCTTTCCCCAGCCCTTGCCCTGGGTCTGGGGAGCGGAGATCGGGCGGCGGCTCCGGGCACACGCTGGTGGGTTGGTATAGCCCGTTTCCCAGGTGCCTGCAGAGATAGGAGCTGATGCAGTTTCCAGTTATTTAAATTGGGGTGCGGAGGAAGGAGGCGGGGGAAGCTCGTGGTGCGTGTATGTGTCCTGGCTTTTGGCTTGTTCATCTTAAGTGCCGTTTTGGTTCCCCTCTGGGACATCTTTGCAGCTTCTGTCTGCGCACCGGTGTACATTACCTTGGAAATCCAGCAGATTGCTCTCTGCCTCTGGGAGTAATGAAGTGGGGAAGCCAGAAACCTCTGTAATCTTTTTAAGGAGTATGAAGGGCATATCTGCATTAAATGCTGCTCCACTAAGTTGTTTTGTTGTTGGGAGTTTGTTTGTTTGCTTGCTTGTTTTTAACATAATTTTTACCTTGTTTTGGTAAGGCAGGATGGAGAATACTTCCCTGTGTAGGAAGTCACCACTGAATATGCTCAACAGTATGTGCACGGTATAGTTTGTTAATGCCTTGAGAACTCCTTCAGGTGAAGTAGCTTGTGTCTCTATGAAGTGTTCCCTCACTGTTCGTGAGTCCCATGTAGCTGTCGTTAGTTGTGTTGGAGCTTTCTGAAGAGTGGCTTTGCTCCTTAACCCAGTGGTTTGCTGTTCATGACAAAGGAAGGGGCTTCTGTCCTCCTGTAAGACTCCAGGCCCCATGTCCTGTCTCCTCCTTTGCTCTACAAATGCAATTGTAGTAGTGGCGAATATTGGACCAGATCATTCAGCCTCAAGAAAAGTATCCTGAGACTAACAGTGTGGGGAGTCAGCACTTGGGAAGGTAGTAGGTGTTCAGGGAAGGACAACTGCTGCTCTCTGAGCAGAGGCACCCGTTCCCCCGGGTTGCAGTGCCCAGAGGGAGAGAAGGAGGAACAGTTTGTGTGTGTCACAGGGCCGCTGACAGAACTATGAGATGATGCTTGTTCCGTTCATGGCTAGCTTTTTTCCTACCTTTTTGCATTTCTGTGAGGTTAATGTTACTTGCTACATACAAAATACCTTCTCTCTGTTCTGTACCTTTGAGTTTCTCCTATGTCTTACCTAGTGGCTAACTGACGGATGTAAATGTAGGCTTGGTCTGGGCTCTGTGTCCACTGGTTCATATAAGTTCCAGTATTCTACGTGGTGAGTGCTCCAAAGCTCAATAGTCGGCCCAAGCTTTTATCCCTGCAATAACAGGGACATGTTAGGAAAAATAATGATTAAGAGACAGTACGAGACATCTTCTCTACCAAAGATAAGGCATTACACAAGTAGAGTTTAAAGATGGTGAAGGAAGGAAATACGATGAAGGAGTTGCCTGTCAAAAATAGGAGGAAGTTTTTTTTGAAGGTGAGAGGCCACTGGGAATTGTCTGAAGCCAAAGTGAAAGGGATGATTATGCCCCTTTAGGTAAAGGGGTATCAACTGTCATGTCCCTACTCCATGTGGGAACATTTCCATGCTGGAGCAAGTCAGCCTATAGCCTATGGAAGCAGGTTAATCTTTTCAGGAGCAGTTTTGTGAACACTCAGTCTTCTACTGAAGTAACAAGATTGGAAGTGTGCTCAGTAAGAAATTTTTACTTTGCATGTGTGCTGAGAGTAAGATTTGTTTTGTACTATTCATTGGCACAGCTGACTGCAAGGCCATGTACCCAAACTAGTAGTTCTCGTCTGTTGTGGAAGAAGGATACTGAAGCAATTAGAAAACAACAAAAGTTCAGCTGGGTGCAACAGGATTTCAGTGGGGATATTCTAAGTGAGGTGTAGCATGTAGCTTTTAATTTTTAACTTGTAAGTACTGGCTTTAGAGCTCAGCAACGAATACGTGAGGGTAGCTGTCATGCTCTGGTCATCCCTCCCCTCACCTCATGGGAAAGAATTGTATTCCCCTATTCATCATCAGAGAGGGGAAGCTTGCCAAACAATACATGCGTGTCAAATAAGCAAGTAACCACTCCTTCTAGGTAGGCTTAGGCTTATGTAGCATTAACACTTGATTTCCTGGAACCCAGAAAACACCTCTTATTCTACTTCGTGAAGCAGAAAGAGCTTTTAACGGATGGAAACATCTGGGGTTTGCACCTGCTTGGAAGTCTTTATTGCTTTTAATTTGCCATTGGTTTGTACTTTTAGGTGAGTGCACTAAAAAGGGAAGCTTGATAATTTCTGTGCTGATCATAAATCATGGAACAACTTATTTTGCTGACAGCCGAAGAATTGTTACATGTTAAACAGTTAATGTGCTCAGGCCCTTTGACACAGTTTTCCCGGCAGATGTTCATGCGCTATGGCCGATGTAATGGATTCCCCTGAAGAAGGTTTTTGCTATTCAAACCAGGCAGACGTAAACCTCTGAAACAATATCGTCATGTGGTTTTTTCTCTCTAGTTTTCTCTTGCCACTGACTGATACGCCATCCTGAGGAGAAATGCCTCTATAGCACTGTTAATGATTAGCACTGCATATCTGACAAACATTTGGGCTTTCCTCCCTTACCCATGCCTACTTCTAGGTTAATATCTCGGTGTGCTTTCAGACAAACCTGGAATTTACAACAGGATTTATTTTTTTTAAAAACCTATTGATACTTCCTGATATTGAGGCCAGTTTCTCTCTCAAGAAAAACAGTCAAAATGAGATCATCTCCCAGTTTTCTTAAGGTGACACTTCTTGGAGATACAAATAATGCTTATTTGTTTTCACTACTTTGCAGCTGTAGCTACATCTAATCCTTAAGTCTGTTCATTTATCTGCTTAGATGCCTGATCTGTACTAGTACATTAATGCTGGGGGAGAAGTATATATCCCTAAAATTATCAGAAGTTTTAAAATTCATATGTGTTAGCTAATAACAGAAATCATTATGTGAGGGACTTTGAGAGTAATCTTAAGAGACACCACTATTTCCTTAACCACACAAATTCTTAAAGTACGCTAGTTGATCTCTTTGTGTTTATAGTTATTTGATAAAAAATATTCTAAGAATTGCCATATAATACCTTTCTTAGGGGAAATTCTAGAGTCTGCAAGGAGAGAAAGACTTTAATCCACTTTTCTATGTACTGTTTTAATTGCTTTCTATATACAATCTTACACTTTTTGGAAAGTACAGAATACAGAATCTGAAATAATCTGCCTGGGTTTCTTGATGGTATTCTATTTGGTGACATGAACTGTACATGCAACAAATACATTGTATTTGAAATGAAGATAAGCAGCATTATACGGTGACTAGATTCTTACTAGTTTTCCATCCTGCTCTCAAGCTATCATCTTTCATGGAATCAATAATATAAAATAATTAATTGAATAAATTAATTTTCTCCTAACAACTTTTTCTCTTCCTGACAGTTTTTTAGAATAATATCTGTGTACTGATATTCTGAACTTTGTTTAATCCAGAACACCCTGGTTTATTGCAGGTAACTGCAGATGAGGGGATCCTGCATGCTTCTGGAAGTGGTGTACCTCCAGTAACAAAGGAGTACTGCATAATTTACAATTCTACTTGGATATCTCTTCCAAAGAGCCTGGACAATGCTGTAAGTAGTTTAAAACCATAGTACCTGAGAAAACTAGAATGCAGTATGAATTTGGATCAGCTATAACTGGTCTTCAAAATCTTTAATTAAATGGTGCTACACTGAATATTTACCTTTCTGGGTGATGTCCCTTGCCCCTCCCCATTCCCCCTCTCCCACCCCCCACCTCCCCCAATTAATATATAGTAAACATTTCTATACTTTAAAAAGTCAGCTTCTGAAGTTTACAAAGATGGTACTTTCTCTGTGCTTAGAACCAGTTTTAAATACATTTACATATTCATCTGATACTGTTTATTTTTTTCTTCAGGTGTTATCAGTATGTCCGAGTTTTAGATTTGGGAGTAAAACTTCTGTTTACTTGTTTGCAAAAATGTTGTAAACTTGTGAAACAGATTTATTAGTTCATCGGTTTGATCTTCTCTTTAATTGTCTTGAAAACATGTGGTGGAATGTATCATGCCATATTTCCTGAGGATGTTTCTTTGAGCCAAATTAGAGCTTAAGGCAGAAACGAATTTTCTTTAACTTGTTGTATAAACAGGAAATACTTTGTGTTTGGAAGTGATCAAGGCTGTCTTCTGTCCACTCCCTTCTGTCATTCATTAGCATTTTAACTCAATGTAAAACAGAGTTAAAATCATTTCTCTGCCCCAAACATCTTTGCTGTGCTGCTTTTGCCACTGGGATGTCTTGACTAACTGAAGAAAACTGACAATAATTTTAAAATAATTGTCAGTATGAAATTGAACATTAAAAGAATGGTAGCTTTTTTTAAAAATTATTTTGTAATAAGTAATATGTTATCAGGCTCACTGTTTTTGAACAGGTATTATACTTCAGAACTCTAGTTATGCTGTATCCATCAGTGCGCTTTTGGATTTTGAAGCCTGGAAATACCACAGACTGTACACTGGATTCCCCAGCACTACAAGCAGTGATTTTCCTATATAACCAGTTTCTTACATTTAAATCACAGCAACAGCTGCTGTGAAATTGCATTTAAAAACAGACATATATTTCAGCTATATGCTGCTCAAACGTCCCTCAGTATTTCAGGCTGCAGAAACTGCTTCTCTGATTTTATATTCCTGAATTAATAATTCCTTTCTGTTACACCTCTTTCTGGCAGACTTCAAATTAGGGATTGTAGTAATGTAGTCTTCTAGATTAGTTTGCAGTATCAAATTTCCTACTTTTATCACATTCCTTTTCTCCCTTGTCTCTCTTCAGACTTTCAGGACTCTGGAAAACCTGACTTCTACGGTACTCTGCAGTTCTTCTGAAGTTCCTTCTGGCTTAATGAAGGACAAAGCAGTTGTAGTAATGAGAGGAAACTGCACTTTTTTGGAGAAAGCAAGGATTGCACAAAGTTTGGGTGCTAAAATGCTGCTGATTGCCAGTAAACCTAGGCTGGTAAGTCACAACATACAATTTTCTTCTGTAATGAAATAGTGTCTTATGTATTTTGTCCAATGCATTGTTGTGAGGTTAGAGGACCCTGGCAATGTGTGGGATTCCAGCCTGAGTCATTAACCTTCCCCACAGAACGCTGTGCTGGGACGACTGCTGTTCCTGAGACCGAGAGGGTCATCCCAAGTTAGCTCTATGCCACACTGTGCTATATTATCTGAAAGAATCTACAGCTGAATTGTATTTTTAATATATTCCTTGCATCTTTAATCATGTTTTCGGATGCAAATGCTTGTCTCTTTCATTCTCCAATTTTAGTGTTCTCTGAACTGCCTGTAATCTTAGGTGATACTGTTTTAGGCACGTATGACAAAAATAAGCTAGGAAGATGTAATCCAAAATTGGAAATAATAAAAAGGCATTTTGAGGTATCTTTACAGATACATCTGTAGCTTTTTTGTTCTCTATTACAGCTGCAACATGTGTGTACAAATACTTGCAATTTATGAACTTATGTGATTATCATGAAAAGTTAATCTTGTTTTAAAAGCTTAGAGAATAAAAACAGAGTTTTGATTATTCCTTGTAATACTGTAAAAGCACAAGAACTTTGTGAATTCAGACATGTTGGTAGTGTCTGTTCTGTTTTAAGTATACATGTCTTCATTAACCTTTTCGAAAAGATGATGAAAGTGCCTTTTTTTTTTTTTTCTTTCTACAAATACACTGAAATTTAAAGGATAATGTGCTTTTAGGGATCTAACCTGCTTTGAAAATAGGCTCAGCATACTACTACTTCCACTTTCTCTTTTAGTCTGCTCTTTCAGATAACAAGACTGATTTTGAAGATGTGACTCTTCCCATTGCTCTTATAAGATATAATGACATAGTAGATATGCAGCAGGTAAGTAACATAACTTCTGCATGTTATGGTTTGTATAAACTCAGGTTTTTGAACAAATAAATAAAATAATTTCAGGTCAGATATGGATATCTACCTGATTTGAATGTGTGTAGATACTGCTTTCAGTTTCACAGAAGAGGATGGATATTAAGTTGTGGAAGTGCTAGTCTTTCTAATTCACGTTAATTTTTGAGAATTATTAATTAGAACACTAAGAATGGGAAACATGATACCTAACTGGAGGGAGAGTAATCTTAGAAGTCTTCCTGCTAAACAAGATAAGCAGCCTTCCAGTAAACTTGTATGTGGTGTAGATGCCTGACATACGTCAAGAGCTACAGCCTGAGAGGGCTGTTCCTCTAGCACAGAAGCTAGAACAGTTGAGCTTGTATCTACTGGTACGGTATCTTTCAAGTGAGCAATACCTTACCAGGTTGGATCTTGAAGAGGATGTGAGGGTTTTTTTGTCTTTGCCAGATGATGACCACTCTCTTTTTATAGCATGACAGCATCTCTTACAAGGTAGTTAGGCAGTATAGTTTGAGTTTCTGATGATGAGTTCATAGTGAGGTGCCAAGTGTATGTCATTAAAATGTGACAGTTGTGGTATCTCCTACACTTTATAAGCAGGGAAGTTTGTTTTGGGGGTATTTGGAGTTTGTTTTCCTTCACATGCAACATTAGGATACAGAAATTTGCAGAGGGTTTTAAAGAAAACAGTGTATTTTTGTCAGTGTTGCTTTTTTTGTTGTTATTTTGTTGTTGTTTTGTTTTTTATTTAGTGTTAAATAGCTTTGCTAGGCAGGAGTTACACTGCACATGTTTTTCTGTGAATAGCAGAGGCTAGCACTAACCTGTGTAGTCTTAGCTTCTTGGATTGAATCTGCAAACTCACTTCACCATTTCTGCTCTTAATCTTCAGAGCTGCCATAGGAGGTTGTCTTAGGTAAGTATCAAACTGAAACCACACCTAGATGTATAGGACTTTGTTTACTGTCTGTTCCCATTAAAGATTGGTTCTTGCCAGGCATTGACATGACCAAAGGTTTGTGATGACTGTCCTCAGTCTGCCATAGTCTTGATGAATACTGTTTTGGTCCTCTGTCTTCAGATTTGTTTCTCCAAGTAAGACTAAGTGTTGTTTGCTTAGTTGAGTGGTTTTAAGGTAAGCCTTATGAACAAGAAAAGGAGCTAGGGCAAGGTTAGATTCCTAATTTGTTCTGAATCTTCTCTGCACCATTTGGATTGCCGAGTGCTGCTTCGGGTGATGTCATGTAGTATCACTTCTGTATAGCTATAGTAATTTACCAAAGTAACTTTGCTAGTAAATTAGTGTGCCAGATGATGTCTCATACTGCTGTTGCATCAATTAATTGGGTTTTATCTTGTAATGTGACTGCCTTCATAAAAGTAGTAAGGAACACAGCCTAGACTACAAGTGATCCGTTCCTAGCTCTGATGGAGTTTTTGCTAGAGCCTTCTGTCATGTCACTGGCAGCTGTTTTGAATGGTATGTGCGGCTTAGAAGCTGTCAGCCATAGTACTCTTCGTAGTACAGCTGTATTTCTGTTTTAACTCTTTTCAAGGCTTCCACCTTTCTCCTGTAGCTAGTTTGTATAAGCATTCTTTCTGCTTTCTCTTAGAAGACTTCATCTATGTTAGCTTTCATCATTTGAATCAGATATGCTGTGAGGCTTGATAGCAACAGCAGAGTGTTACAAACCTTCCAGTAAGTGGACAGCTCTCTTGTAGAATTGTTAGCTGATGCCGTGTGTTTGATTCTAGTGTTCTCTGTGGTGAAAGTTGAGAATTTGTAAGTTTTTAGGGAAGAACAGAACAAAAGGAAACAGTCTAGATTCCAATGTGAATTATACTTAAGATTTATGAAACTTAAAGGAAAAACTGGATTAAGATATGTTGTAGTTAAATAAATAAAAAAAAAATGTATAAGTGTCTAGGTTTCTTGGGCATTTTTGGTGCTTTTTTTATGTTTGTTTGGTTTTTTTTTTTTTTTGGTTTTTTTTTTGTTTGTTTTTTTTTTTTTACATACAGGATGCTGTAATTTGAATAGGGTTTTTTTGCTTTTATCTAATGTTATGTTCCACTTCATACACCTGCAATATTTCACTAGGATTTAATTTTCTTCCTTGTTTTCTGAACTTCCATAGCTTCAGGCAAATGAATGATTCTGATTTCTTTAGCCTGCAGTAAGGTTGATATCTGTAATTAGATAACTTGGAAATGAATTGGCTTTCTTCACATATGGCCAATGTATTCCACTAGACTACTCAGCTTCCCATTCAGTCTCTCCATGCCAGTTTGATCTTCCTGTAGCCAAACCTGCCTGGCATGTTCATCTCTTCTGCTTTTATCCCACATGCAGGCTGTTAACAAATCTGTTTTTCTGCTGCATCTCTGAAGTCTATTTTCACTGTAGGATTGCTTTAGATTCCTTGGCTTACTTTGACTACAATAACAAACCTTTCTTCCCTACCACCTTCCATTTCCTGTCAAATTATCATCCTTTCTTTGTCTCTTAAGCCTCACCTTTCAGTCAAATGGTTTTACTTTCACGACTTTTGTACAATTCTGTACCAGTTATGTCTGCGTTCCCTTCCATATTCTTCAGTGTCCTTCACCTGATTGTTTTTTTTTACTTTGGTCTTAAATTTTTTAAGTACCATGAAATTGCTTTCTTTTCTTTTGAATTCATCTCAAGTCATGTTCGTGTAAAGCTATTATACTGTATAACTGTCACCTTGAGTTTTTACTGTGTCCTGTCTGCAGTATTGTGCCTGTATCTGAACTGTGAGTTTTGTGCCTTCAAGAGCTAGAGGTAGACCTCTGCTGATATCTCAGTGGACCTGTGAGTTTGTATTTCAAGTTGATTGACTCAGATATGCTTTCCTGCAGAGCAGATGTCTTTGATAATGCTTGGTGTATTTGGGAAATTAAAAGATTTGGGCTAGAGGCACAACTTCTCAGAAGTGTTGAAAGAATGCAAAGAAGTACCATTTTTTTCTTGTGGTATCCGTAAGTTTCCCCAGTAGTAGTTGTAGGTTTGTTTTCAAGCCTGACCGTCCTGAAAAGTAGTATGGAAAGCTTTGCTGCTTTACAATGATCAAGGCAAATGTATGGGCTGTCTTGTGCAGTAAGTTGAAAACTTGCTTACATCATTGTGTAGGTTAAGAGCAGGAAATCAAGATGTGCGTCTTGCTGGAAAATACGCAGTATAATTTCTTTGTTGTCTGTATGAACCAATGTGTATGTTATTTTTCAGACACTTGGAAGTGAAGTTAATGTGACTCTGTATTCACCACCTTTGCCACATTTTGATTACAGTATGGTTGTCATCTTCCTAATTGCTGTGTTTACAGTGGCACTCGGAGGCTACTGGAGCGGAGTAGCAGAACTGTAAGTTTGGTAAACGGAACTGCTTAAATTACATGGACTACCAAAACTGTCACTATGATCAGTGAGAAATTATGTTCTTTTAGGTTGGTAGTTAAAAAATTAGATCTAGGTGCAATTAGCTGCTTTGCCATGAAATGCTTGAGCACTGCAACCTTTGAAAAATCACTGTAGGTCTTTGAGGATCCTTGAATAGTAGATTGTAAAAGTCCCTGAAGGATAATGCAGCTCTTGGGAGGAAGAATGAGTTAACATTTTGGCAAATTACCTCATACTTTATAACTAGGGTACCCTGTACTCCAGTATCCATGATAGAAAGTAGATATTGTAACACCACCTTTAAAATCCAGTGATCCAAGAGGTACATACGTAGTGGTATGTAGTGTCTGCATTGACAGGGATCTGTACGACTGCTTCATCCCAGCTGGCTGTGCAGCACCCTCTGGGATGTCTCTGCTCAGTGTTCCTGTTACTAGGAGCACTGGTGGCTGCAGTTTGCTTGTGTCTGGATGGCTCCAGACAGTTAAAAGTTCAGCCAGGCTTACCTGCTTCAGCTTTGTGTGTTATATGGTGGACCAATAGAGCCAGGGGCAACAGCAGCCCTTGGAGCAGGCAGGGGCAAGGAGGCAGCAGCAGTCCCTGTGCATCGTAGGGAAGGGAGTGGAAGTGTAGAGTGTGGTGAATGCAGGGAAGCAAGGGGTAATAGGGGTTTCTGCACTGTACTTTGTTTAGTGAAGTGAGACACACTCAATGCACAGAACTGTTTTTATTCTGGGGTTAAGCTGGATTTAGCTGGCCTTTCAGAGCATGGTATTAATCTGCAGTATTTCTTGGATGTCTGCCTACACTGAATGGACCAGTGTGTGTTGTTACCTAGGGCATCCCATTCTCAGTGGTGTTCTAGTGCTTTGCTCTCCAGAACAACAGGGAGTGGATTGTATGTGATAACAACAGCTTCCTCTTTCCCACTAGTTATGCAAATCTAGTGACTTTGAAGAGATTAAAGAAGTAGGAGGGGGGGCGGGCCTGTGTGTTTCTTTTTTTAAAGGTTGAATCTGATGATGCTTCTTTTTTACCCTGCAGTGCTATAGGGTGTGGCTGCACTGAATGTTAAAATAACAAAATGTGATGCTCTCTCCCATATTGAAAAATACCTAGATGTAATTATATTAAACTTGTTAAAGTGCACTTTCATAAATCTAGGGTGAGCTTTTTTTTAAAAGCTGCTTATTCAAAGCATGTCCTCTGAGAAGGTGATTCATCTAACAAAGTGCCTTACTCCTGTGGGTTTTTCTCTTTTGAAGGTAGCTGTTTCAGTGCTGAATTCAGCATTTTGTAGGTAGGAGCTGGGATTCATCAGGAACATGCTATCTGATGGGCAAGTTGCACTAGCGTCTGTGCTAAAGAGTAGTAGGGCTATCTGCTCAAAGAACAAACACAACAATTTAAGTCTCCTTATTTTGCATGGTGAGGTATAAATATGGAGTATGTATGCGCAGAAATCTTACTCCCAGTGAAAATTTCCAATTACACCCCCTCTTTTTCACTTACTCTCTAATCTTGAGGTGTAAGGGTAAAAGAACTGGTACTTAGCTAGCTTCATTTTGCTAACATGAATGGGTTTTGCAGACACTTAATGTCTATAGTTGAGGTTTTAAAACAGTGTGTAATAGCCATGATTTTGATTTATCATAGACATATTTATCAGATTGACTATACTTAGCCCAAGAAATTTTGTAGTCAGAGGTGATACACTAATAGGCTTGAGTAAGTGCATCCTGGAAAAGTAGTTTAAGAGTTTTGATACTAGACTACTTTTCCTCACATGGATCAGGGTTTTGGCAGGGGTTACTCCTTGAAGTTGGCACTCACCACACCATTGGAAAGGAGGGCAGTTACTAATCTTTTCCTTGTGATCTGTGCTAGGTTAGAAGTGCATATCTCCACTAAAAAATTAAGAGAAATTCAAAACAATAAACATACCATTTTTCTGTATTTTTAAGTCTAATAATGGTAGGAAGGATTAGACTGAAACATGGTCAGTCTAAATGCTTTATAACCAACAATTGTGGTCATAGTAAAACGTTTTCAAAATTTCTCATCTAAGGTAAATACGTTTGTCGTTTTCTTAAAACAGTGAGAATTTGAAAGCAATAGCAAGTCCTGGGGAGAGAGAAACAAGACGGAAGAAGGAAGAAAATGTTACTTTCACCCCTGTAACAGTGATCTTGTTTGTTGTCATCTGTTGTGTCATGCTGGTCTTACTTTACTTTTTCTACAAATGGCTAGGTAAGAGACAATGGATAATCTCATCTGATTTATTTTTCTGCATGATCTTATTAGCTGATAAATCTGAAAAGCTACATTTCTAAACCAAAGGTGATGTATTTTAATTGTTCTCTCCATGTACGAGTTGAGGGTCGAGAAGATGTAGTTGCTACTTGAAAAAGAAAGAAGCTTTCTTCTACTCTTACAAAGGCTGCCTTGACAGTGCTTATTCTGAAGTAACATTGAGGAGAGGTGACTAGCAACTAGTAAAAGAAGTGTATGATGTATGTTGATGTTTGCAGGAGGATGGCAATGATAACTTAGTAGTGTTTAGAGTCAGAGTTTTTGTCAGGTATTGCTACATTGACATTGAATTTGTGGGTGCAGTGCCCTAATGAAAGTGCCAGGTGAAGTGACATTACGATAATGGCGTAAACTCACACATGCTAGCAATAGCTAAATTCTTGAATTATGAGATTCCACTAAAATAGGTTCCAAGCTGCTGGTTGTTTATTTTTGCAAATCTGAGCTCTATGATGGAGTTCTCTGTATCTCTTTTTGTAAGTATTCGGGCATTATTCATTCTGCATTGTTGCTTCAGAATTTGAGATTCCCTAAACAGCTGATCTCTTACTGACTTCAGAGGAACCTGTTGTGCAAAACTTCTTGTTTTACCTGGTGGGGTTTAACAGATCATAATGGTGCACAATCTTGGTTACAACTATAAAATCTACCTTTCTTGCCTGTTTTTTCCAGTAATCTCCTTATAGGTATCAGAATTGCTTTTTAGCCGGACCTTCACTACCAAAAAAACCCCAAACCAAACCCAAACTAGCAAACAACTTTATTGTTTGTCCACATTTCAGGGTGCTTACCATAGGTTAGAATACACAATATACTGTAAGTTGGAACATGAAATACAGTTTTTTCCTAACCAGGTGGTTCCTAACTGCATAGAAATTTTTGGTAGGGATGGAGTATTTAGTATCTTAAAATGCCAGCTAAATCATCAGTCAGATCTTGGGGATGATAAAATTTATATGCATAAGCAGACAATGTGATTAAAGGGAAAATTTGAAGTGAGGAGTATTATTAGAAACTGAGAAAGCTGGTAGTTGTAAAATAGCACTTTGGTTTTAGCCACTACCAAATAAAAGTATGTGAAAGCAGTAACATAGGACATATTTCTTCTTAAAGAAAAAGGAGGAAAATTTAAAAAAAAAAAAAAAAAAATTTCACAAGTCATGTCTTTGCTTCATGAGAACTCTTGTCATGGGAGAGATACTCAGAATTCACCACTTTCTGTAATCAGTTCACTGTAGTCTCCAATGACTATATTGAACAGTGCTATAACTGTTAACAGTTTCTATCAAATGTACATTGTTGTGTTTGATTCCTATTTGCTATTTTCTTGTATTTTGTCACTGATTTCCATCTTCCATTCTTTTTATTTAGTGTATGTTATAATATCAGTCTTCTGCTTGGCATCTGCAATGAGTCTATACAACTGTCTTGGGGCATTAATAGGAGAAATACCATGTGGGCAGTGCAGGTATTGTACACTTTTTCAGTTATTAATAAATGTAAGGTTTCTTTTGGCTATTTTGTGGTTGCCACTCAAGGTAATGTGAAAATACAAGAACAGTTTGACAAACTGTTTTCTGTATGGTTTAATGTGTGGGATAGTTAAAAAATAAAATTACAAGCTCCTTTAATAGATATTAAAGGTATCTGTAGCATAATCAACAATTAAAATAGTGTTGTGGGAGATTTGCTGCATTACTTTTGATTATAGCAGTGCTTTCAAATAAACTTAAAAGGCTCTGCTTGGCCATCTGAGCTCAGTTTTACAAAATTCTGATTGCCTGTAGGGTGTGTTCACTTTGTTCATCAAGGAGCACTGTAGGGTGGGATCATACACATTTGATTATGTTTTGAGCAAGTACTATGCTATAGGCAACCTTTGATAGACCAAGTTTTAACTTTTCCTTGCAAAGGCAACACATTTCTCATGTTCGCTGTGTTAGAAGTTAGTGGTTACAGTCCTAACTTGGGTAGTGTGTTATCAGTGTAGAGATAGCCTCTTCTTACTGCTGTGAGTTAAATATCCTGCAGGTATTAGTGAGTATAGGAAAGTCCCTGTTTTCCTCCCCTGTATTTTCACTTTTAAAAAAACCCTAACATTTAGTGCAACAAAGGGTTCTTTTCCTGAAAAGAACAATGCCTGTAAGCTTGGAAGCCTAAGAATACGTTTGCATGTTACTTAGTACAGGATATTAGTGCCAGTTGATCCAGTAGCCCATCAAAGGTAGAGGTCAGATGGAAAAGACAGCAGGTTTTGTGTAAGCTGCGGGACAGGCATTACTTCTGTCACTTAGTATCAGTTCAAGAACTGTCCCAGAAAATTGAGTAGGCAGTGGAAACAGATATTGGCTCACAATTTTGCAATACACAGTTATTCCATTTTTAATCTTGCATTATGTGTCCTAAAATTGATATTTTTTCTTTTCCCAACACCACCCCTTTCTGGAATTATGACATCACTGTCCCTTGCTGACATTGTTCTGTCAGTGTAATTGTTACATGACAGAAATGGCTTGAATAAATTCCTCTGCTTGCTGCCTTCCCTGGATGTGTGCTAAAATGAGGACTAGCCATTAAAGCCTAGCTTGGCTTAGTAGTTGTGGGTATGTTTTTAATGCAGCCCAGAGAACGACTGGTACTGCAGTTGCAAGAATAATGCCACCTGAGTCCAGATGGGACAAAAAGGCAAAGGAGAAGCTCTCGGGATGAGAACTCCTGGTCAGCTTAAGGACCCGTGATAGCACAGGCACGTGTTTTGGCTGTTGCAAGCTTGCTTTTAAAATTTAATTATTTTCTTTCAGGATCACATGTTGCAACAAAAGCATTGAAGTGAGGCTTATTTTTCTTGCTGTGTTCTGCATAGCAGCAGCTGTTGTCTGGGCAGTGTTTCGAAATGAAGATAGGTAAGTGATGCATTCTGACTTAAAAGAGTAATATGAATAATTGTCACTAATGAACTTCCCATCATATAACTAATCCCGGAGCATAGCATCCTTCTAAACTCCAGTGCTGATTTCAAGAAAGTCATGAAAGTATTTATGAAGCTTAACAAGCATGGGAATAATAGAGAACAAAGCTATACAAATGAACTGTGTGGTAATTTAAAGTTAGAAAAAATTATGAAGATGAGGAAGAACTACCTTGGTGGCTAATGATTGCCACAGAAGAAAAAAAATGTGCAAAAATAGCATAGGGACCATAGGACCTATGCTTCCTCTGGTCCAGTGGAAGCACAGGACCACAAATACACAAATATTATAGTATAATCCTAAGTAGCATCTTGAGCCAGATGTTAAGGAGGGCTTCCAGTCAAGCGAGCAGTCATACAAGTGAACACCAAGTCCCTGTTACGGCCCCTGTTCAGTTCATCTCCTCTGTAGTAACACTGATGAAGAACAGTTACATATTTATGTTAAGAGGCTAGTGTAACTGACCATCTTGTAAGTAGTATTTTTGTGATTTTGGTAGCAATACTTCCTAAAAACTAATTTCTTGCCTTCCAATTAATTTTGAAATCTTGCTATTTCCAGCAAAATCTAAAATCATTATTGCACTTAGATTCCAGCAGTAGTACGAATATTGTGTGAAAATGTGTTCTTATTTTTAGGTGGGCTTGGATTTTGCAAGATATTTTGGGAGTTGCTTTCTGCCTAAACTTTATTAAAACACTGAAAATGCCCAATTTTAAGGTACTGTAAGTTGCATACCTTAAGAAAGTATTCTAATGCCATGAATCTGTAAATTTAATGTCAGAAAATTGGGTTTCAACACTCAAGAAATATATATTAAATAAAAAATCTTTACCATTTTTAATAATTATTGGAAGTAATTAATCCTGTTCTAAATGCTATGCCAGAATAAAAACATGGGGGTGGGGGGTGTTCTTTTTTTTTAAAAAAAACATAGTGGTACGGTAATGGTACCAGAATCTAGCTATGCAGTCCTTGAAAACCTACAGTAATATTTTTTTTCTTTTTTTTTTGCCAGTCCTGTGTGATACTTCTAGGCCTTCTCCTTCTATACGATGTGTTTTTTGTCTTCATAACACCATATATCACAAAGGTATGCTGTGAATTTATCTTTAAAATAGAAACAATATTGTCTGATCATTGGGGCAGTATTTTTGTCAAACAGATTAGTGTTGTCAGTCTTTTTGATGCAGAAATGCTGACTTTCTTTCCTTTTTCCCCATTTAAGACAGCAGTGGCCTAAATTTTCATTTTGTATGGGCCATAGAGCATAATACTGTGTAGGTGCTATAAATTTTGTTAAATGACTTAAGTTTTCAGCAATCATGTGGCCAAGAGTAAGTTGTCCCCAGTTGTGTGACAGCATGATGATTACTGTGTTCCAGTTTTATTCCTTCTTTTGCTTTTAACACCCATATATTGGAACATACTCTAGTACTTTCTGCAGTGCTCATTTGCAGTTTAGTATGAGCTGTATGCAACTGTACCACATTTTATTTGGAAGCAGAAAGCTCATGGCAGAAAAAGCTGACATGTTTTTAGCTGAGCTTCCAGCTACATCTAGTGGATTTCCTGTTTGTTTTTCTCTAAATAGTTATTTTAGGCTGGACTGTGTGTTTTTAATGCAAAACAATTGTGTATAATACCGTATGATACAAGTGCATTCCTTTTGATACTCAGGATTTTTCCAATCCTGATTTGTGAGATGAGGTACAAGCAGTTTTTGTAAACGTAGTGTGAATGTTTTGGTATGTTAAAGCACTAACTTCTGAAAAATAACCTCCATTTCAGAATGGGGCAAGTATAATGGTTGAAGTTGCAGCTGGTCCTTTTGGAAACAGTGAAAAGGTACGAACAGTTGTTTTAATATGTGCAACATAGAAGTACTGACACTGCGTAGCTAATTCATAGTGTGCTTTTCGGCATAACTTTCTCACAAAATATAGCCAGCTTCTGCTATTTTCTTTTAAGTATTAAACACCTGTTGACTTGGGTTTGATCCTAGAATGATGGAAACTTGGTGGAAGTCCCTACTGAACGCTCAGCTCCCCATGAGAAAGTAAGGATTGTATTTCAGATACTGGATTTTTAAATGATTCCCTCTGAAAACACTATTCTTTTGGGGAAAACCTGACTGTCCAAATTTCTCTTCAGGGCCTGGATATCTTTGATCAATACTCTATAGTTAGGTTAATAATCCAGACTTGTTATTCCCATTGTATGGTTAAATGCTGTTTTAACTTTTTTTTTTGGTGTGTGTGTATCATTTGTAAATCTGAAATTCCAGCTTACCTGTTGCCTTAAGCTTTATCCACTCTGTATGTTGGTTTCTGGTTTGTACTTTAGGTTCTACCTATTTTGAAGTCCTACATTAAAAGTAAATTATTTATATTAAAACTGTTTATTAATTTAAGCAAACAAACAAAAAAATCCAAAACACCAGGATGCTTTAGATTAGATTTATGTGGACTTCTGAAATACTGTTTTACAGTTACCTGTGGTTATTAGAGTGCCTAGACTTGAATACTCTACAGCGACACTGTGTGACATGCCATTTTCATTGTTGGGTTTTGGAGACATTATTGTCCCAGGTGAGCAAATGTTTTTGGCAATTGTACCTTAGCCTTCAATATTTTGGGTTTGCTTCTTAACTGACTTATATCAGAGTTTATTCTACAAAGTAATTACTAAATCAAATGCATCACTTTGCCTTGATCTGTCAATGCAGAATACAACAAAAGCCACAATATAAGAAAGCTGAGTATGTTACAGAACACCTAAATAGTGAAGAGTTTTTTTCTTTTGTATTGCACTGTATTGTGTAAATACAAGTCCCACGGATAAATCCAGTTGTCAGTATTAATTAAATCTCATCGAAATATCACAGAAAGCAAGTATTCTGTGACTTCATAGTATTTTTTTATCCTAGACTATCTAATTGGAGATGAGGTAACGGAAAATGTATTATCAGGTTCTTCCATCTTTCTCAGAAGAGCTGAATTTTGCCAGAGTTGGAGTCTTGAGCAAATTAAGTCAGGCACAAAACACCATCCCGTGAACAGCATGCAGGCAAAATTGCTGATTGTTAAGAGCGAGCATTAAAATCATATTGAAGGAAAGTTTTAAAACTAGGCTGTTACTCTTCTGTATTAGAAAACTGAAAATAGTATAATTTAATTAGCTTGCTTAAAAAAACAAAAACTTTTAATACCGAGCTCACTTTGCTCATATTTCCTTTATGGTTTTGATTTTCAAGACTTACCATAGAATTTCTTAAACTGGTTCTTGGCTTTCCGGAAATAAATGAGAAGATAACATACAGTAATGGGAGGCCTTACTATAAATTCTTTCTATGCTGCTTTGATTTGGAGGACTGGGGAGAAAAAAATTAATGGCTAAATATTAATCTTTCTGGGTTTTTTTCTTCAAGGGCTTCTGGTTGCCTATTGTCGAAGATTCGATGTTCAAACAAGTTCATCTTCTGTATACTACATTTCCTGTACAGTAGGTAAATTGTGATACTTCAGCAATGTTAATCTTCATGATAGCTTTTTTTAAATGGCAGAACTAGATAGTTTTAGTCAGGTAAAGGTTCAGTGTTATCAAGAATTTCTTTATAATCTCTTTTTAATGTGCCTGCCTGTATTTAAGGTGAGTATTCTTTATAGTAGTCAGTTGCTTTGAGAAAGCTTGCAAATACAGAGCAACCTATTGTCCCTTTTCAATTATATTAACAGGGAAGATAAAACTTAAAAAAAAAAATACAGCTTGCTAAATAAATGGCTTAATTTAAAAATTCACCTGTTCTTGATTGTGTATGTATAAATATCTTTTTTTAGCTTACGCCGTTGGTATGGTGCTGACTTTCATTGTTTTGGCATTAATGAAGAGGGGACAACCTGCCCTTCTCTACCTTGTACCATGTACACTCATTACTAGCTCACTTATTGCTTGGAGACGCAAAGAGATGAAGAAGTTTTGGAAAGGAAGCAATTACCAGGTAGGCTGGATGCCTTGAGTATTTTGTTGTTAATTCCTTTGAGTATCTGTTTCTTTAGGCACTTGGTAATATACCACCCACAATCCAATTTTTGCCAGTCTTACTGTTATCTTATGGAACTAGTAAGGAAGAATAAATAGTCTTTACTCTTAGAAAATCTTAGTCTAGTAGTTGAAATGGCAGAACAAAGCTTAAAGGAGATTAAATAGCTGGTTTAGTACTCATGGAAAAAAGTAATTTGTTCTGTTTTATTTTCTTTGAAATTTTTTTTCATGTTTTAACATTCCTCAGCTATCATCTTGGTGTGGTATAACATGAGTCACTGAACTAAGTATGCAGATTCCAATCTGCACTAGCCCTGTATTAAGAGACAGTTAAAAAAAGTTGGTGATCCACTAGAATTTTAGAAACTTTCCATGCATCACTGGTGTCCCGCATCGTCAGGATTATATGGAGCATTTGCCAACACAATAGCTGAGTGATTATATAACTGTTTTCTCTCACAGCACACACTGTGTGCAAACTGCCTTAGGTATTCTGCATTTCCCCTTTGGTTATCTCTAGCACTGTGCAGGAACTGAAGGCCTTAAAATCCCACCAGCTGTCTGCCTCTGCCTGTTGTCATGTGCACATTCCCCCTGGTTTGACTTGCTGCAGTAACCAAATGTGCCAGTAGCCTTGTGACCTGGCATTTATCATAAAACAGACCAGTCTCGAGATTGCTCTAAGTTTTGTTTGAGACCTAAAGTCAAATATTGTTTGAATTCAGAAACTATTACCTGTATCTAGGCTGTGTTGAACTCAGCTCAGAGAACAGCTAGTCTGTTGCAGGGGGAGGTGGGTGATGTGGAGTTGATGGTGGAAAGGAGCACCTCCTGCTTTTTCGGTTTCTGGATTGCAAAGTTTAAGTGGATCAGCAGAAGTCAAGGTGGTGGTAATTCTTGTAAATGTAAACCTGCAGGCACGCAGCTCCTATGGTGTTACCAGCTAAATGTTACCTTTTGTTGATCTAACTAATATTCTACACCTGTGTCAGCTGGAGGTTGGCTAGGTATGAAATTACTTAGGAGATTTTCAGCTTTAACGAGATGCCCTGTCTTTTTGTCTATAAAGACAACTCTTCTCCTTTCGTAGGTCCAGTGAATATAAATGTTTCCCTGTAGGTCAGAATGAATTTGGCTTACCATGCATTTGTATATAAATTGGTGACTGCTATTCTAAAATAGGCAGTGTTGCATATATGAAGCCCAGTAACTCTGTGTCTGTTGAGTGGGAAAAGGCTTTGCAATTTATTTTCCTCACTTGAGTTCTGAGTAAGACTGGCCTAAGTAAATCTGGCAGCTCTCTTTAGCGACAAAAATTTCTTGCACTTCTCATAGCAAAACTCATACTTGGAAGAATTATGTTGCCATAGTAGTTATTTCATGTCCTTTCAACTGATTCCTTAAAGGATTAAAACTGCTCTGAACTTCATCTTGTTCTGAGGTCAGATGACTTCATTTCTGGCATGATTTAAGATGTTGATTTCCACCCCCATTCCAGTACCCTTGAGTTAGGCTAGTCTGTGATTGAACATCACCTCTGTGTAACTTTACTAGCTCCTATTTTTCTGTAACTTTCTGAAGAACTTTTTCTATATTGATTTTTTTCCAGAGAGTGTTACTTAAATTGCACTCTCAGAATGCTGCAGTGTTGATCATCCTCATATGTTGTCCTTCTCACATAAAGCTGTATTTTGAACTGTCCTTACTGAATTTACAAACACGAAGGAAAAAAACAAAAACAAAAACAAAAAACAACCAAAACAAAAAATCCCCACAGAACCCTGGCGTTGAAATCTCCAGCTTTCAGTGTTTGTTCTGAGGAAGAAAGATATAGAAAGGTGGCAGAAGACTGTTTTTTGCTACAGCAATGGTAATTTGGACTGGAGCAGAGCTGCCCCATTGACAAGGGTGACCAGACTTCAGTAGAGCTTTGCTTTGTCCTTATGGGAACAGAGAAACCTTGAAGACTTTGCAGAGCAAGACGCCCAAAGAATAGGGGTACAAGAGCATGTCTATCAGGTGACTAAACTTCATGAATGCTGCTGTTTGTTTATAATCCATTAGTTAGTGCTTTTGGGTTTTTTCTGATTTTTGTTGTATATGATTTTAATAATGGAATGAATTTTATTTAGGTATCGGACTCCTCCAGGACGCCTTTGCTACAAGGTGTGATTATGGCCTTCTTTTAATGCAACTTAATTAGCTTATGGTTTCTTTTTTCTTTTTTCTTTCTCTGCTTCCTCTTTTCATTCTTTTTTTCCATCTTTTTAATTTTTCTGAGTAATTCAATAGAAGAGGGTAGAAGTAAAGACAAGCTATAAATCTGTTTTTATGCCTAAGGTTTTGGGTTTTTTTTTTGTCTGTCTTTCTTTAAAGGAATACAGGAAAACTTAATATAAAGTACCAATGGAGCCATGATTCCTAAGGCTGAAGGCAGGCTTTGTATGCCCCTCTATAATCTCCCAAATCCCAAGGAGTATCTTCAAATGTTTAGAATTACTGTTAGTTCCTCTACTGTTACCTACATGGAAATCCTTCACCTAATTTTTCTGTGCCACTTCATTGACATGAAAACCTGCTTAGTGCTAAACAATTTTGTTGTCCTCTGTTTTAATGTTCAGCATTATAATTTGCCTTTAATAACCAAGTCTACAGTCCCTCTATCATTTTATTACTCAGCAGTATACTTTATCCCATACTGTCTGCAGTGCTTGCAGTGGGATAATAGGGAGCAAGTATTAGGACCAGCTTTTGTGGTCTCATTGCTGCACAGCTTCTAAACTGCAGAGAAGGTTTAACCTTACTAAGGCTATAGCTCATGACTGCCAACACTGATGGTATTTATTTTAGCTGTCCGCTGTCTCAAGCACAGCATGGAGAGAGCAGCACAAGCTTTCACATTTCAACTCCTTGAAGAATTTGAGCATTTAAATACAATATTGAATTATAGTCAGCAGTTGAGAGTTATAAATTTGTTTATAAAGTGTAGCTTGTCTGCCCTCTACACTGAAGACAATTTGAGATGGTGAAATCTGCCTGAATGTGTCTTAAATTCTGAACTAAAAAGTACTTTTCTCATTAGCTTATTTCTTCTAATAAGGAGTACTTTAACAATTTAAGTGTCATTAAAAAGCCTTAAGAATAAAGAAATTAGATATAAACCAAAGAAGATGTTAGGAAGTGGGAGGAGTTGAGTGCAAATGAAAATCAGATGGTCAGACTGTATTTTTATAACTTAAAATTCTTCTGTCCTGCTGCGTGCACTCCAGTTCTTGGATAGGATAGTTTTTCAGTTTCTACTTTATACATATGGGAAGTACTTAAGTCCCTAAGATAGCTCAGAGGTCCCATAATTCTTAGCTGTGAGCATTTCTGTTTCTCTATAATGATGCAGTCTTAAATTCTAGTTATGCTGTATGTGGCTTTTTTATGGCATAGTCTTGAGCTGTGATGACTTGATGCACAAAAAGACATTTTAACTATTCACTGAATCATGGGGATTTTGGGGGATAAATACTTGCAAGTTAATCATAGCTATAAGTTAAGAATGATGTGATGCAACATCATCAGAGTGAATCTTGCAGGCAAGTGTGTACATAGGTATTATGTACTCTTTTACAGACAGGAGTTTGTATTGCCATTTCTAGTTTGGCTTTGTGTGTGGGGGGGTTTTGGGGTTAATTTTTTTTTTTTTGATTTTTAATAGTTCACCATGTTAGGATATAGGTTAAATGTAAATGTGTTTTAGTTACAAAGCTATCTTGACACCTTCCCCCCCCCGCCTTAAAAACTGTTTGGTATTCAGATGTGGAAGAAAAGCTTATGAATCTCTTCTACTTTAAAAATGTTCATCAGCTCTCCACAGTGTACTGTCTGATTGCTTTGGCTCTTTCAAGGCTTGAAACAACAACTTTGTCTGGGATTTTAGCATGGTGCCTTCATCTTGATGCTGGTTGTTGTAAAGATTCCTGCATCTTCTGCTGGCACCTTGAGTATGGGGTTGTCCTGAGAGAACACACAACTGAGATACACTTGTGGAAAATGGTGCTTACTGCAATCTTACACTTTTAGAAAGGTATCTGTTGTCCCTGAACACAAGTTGTGGACTATCCCCCTTCTATATGGTGGAAAGATTAGAAGTGGGGTGGGCTGGCTTTTTTTTAGGGGGGAGGAGGAGGGTGAGGGCCAGGGACAACACATGACCTTGTAACATATAGAAAAACCTCAAACACTCTTTATGCTCTACAAGCCATTTTGGTTTTAAAGTTAACTTAACAATCTGATATATTAAACAGAGAGTTTAAGATTTAAATACAGGTGGTCTCCAGCATTTTGTGCTACTTACCTTGTCATAGGATTAAGAGAAGAATCTGGCTTTGGGATACACTGAATTGTTGCAAATAGTGTTAACTCTTTCTTCTGGAAGCATCTTGTCAATTTGATAGGGAAACATTTTACAAAAATGCTTACCTAAACTACCTTCTCTATGCCAGCTGTTAGATGATGCTCCCAAGGATGAAGGAAGATACATGGCATCACTTGGTGTAATGCGGTACCATGTGGGGAGGTTTTGTTGTTGATTTTTCCCAGAAACAAATACTTCAATCCTCATTCTGTAATTGTAGGGAGTGTTTTGCTTTCAGTGACTTTTGATGTGGGTTTTTGGTCAGAGTGCTGGAGGAAAGTTCTAGCTCTACTGAAGTGAACACAAGATTGTCATTAGCACAGGAGGTTGGTATTCACTGCTGCTCAGAGTGTGTGTGCTACTGCTGTAACTCAGTTCTTAGGTGTATTGACAAGAGTAGTGCCTGCCTTAATTCTGACACGTGAAGGGAGGGATGTGAAAGACCAGACCTTTTCTGGTTTTAGTCAGATTGATATTGTGGCTGCTAGGCTCCCCTAAGCCTTATCAATGTCCCAGTGATTTGTTTCTGTCTTGGAACTGTCATTTCGATTTACTGCTTGGCACGTTGATGAAGCTGGACTGGGAAACAGTTTATTTAAGCAAAACAGCTTTTAATAAGGTATGTTTGTATACCTTGCAATGAAACAGTTCTGTTGGCGTAAGAGACTGTATGGCACAGAGGTGGGTCATGGCTAGAGAAGAAGAGCAAAGTTAGTGGAACTACTCTCTTTGCCTTATATATAGAATTATACCACACTAAAGTGCATGTGACGCAAGTACCAGAGCCTGGCTTTGTCTTGCCAAGGATACTCCAGTAAGTGCTAGTAAGACATGAAAGCAATCATGTCCTCATCCCATGGGAGTCTGCCTAGATTAGAACCCATGCAATGAGCAGCTGTTTTACAAAAAACAAGGGAGCCTTTTACTACTAGGCAGGATATGCCACTATAGAAGACTGTCTGTAGGGCTTTCTACCTTTTGATGCTGAAAGCATTATGCCCTTGTCCTAATAATCCTGCTATGCTGGGCATGTGAGCTCCTTGACATATTTTATTGTTCAACTTTAGTTTAACCACTTCTGTATTTCTGTCTCTGGTTGCCAGCTATCAAAACTGTCCAATCCTTGGTCTCTTGTTAGTTATGCTTAATTCTGAAGCACTCAAATTGATGGGTCTCAGTTTGTCATGCTAACAAATGTATGTATTACCTCTATAATTTATTCAGTGCCTTGTCCCAGGGGAGAAACCAGACCCTTCGTTGCCCTCTAGCAATACAGCAGAGGATAGGGAAGCAGGTTGTAGAGGACAAGGATCCTTGGTTGGAGAATGCTTGTGTAGTGGAACGCATTAGCTAAGAGAGCTTTCATTATTTGGCTTGAATACTTTTCTGATCTGTAGAGGACTTCCTATCTGTATGCTGCTAAAATGCACTCTAACACATGTTTAATTATATTTCTCTTAGCTAACAAATACTTTGGACCAATTGGGGGAAAGCAGTATATCTTGATAAAAAGACACCTCTTTTTTTTTCCTTTTTTTTTTTTTTTTCTTTTTTTTTTTTTTCCTTTTTTTTCCTTTTTAAATTTAGATGATGGAACACCTGGATTATACAGGAAATGAAGAAAGCACAGCATCAGTCAGTGAACAGCCTGGAGGACAATAACATGTAGGATCCTGATTTAAAATAGTGTTCAAATTTTCTAGAAAGGAATTGCAGTAAATTTGGTGAACTTTTAGAATTGAGTATTTCCTACTCTGTGTAAAAGGGTTTTTTATCCCCACACCTATATTTTTATGGAAAATATTGTTAATAACAAACGTAATCAAAATAGACTTGCATTTTTATGGCCAAACCATAGCTAGTAAAACTGTGCCTTATTTTGACTTAAATAAAAGGATGTTTTCTATGCAATTTTCCAAATGTGTTTCTATACAGTATATTTTTATAGAAGTTGCTGGCCCATATCAGTGTGCATGAAATGTTTTCCTAATTTTGATTAAGACTAGTGACATTTCATTAAAAAAAAATTACAGTACCCTTCGTAGGATTTCTTTCCTGATTTTGAATGCAAAGATTGATAGTAATGTGACTATATCAACTAAAGAATTAAACTGTAGTTCCATTACTACAAGTAGTTGAATAAACAGTGTGTATGTTAGTCTGTGTACATTGTAAGCCATAAAGTAGATAACAGGGCAAATTTAGCTTGGGGTTGTGAGCTCTTCCCCACCGCCCTGTAGTATCACTGGTTTATGCCTTAATTGTAAAAATTGTTAAACTTGGATGCAAGTCTTTGGATTATATACCTTGCCAACCATTTCCAAAAAAAATAAAAGGAGGGGAGGTGCTTACACAGTGGTCCTAGAAACTTAGGTGCAGCTCCTGGAATAGTTGACAAACAAGATGGTTCGAAAGGCAAGATGGTTTTGGCTCAAGAAGTGCTATTTGGGGGCTGGGGTGAAATGTTAATGCCATCCTGGTTCTTCTCCTACTCATTGAGACTAGATATATATTTGTGGTCTTCATTTGGCGGTGGTGGATCAGTTCAAAGGGATGGAAAAAGACACAACAGATTTTTTTTTTTTTTTTTTTAGCTTTTGCATCTACACAGTACTTTTTTTTTTTTTAAAACTATTTTTGGAAATTGTTTGCAATTGATAGACAAAACAACAGGTTTGAATAGTGCTAGTAGTGCCTGTGTTAGTTAAGGCCAATGCATGTGTTTAACTTGTTTAATCTTAATTTGTTTTAGTTTTTAAAGACTTGGAAAAGGAGACATAGTTTAAATCATTAGTTTGCATTTAGAAGAGTTTGAGTTTGTTTGACACTTTTTCTTTTTTCAGGAAACTGCAAATTGAGGGGGATTAGGCATAGAAAATTTGTATAGCTGTAAAGCTAACACTTTACACCAAAGAAAATTGGAGAAGGCAACAACAGGAAACCACTGAGTTCACCTAGTGCTAATGTCAGGTAGTTGTTAAAACATTTTTCCTATTCTTTAAATGAATGTCATTCCCATAGCCAGTACAAGTTCAAGAACTCTGGAGAAAACAACCGAATAAGCACATGCTGGGCAAGGGCAATGCAGGCTTTGCTGCAGTGCCTCACAGAAGTGCCTCAGTGTTTGTCTGAAGGTCACCTCTAGACATTTCTATTAGTTTGGGGCATGTCGGCTCAGGAAAACTCACCCAGATTACATCTAGTTTAGCTAGATTTACTTTGGAAGTATGCTAATTAAGACAATTGTAAATCTATATTGGCAGTTAACAAAGGCTTACTGCAAATTCGCTGCTTTACGTAATTTATATCAAGTTTAAACTTTTGTTCGCAAGAGTCAGGAGCAGACAGACTTACAGCCTGAGTATCAGTTGTTGCCATTCACACAGATTGACTGTGGTGCCAGGTGATACGGGTAAGATAACCACCTTGTTTGCAACTTCCCTAAGAAAACAGAAATTACAAACAGTCCTCATGTTGGTAGTTGCCCCTCTTGACTTTCTTGACTTCAGCTTGAACTGACAGCCTCAGAATACAACCTTATGCACCATCTTCAGTTTTTGTTTGACTGGCACTTAATAATAAATTACAGCATACCTCAGAGTTCCAATAGCAGACTGAAAACTTGCCTTCTGATGTGTTGTCATGTTCTTTCACAAGCCCAGTATCTGCCAAAGTTAAATGATTATGGAGAAGTTTTTCTGAAAATTCCTGAAAGAGCTAAAGAAGTCATAGCTCATTCAAAGTCATGCACTACTCAGAACCCCCAGAAGCTTCACAGATCTATGTAATATGACTCCTTTTTCTCTTTGAAATTTTCTGCATGGAGGATTTATTAAATTGTCAAATGGTAATGGAGTTAGTGTAAATAAAGAAGACCTCTGGCAACATAATTGTATTCAGCAGCTGACTGTGAAAACTCTGTCTTGTTCTGTGCCTAAGTGTGCTCCATGCCTGATCATGCCTGAGGTTTCACGCACATGAGCTGAAGTTTAATGGGATGTAAACTAACTTTTTTCTTTCAAATGCTTAGGTGCTTTGTTTACAAAAATTAAGAATGGAGTTTAAAATTTTATATAAATAATAGGTTAGTATTGACTACTGAAATGAGGTTTTTTATAAGTTCAATAGAACTGATTGCAACACTTTTAGCAATTTTGAATGTTTTTAATATTAAATTTGGTTGGGCTAAACACTATGTTAAAAGCCTTTTTTGTCATACTTTAATATAAAAATCTTACTACCTTTTCATTGTATGTTTACTGACAACAGACCCTTCCTTACGACTCTTAAGTTATCACTTTAAGAATGTTATTAATAAATGTTACTTGGAAAAAAAATAGTTGAGTAATTGCTGTGTTCTGACTCATCTTCTCACTGTGAACATTCATGGCAAAGCAGTTAACACTTCATAATATCAAGTAAATTAAAAAATCATTATATACCTCCATAAATATGGAGTTGCAGTTTTTATCCATCCTGCCTGATGTATCATAGTTATGATTCTGTTTGTAAATACCTGTGTGGTGGTTTTGGTGACTTTTTCTTTTTTCTTTTTTTTTTTTTTTTTTTTTTGTAGGGGTTGGGGAGAGTTGAAATCTATGAATTGAGGTACATCAATTTTTTACTGGTTTAACTCCTGACAAACAGTGAGTTATAAATTTAACACTTGCAAACTTCTTGATGGTAACAAGCTTATTTGCATTCAGCATAGAAAGTAGTGCTGTAGAAATGTTGTTCAACTGAACGTACTTAGCCTTAGACATGAAGGGCAAGAAAAAGCCAAGCTTCAGTCTTGAAACCCAGGCTGGGTTGGAAATGTTGGTGGGGGAGAAAAATAAAACCCCTGAACCTGAATGCACTTGATACGTGACCCAGGAGACATCCCTGGAGCCCTGTGATAGTACATTTGTATTTAACATGGTTTTAAGTATTTTAAGCCTCTTCTGCTCATACATGGGAGGTTCCAGTAGCCTTGAGTCACAGTAATTGAGTACTTAACTGAGAGAAAACTCTCTGAAATGCTCTTTGAATTTACTTATTTTAAAAAGTAAGGAAGTTAGGAAGAACAGACCCAGCTGCAATCAGCGAGTTTGTTTTGCACTGTCCCCCCTGCATTGTGTTGTTAAGGCTGCTACATTTGCCACTTTACCAAAACTGCAGATCTCAGAGGCTTCAAAATTGCAAGCAGGAGAGACATTTTCTTCTATGGAAGAGGGTTACCATTATTAGTTAACATGTGTTTGCCTGTTTAGATCGATCCAGTCTTTACAACACAAGTCCATTTAGATGTTAGAAAAAGCTTTTCACTGTATGGTCAGAGACTGCAGCAGGTTACCCAGAGAGGTTCTGGAGTCTCCATCCTTGGAGATACTCAAGATACAAGTGGACACAAGTAGACAAGCTGTAGAGGACCATTCCAGCTCTACTGCTCTGATCATTAAGGCATTTTTCTCTTCATTTTCCAGCTTAAATATTCTGCTTTTTTTTTTCTTCATAGAAAAATTCAAATTTTATCACCACAACGTGGGTTTGATTTTCACTCGGAATAATTTACTTCTACTAAGCTTTTAGATTTAAGCATATTTAAAAATTCTCTTCCAATTGGTAATGCTTTCAAAAGCTAAAGCAGTTTTATTTTCAAGTAGCCTATAAAGCACACTTTACTGTGTGAATGATTTATCTTTCTGATTTTTGAGAAAAGAAGGAGGAGAGCAACTCAGATTGTTATCCCTTTTGTCAGAAGTGAATGATCAAAGTTCAAGGTTTTGTGTTCTTGAGAGAGGCTGATGATGGAGGCTCAAGTATCTCTGGAATCCCTCTTATTTATAAAGAATGTGCCAGATCCTGTTTCCCTGAGCACAGCATCAAATAGCTGAGAATAGTTATTTTGCTTGCAGCTCAAAGACCTTTTAACCAAGAAAGTGTTTAGATCAAAGAGCTCTCTTTCAGCTCTTTCTTAGGAGTGTGCTCACAGGTATTCTGTCGCCTGGTTTTCTGTTCCCTCTCCTTGCTCATGCACATACTCACCTTCTTTCTTTCCTTCTCTTTTCTATATGGGGCAATACCAGCATGTTTTGAAGTGTCTTTGCACATTACTTCTTCTTGGACAATAATAGGTTCCTCTGTTACAGTATGGAACACCAGCGTTTATGAGGAGATTTAATCTTTTGAACTCTTAAAACAAATGCAAGTCATACCTACCTCTAACAATAATTTAAAACAACAGCTTGTCTTCTGTGCATCCTTAACTGTGTTATGGTCCCACTGACTTTCTGGGGGTGCATTAATGTTGGTGCAACAGCCTCACATAGATTTGAAAAACAAAGTTTTTTACAGTTTTCTTAAAGGCTGGAATGCACTCATTCTGGTGCTTTTCACAGAAAGGCTACCAGAATGTATCAACCTCTGTATTGTGCACACTTGGAAATACTACAGGTATTGGTACATTTAAAATTTCAACAACAGCACGGTTAATTTAATTTCAAGCTTTGTTGTGATGTGTCCCTATCAAAGCTACAAGAAAAGTGAGGTCCTTTTAATTAATATTTCTTTCAAAAGGTAGCGAAGACTGTGCTGGGAAATTGATCCATCCTCGTGGATTTAAGGCAACTCACTGCAAAAAATTAGCAAGCAGGTATTTCTCTGGTGAGTATTTCTCTGGCAGCTGATTTAAAAAATAGAACAAATGCATGCCCATAAGTACCTTTTTCTCTAAAAAATGGAACAGCAAGCCTTTGCAGTATAAAGTGATACTTTTGTCAGGGCCACTGTCAAATAAGAATTCAAAGTTGGACAATTAAGACCAGTCCTGTATAGACTTACCTAAAATTTTACCTCTTGATTATGAGGCACCTATCCCTGGATTTAAAAAAAAAGTAGATCAAGAAACAGACCTGTGTAAGAATACCTGTGAACTTGTCTCCGATTGCTAAAAGTCAGGCAGCAGTTAGTTTGACCTGCTGCCCTGTTCTTGCAAAGCAGTTTGTTGAGACGGTCGGACTACACCGAGGAGAAGCAGCACCTCTGGCCGCTGCCGCTTTCCTGCAGGTTGGGGCAGTGGAGTCATGGCAGGAGCTGCTGCACCTCTGTGTCTTCCACATGGAGCATCTCTGCACAAAGGCCACCCCGCTGCCTGTCCACCACGCGCCAGCTCCCCTGCCAAGCGAAAACGCAAACCCAGAATTTGTGAGCCCAAAGATTGCAGCGGGAACAATTTTCACAGGGAGGTTTTAAAATCCTATAAAAGTTATGGGGGGAGAAAGTTCAGAAGGAACAAAACTGACATCAAGTCGTTTTAGTTAATTTTTAAAGGCAGGCACTGATAAAATCTTGCAAAGGGTCACCATTATGGTGCAAATGTCACTGTACTGTTCCTGGTAGCTACTGGTTTTACACATGTACATAGAGACAGGCAGTGACACACCCTTGGCAGTTTTGTCCCGTGTTGGTTAAACTGTCAAACAGTTTTCTGAGCAGTAAGTAATGTATCATATTCCCAAATACAGGATATGCTGACATTATACTTTAGATGATGGGTTGGGTAATATATTTTTTTTGTACACTTATGGAGCACATCAAAGGAAACATCACGCATCCAGAACTACTGTGTGCGCTCAACTTAATTAGCTCATTAACTTGAATATACCTTCCTATTAATATTGAATATCTTTAGTGCAGATTTTTAAACTAGAAAACCCACACTATCATTTGCCTAATTTGGATGGGACAAGCCATACCGCAAAGCCAAACTCGAGTTACTTGTCTTGCGCTCTGAGGTTGGTGTCATCGGGCCCTTTGCGCTGCCATCAGAAAGCCACTCTACTGTCCTTTCCTAGTGGTGGTGGCAATTTGCCAGTCCCAGAAAAACGGGGAAGCACTGAAAAACTGAGAAGCCTCGCATAGCTTTCCCTGAATCTGCCTTGCAGAGTAAATGGCTGACTTTACATAATGCTCTAGCCCTCAATTAACACCTAAATGCAGTGAAAACACCCTCCTGCTGGTGGTGGGTCTCACGGTTAGGGGGGAACTGAACTGCACTGGTGATGCCAAACCAGCTCTCTTATCTCTAAAGGCATGCTACCTCAGTGCTCCCTTGCTGTAATTACGTTGTACAGTAAGATGTCGATGATATTGTGCCAATTTTAACACATGAGCAGTTCTGTTACTTTAATTTAAATGCATGTGTTGCTTGTGAGATTGGAGTCTAAATCAGTTAAAGGGGATAATTTGTTTTATGACTGTTAAATATGCAAAATTAATGTTTTGTACATGATTTTTCTCCTGATAAATTTTCAGCTTGCCCTAGATTTTATGATCTATTTCTTGAATGTGCAGCTAAGGCACTTGTTTCCTTTGAAGGGATACATCATCTCAACTGTTAAAGCTAGCGCATTGCTCAGAGTAGCTACTTTTTGGTTTTGAAGTACTTTGGTATAGTGCAAAAAGATCACTAAAGCTTTGGGACCTCTTCAGAAAAATGTGTAACTCTGGAGTGTACCACATACCAACAAAGCAACCAAAACTTCTAAACAGTTTTAAAATTGAAGTTACACACTTTTTGAGTTTTATTTGCCCTGGCTTCAGTGGAAAGAAGGCTCTTCCTTTTAAGTTGTATTTCATAAGTGTTGTGATTAACAATGCCTAGCTTTTTCTACTTCATCCCATTTTGAAATAGCATACTTTGGATTGCTGAAATGTTGCATGTTTGTAATGTTATTTGGTGTTTTATCCAGAAGGTATTGGGCAAAATATTTTCACAAGAGCTTGGCAACTCAAGCACTATAAAAACCCTTTACTAATAATGGAGGGGACTTACAGATACCATTAACTCATGTCATCATACTTTTTTTGCCTTACTTGAAAAGTTTTAAACTTTCATGTTGGAAAAATAAGCGTGTTCAGGAGTAGCAGTCAGAATGTAAACTGGTGAGTTGGCACTGTAGCTATAGCTAGACAGTTGATTTACCTAGATGTATCAGAAATGGACAAACCTGTGGCCAAAAAAAAAAAGAAAAAAAAAAAGAAAAAAAAAAGTTTTGGGAGAATTCATCCTTGTTAAAAGAATAAGAAAAGTGAATCAGTAATACTGCTTTTCTGTGGCAGATTACTTTAGTAAGGGACAAAAATGGTTTCTACACAGAATCTCTTTGACCTTGAGTAGGGTATTAACTATATCTCCTTATCAGTTGGCATTTGCATCTGATTTAACTACATGAACTCCAGCACATATTTTGAACAACTTTAAAAAAAATGCTGCAGAATAACAGAGCGTATCTCTGGTAAAACTTTTTTCAGAGTCGAACAAACAGGAAAAGTCAAAACCAGATTACTTTTACTTAATGATAACTCTTTTAATTTCTCATAAAGAAGAACGCTGTATTTTAATTTTTCCTTTCTGTGCACAAGTCAGTATGTCATCTACATGAGGGTGAGTGAGCAATCAAACAGCCTGATCCTAGCTGCTGGATATTGCAATATTGAGATAAGGTCTTCCTTAAAGAGGTTTCTTATAATCCCTTAGCACTTATTGCAGTGAGATCAAGTTACAGCTGGTTTAATACGATGTAAAACCTATTACGGTTGACATCACAAATTTTAATAGTTCTGGTGATGATAACATAAACTCAACATAAAGTGCCAGTGACAGACTGATAGTTTGGTTTGAGATATGAAAATGAGATACAGGAACCACACAGCAAAAGGAGTTTTGTTTAAACCAGTTATATTCCATTTTAGATAACAGAAGCTTGCTTCAGGTTAAAGGTCCTTAAATGCAATAAGGTATAAAATAATGCTTCATTATTTCCTTCTAATTCACAGCTGACAGTTGTTGATTTGGAAGGAGATAACAGAGGAATTTGGGGTTGACTACTGGTGTGGTAAGAGGGTGACAAGTAGCAAATATTTATCCTACTGCTTAGCCCTCTGACATTGAGTTAGAGTGATGAAAACAAGATTTAACATCTGAATGTACAAGAATTCACTCTTCTTGGATCACTAAGTACTGCTAGCTTAGGGTCTAATCACATCACATTCTGTATGGCGGATCAACGTAATAAAAGGGTATAAGGTGACTTCCTTATGTCATGTGCCACCACTGCCAGATCACAGGGATGTATTTCACCGTGGCGCTATATCCTGCCCCGCTTCACAACACTGAAGGCTGACGCTCCCCCCGGAGTGAGGCAGAGAGGATGTTGATGACTCATTTTCCCTTCATTTTTTTTTCACAAGCTGTTCCAGTGAAACAATGTGCTGTCTCTCCATATAGGCTTATCACAAACAGTTTAACTCTCAAACAATTTGATGTCAATCTCTTTACAGTTTTGCAGGATCAACAGGAAAAAAGGCATGGAAAATTCCTCACCTCAAGCATGTTCTCCTAAAACAATAGCTTGTACTAAAGAAGTCTCATGCCCAGGCTGGCCTCCAGCTACTTTTTCTTAATTCCCTTGCTCCTTCTCCCTCTTGGATTTACAAATATTAAACTTAGAGACCAACATGATAACCATGACAATCAAGTCAGCATAGCACAAATATTGCTGCAAGTTGAGATGAAGGACCTAGTCATAGAAGAACTTGCACATTAATTTAATGTAGGATGTGAGGAGGTGAGGTTTAGATTAATTAATTAGAAAGGGAGGAAGGAGGAATGTGGTAGTTTATCAGAAATGCTTTGTAGTGTTAGCAGAAGAATTCAGAAATCCCCCATTTCTTCTGCTTTCCTTTGGAAAGTTCTTGAACCGGCTCCAGAAAATTTTACTGGGCTTCCACTGCTCCTTCTGTTCCTGCTCTTTAAGCCAAGAACTAGCACTAGCACATGGGGATCAGGGCAGGAACAAGTATCTGCGGATCAGCAGACTTGGGATTTCTCCTGCAGTAAGAGAGTGAATTTAGCCTGTTAGTTGTGAGATCTTGTACTCAGAACTAATTTAAGTTTTCCCTGGAAACACCTACTTTTTCTATTCTATGGAAATTAAGAGTCCTAGGAGCCTATTTTTCTTACCTATGTAACACAAACTCTTCTGAAGTTAACTAAAGCCAAGCATTAGGAGCTCCCATGCAGCTGAGAAACTCCCATCAGCACCCTAATGTGGCACGAGTGCCTGCAGTTGTGTGGGTCTTCTCCAATTTGCACCTCTTGTTTGCAGCAAATGATTCTGCTACCAGAATTTACTACTGGACTTGCTCTGGTAAATGGCTGTTAATGTGAGGATGTTTTGTTTGTTATCTACAGTTAGGTTTAAAGTAGTAGCTGCCAATTCTGCTGCTTTTTTTAAATGATTGGTTTGATTTTTGATCATCCCTTTCTAATAAGGGGAGTGGGTCTAGTAAATTTGGTAGCATACAGAGCTTCAGACTCTTAAGAGACCATTTCTGTCATGCTGAGGCTCACCAGTTTTCAGCTGTGTGTGCAGAGCCCTGTTACCCTGTGATGCACAGATGGTTCAGGTGTGAGTACACACTTGTACGTCTATCGGTTTAGCCCCACACTATGCAGAGTTAACGTTGGCTTTTTGCAGCAAGAGGAGGTGTATGACACCAGGTCCAACACAATGTCACAACAGCGAAGACAAATAATAAGGCCTGACAATGAAAATCAAAGTTTTTAAATGAATTTGAGTATTCTAATTGAGTTTATACAAAGTTACTGCTCTTGGTACCTAATGGCTATGGTGCTTTAGAAATGGTACCAGGACCTTTGAGCCAGATTTAACTCACTTTTGAACCATGTTTCCATTGCAAATGAAATACTGAGCTATCTAAGTGCGTATGTCTTAAATAAACATTATTATCGTAGCATTAGACATGTTTTAGATGATTTTTCTAGGAAGCCTGTATTTTTCATATTTAAGGAACAGAAATAATTTGAGCCAAATTTAATTAATATTTTTTTTTCCTTTACAGATGCTGTTTATTCTATCATACAGTTGGTTGCAAAAGATACATATAATGAAACATGTAGTGGAAATTATTGCACGAGGCTTTTTATTTGTGATACTGATTCTCAAAGTTCGCCGATTGCCTGTAGAGACAACAGAAGATGTGTTCCTGCCCTGGGCAGTTCCTGATCTGACTGAAGTGGAAGAAATGCATCCTCCTCTCTCCCTCCGAAGTGAACTTTGCTCCAATTTTGCTCAGACCGAGTTACAAAACGTTTGACACGGTGCTAATGGCCGCCCTTCCACGCGTAAGCACAACTGGCAAGAAAAGCCCGAACGAATCTTAGATAATTGCTGTTCCCAGTTATGCAGTTTAATGCAGAGGGCCGGGCTACCTTCTCGAGGCACCAGCCCTCCGTGATTCACCCACGCGTGGTGCGCCTACGGCCCGGCCCGAGGTGACATCTCGGCCGGGCAGCCGATCCCAGACCCCGGCCCCCGCCGGCACCGCGCCAGCCGCCGGCTGCGGAGCCTGGTGCCGAGGCCGATGTTTTTGCAGGGCCCGAGCTCCCCTCCCTGACCGGCGCGCCGGCAGTCAGGCGGGTTTCTGTCCCGGAAAGCTCCGGTTTTAACGTCTCTTCGGCCTTCACCTCACCGACAGGGCGGGGGGCACAGCCGCCCGCCCGCTAGCAGCCGTTTGCCCCTTTCCGGGGGTGTTTCGGGACGCTGCTGAGGGTCCCCCTCCCGCGGGGAGAGGCCGCGGAGGCCGACCCGCCTTTCCCGCCCCCGCCCCGAAGGGGTTGCGGCGCGGCGGGCGGGCGGGAGCGGGCCGCGGCCCGGCGTCCCCCTCCTCCCGGGGGCGGTGCGCGCTGACGCGGCAGCGCCGCGGCTCTCCGCCGGCCGAGTCGCACAATTATGAGAAAGAGCCGCCGGGCCGAGGCCGCCGCCAGCGCTGGGTCCCGGTGCGGAGTCGAAGTAGCCCCGTCCTCCCCGTCCCGCTCTTCCCTTCGCCCCCGGAGCGCTGTCCTCGCCCGGCTTCTCCCCACCCAGCCCTCCGCCGCTGCCGAGCTCAGCCCCGATAGATGGAGACAGGCCCCGCCACCGCCGAACCACGAGCAGGAGCTGCCCGGCGCGGGGAGAGCCAGAGTCGGCGCCGAGACCCAGCCCGGCCCTGAGGAGAATGGTGAGGGCGGCGGCGGGGCCGGGCTCACCCGGGCGGGGAGCGAGGCGGGAAGGGACGGGGGAGGGCGCCGGTTCAGACCTGTCCCGGCCGGCTGCTTCGGGTCCCGGCTGCCGTGGCCGTCCTCATCCGCCGCGGTCCCTCTCGCAACCGGGCTCGTCTCCCGCCGCCGCGGCGGCTGCTCCCCTACCCGCTCCGGCGGCAAGGAGGAGGGACCCCGCCGGGCTGTCACCGTGGGGCCGGAAGGGGAGGTGCGGGCTCGGGCCCGTCCACGCGTGGAGCCCCGGCCCCTGACGGCCTCCCCCCGCCTCAGCGCCCGGCGGGCCCGGCCCTCACGGAGCGCGGCGGCCGGCGCTGACCCGAGCCGCCGGGGCCCGGCTCCCGCCGCCGCCCGGCGTGTCCAGAGCCTCCTCGCGTGGTGCCCGTGGGGCCGAGGGGCGGCCGCTGCCCTTCGCACCCCTCCGCTCCTCAGAGCCGCGCTACGGGCAGCCGGTCCCGCGGAGGGGACTTCACGGCGGAGAAACGTGACCTTTCGGCCAGCGCTCCTCGAGTACTGCCATGATCCTTTGGTACGGACGCCGGAGTTCTGGCGGCTCACGATGTAGTTCTCTGGGATGCGGCTCGTCTTTCCTTCCCATCTTTCTACCCGTTTCATTTTTACGGTTTCTACGCGTTGTCATATACAAGGGAGTGTATAAGCCCTTACAAAGAGATGTATGAGCTTCTGCAAAGAAAACACAGTTTTAATTTCAGCTTTTTCTGGATGCTAACCCCTTCTTTATTCCTCTAAGTTTATTCCTTAATTGATATTTGCAGAATTTAGAGTGATCCCTCACATCAAATGCATTTAAATAATTTTGAAAATCTAAATGTGGAGTGTAAATCTGTGGATTTCTACAGTCTGCTTGAAATAATAGTCAGATGGTTTATTTAATTTTAAATAAAGATGTTTTATTTCACAGTATATTGTTCAAAACCACAGGGATTCATACCCATGAATCTTCTATTTCTGACTATATCTGTGAACTGTGTAGAAATGTGGGCTGTCTTTTTCTAGAATCTGCAGATCCAGCACTCTTCTAGGAAGAAGCTGAAAGTGCAACCTTCCGTTCTGACTTGAAAGAGTTCTTGGCATCTCCTACTTGTGTGGTACTTGCTCTTCTCAACTGAAGTGGTTTTTTTAGTTTGCGAGTGTGTGTGTGTGTGGTTATTTTATTTATTTTTTTTTAATTTAGTTCTGGTGTTTTGTTGGTGCTGACATAGCCTAGAAATGTATAGATTGGTTTTAACCATATAGATTTGTGAAATGATTGTAGTTTGGCAGCTTTGCTGGTTTGCAATGTTTTATACTTACCATGTGCTTATCAAATATTTTGAAACCACTGTTTAACAGGTGTTTTGCCTGAGCTGAATATAGGACATATTATGCAAGTGCATTTTCCTAAAGATTCCCCTGCTGTTCCATGACTGTTTAGAAATTTTAAATAAGTGTTGGACAGTGTCCAACATTAAATCAGGAATTATTCTAAAGAGTGGGTTGTTCAGTGTGTCAATTCCGGAGTTCAGTATTTTTTTTAATGTATCTGTGTGGGTGAGATAAGTGTCTGCTAGATCATCCTTCGTACCTTCTGGTATGAGGCCATTCTTGACTTTGCTATTTAAAGTGGGGGAAAAAACCTTTGTGCATGTGGAACTGTTTAGGCTGGTTTGAACTGTTTGTACCTTAGTTTCCTGATGTTTTACTTTGATTTTTTTTTTTTTTTTTTTTTTTTTTTTGCTTGCTTGATCTCTGGAGTGGAAGGGTAATTTTCACTTGTCATACAAAGGCACCTTGAAACATCACCTTGCATTTAACAGTTATCTCACTTACACTTAAAGATACTCTATCAGATCATCTACGTCCCCACATGGATTATCTTGGAGAGAGGTACTCCATTGTGTTTTAACTTTCATTTCTTTTCATGTCCCTTGAGGCTCTGTGTAACTCTAGTCTTGCTGCCTTACCTTTTGTCTTATCACATCAGCCCTGCTTTCTCTGCTCTGCTGGTGATAGACTGCAACATCCAAACTCCTCTCGTTTTCTCATAGTTATCTTTACCACTTGCTGTGCTTCCCTTTCCTGGAAGCTTTGCACCAACACCCAAACTTTTCCTGCTTCTCTTTCATGTCCCTTCATGAGGTGCATTTCTATTAACTGTTCACTCCTTGTGAACAGGCATGAGATGAGTATTTTCTACTAATTACATATTTGAACTTAAATAATTGATGCTGACACAATAGGGTTTGGCCATATTGGTTCGTCGATTTTACACCAATAATGTTGCAAATAAATCTCTAAGAGGACTTGTTGAAAAGTGTGTGTGAAGGGAGGGAGTTGCTTTTATAGACTACAATTTGTGTGCTTGACAGGATTTTGCATAGTAGTTTAATTCTCTTTCCCAGAAAGACCCTGATTAGCCTAATTAGGAGTTCAATACATAGCTATTCTAGCAGTGACACTTTGATTAAGCTTCTGATGCTGTCAGCATATTGTCTGAAACAAGCCCAAATTTTGAAGTTCCAGACTTGAGGTTGGATTTTGAAATTGTGGCTCATGCTTTGAAAAATCAAGACAATGAAATTATACATCTCATGCCAATATACTTAACCTGAAAAATGTATCTTTGTCTTTTTTTTCCAACAGATATTTATTTCTTTTGGAATCTCTCATTTCCTTTAACTCTGTGTCTACTTTGGCTGTAATATTTGCGTGCCACATTAATTTGCTGAAACAAGTAACATTAGTTCTGTTTTTTTGTCCCTCTTCTTAAAAGGCAAGCTGACAGTAAAATCAATGTGTGTGTTTTCGAATTGACGTTTTGTCTCTGAGGTCATGTTTCTTGTTTCTAATGTTAATAATTTCATCTTGGTGTGTTTTAGCTTCAGTGGTTGAAATTCCAGCAGCTGGCTTTTCAGCAGATAAGTTACTGAATAATCTCACTCTGTGTGTGTATTTGAATAAGATACAGATATGATTATTAAAGATAATGACACTTCTTGCCTGTGATACTGACAGGTAGTGATGGCTTCTGACAAATGAGTCTATATGCCACATTATTTCTACAAAAAATAGTCAGTGATACTGACTTGACCTGTGTTAAAACTTGAACAAAGTTTGTTGCATACTTTCTTCATGTTCCCTGGCTTGAAACCTTCTTTCTCCTCTATTGTATTTTCTGCAGTCTTGTTATTGTCCTTTATTTGATTTAATCCTATCTCTTTTTCTCACATAATGGAAAAGTACAGGTAATGGTATCATATTAATATTTTGTGATACAACCTGTACTGAAAATGATCTACCTAATCCTTGATTTCTGTTATTTTTATTACATTAAGCTTAGCTTTTCTTTTACTTGAATTGTATATGTTTTTGTATTTCAAGTAATAGCAAGCTAATCTAACAAAAGAATAGAAAAAGTAAACCCCCAAAATCTTTGTATTGGCAAGCTTTGCTTCCTGACCTGGCTCAGCACAGGATTAGCTGAGTGTTAGCGCTGCTGCACAAGAGAGGAGGCAGGATGTGCAGGAGGTGACTTGTCCTTTTGGTAGCAGTCAGTCATTAAGCCAGCATCGCCTGGCATGCCAAGCTGTTGCATCTGACTGGATAGGACCACAGACCCAAGTAACGATGTTTTGGAGACCAGTCTCCATCACAGCTGTTGCACTGATGTAGAGAGTGCTATTCTTTTGAGGAGTGCTGAGGTTTGTTCAGCCTTTTTTATACTGATATTTTGCTTAGCATGTAAAGTGGATGTGAGCCCTTTTAAAGCAGGGCGTGAGCAGCTTTCTTTAACTACTGGGTTTGCTGGAACCACAGTACAGCTCAAGTTTGTTTTTCTCCCCAGCTGCCATATTTTTTGCACAGAAGTAGGGACAACACAGGCTGTACAATTGCTGTTAGGCAAGCAGAGGATATTTCTTACCTCTTGGTTCTTTCCAAGAAGGAAAGGCCAGTGAACTTCTGATGGGATATGAAATATAAAAAGCAAGAGAGAAACTGGGATAAAGAACATTGTTATCCTTAACTGCATTTTTTTTTTTTTTTTTTTATCTCTTCAAGAATTGGATGAATAGTGTTCTAAATGTATGGGAAGTACAGGGGGAAAAATAACTGTTGCTGATTGTGGTGCTGATAGTTCCAAAAAGCTGCCTTATGAAAGGACTGGAATATTTAACTGGAAAATGGTTTGACAACATATGCTATGAGGATATTGCAGGAATAATATTATAGTGGTGGTTGATTGCCAAGGAGAGTTTAAATTATGGTAACAAACTGACAGCACATTAGAGCAGATTGAACTCCATTTGTAAGTTAGGCGTTTTTTTTGCCCTTAACTGAAGCAAAGTTACTATGTTACTGAGTTTGTAGGCAGAATAACATGGGATAAAGGCCTGGAGGAAAGAGGAGCCCAAGAAAGCTGGATGATATTAAAGGATCACCTCCAGACTCAGGAGCGATATGTCACGAGAAAGAAGTCAGGTAAGAGCTCCAGGAGGCCTGCATGGATGAACAAGGAGCACCTGGACAAACTCAAACACAGAAAGGAAGCCTACAAATGGTGGAAGCAAGGACAGGTAGCTTGGGAGCAATACAGAGAAGCTATCCGAGCAGCCAGGGATCAGGTTGGGAAGGCCAAAGCCGTGATAGAATTAAATCTGTCCAGGGACATCAAGGGCAACAAGAAAAGCTTCTACAGGTACGTTGGTGGTAAAAGGAAGACTAGGGAAAATGTGGGCCCTCACTGGAAGGAAGAGGGAGACTTGGTCACCCGGGATATGGAGAAGGCTGAGGTACTTAATAACTTTTTTGCCTCAGTCTTCACTGGCAAGGGATCCAGCCACACGGATCAAGTCACTGGAGGAAAAGGTGAGGACTGGGAGAAAGAAGAACCACCCACTGTAGGAGAAGATCAGGTTCAAGACCGTCTAAGGAACCTGAAGGTGCACAGGTCCATGGGACCTGATGAGATGCATCTGTAGGTCCTGAGGCAACTGGTGGATGAAGTGTCTAAGCCACTATCCATCATATTTGAGAAGTCATGGCAGTCTGGTGAAGTCCCCACTGTCTGGGAAAGGGGAAACATAACCCTCATTGTTAAAAAGGGAAATAGAAGACCCAAGGAACTATAGGCCAGTCAGCCTCACCCCTGTGCCCGGCAAGATCATGGAGCAGATCCTCCTGGAAGTTATGTTAGGGCACATGGAAAATAAGGAGGTGGTTTTTGACTGCCAACATGGCTTCAATATGGGCAAATAGTGCCTGACGAATTTGGTGGCCTTCTACAGTGTAATTACAACATTGGTGGATAAGGGAAGAGCAACTGACATCATCTACCTGGACTTTTGCAAAGCATTTGACACTGTCCCGCACAACATCCTTGTCTCTACACTGGGGAAACATGGATTTGACAGATGGACCATTTGGTGGATAAGGAATTGGCTGGATGGTCATGCTCAAAAGAGTTGTGGTCAACAGCTTGACATTCAAGTGGAGAGCAGTGACAAGTGGTGTTCCTCGGGGGTTGGTGTTGGCACCAGTGCCGTTTAACATATTCGTTTGAGGCATGGACAGTGGGATTGAGTGCACCCTCAGCAAGTTCACAGACAACACTGAGCTGTGTGGTGCGGTCAACAGGCTGGAGGGCAGGGATGCCATCCAGAGGGACCTGGACAAGTTAGAGAGGTGGGCCTGTGCAAACCTCATGAAGTTCAGCAGGGCCAAGTGCAAGGTCCTGCCCATGGGCCAGGGCAATCCCAATGTGCACTCGCAGTCCAGAAAGCCAATTGTACCCTGGGCTGTATCAAGAGAAGTGTGGCCAGCAGGTCGAGGGAGGGGATTCTCCCCCTCTGCTCCGCTCTCGTGAGACCCCCCGTGCAGTGCTGTGTCCAGCTCTGGGGCTCCCAGCATAAGAGTGACATGGACCTACTCGAGTGGGTCCAGAGGAGGCCATGAAGATGATCAGGGGGGTGGAGCACCTCCCTTGTGAGGCCAGGCTGAGAGAGTT